TTTTCTAATTGAAAATATAACGCAAAAATTCGACTGACGCCAAAACTATGAATATTAAATTCGTAATATCGTGTGATATGACAAGCAAATGTGATTGGTATGGACGCTTTTAATCGATAAATCATCAATTCATAATTAATAGGAAAGACATATGACGAATCCAATAACTTTCAATTATTACACGTAACATTGTTTCCAATTTGACTAGTCTATTTGACACTTTATTAGAATTTGACACTCTAGTCCAATTATGTTTAAAAAATGGACCTCCGGAAGTATGTGCACCAAGATGGCGCACAACCTGAACATAATAAGTGTACCAGGTTAGTGTTCGGGTTATGCGCCATCTTGGTGCACATACTTCGGGAGCGCCTAAAAATTATATTCAAATTATGAGTGATTCTACCCGATTACCTTAGCGCACATGAATATGTTAAAATCTTTCTTGTTTCCATTTTTATTTTGTTACGATTCGAATAAACAAGAGAGCGATGCTAAAATATATGGATACGAAAGCCAAAACGAAGTACCGTGTTTCCCCGAAAAAAAGGCTGGGTTTTATTTCAATTTTCTTCCGAAAAATAACACAAGGGCTTATTTTGGGGGGATGTCTTATATTCTCATTTATCAAAAACGGTATTACAAAATAGAGAATTACGAGATTTTCAAATATACAAAATATGAAAACCGATATCTATTTACTTATAAATAACACGTTTTTATTCAAAATAACTGTAAAACATACATTATCAATCGTTTAAAATGTGTAGGCGAGATTTCTTGCTATCGAGTAGGTCAAAAAAAATTCGCGTTATTGACTAGGTCTTATTTTCAGGGTAGGTCTTATTTTCGGGGAAACACAGTAGTATGGATATACAATTTGATAAAGTAGACTACCGGTACAAAAGTGTTCACGACTAAGGCTATCGCGGAGCCACCACAGGTTGCGCAATTTTTGATAACTTCATCACACACAGAAAAAACGAATCCCATATATAAATGAAATAAATAGATTAATAAAAATAAATAGATAGAAATGAAAGAAATAGCCTTCTAGCGAAAAATAAAATCTCTAAACGCTGAAATTTTTAAAGCAATCGGTCTAGTAGTTGGGAAAAAAGCAATTTTTTTCATAACGATACTAAGAAAATTACCAGCAATAACAACAAAATAATAACAAAACGATCCATATGTGAAATTCGTGTCCAATAAATGCGCTTGGACCCAAAACTTTTAGCGACTTTCTCATGGATTTGAATTCGCTGAACAATGTTTTACTTTCTATCTATGCATTCATTTTAATTACATTGAATCAAATTGTATATTTTCATAGCATTTCATTGATATATGTGGTATTTCAGATATATAAGAATTTTCTACCGAAATCATCAGAATCATCGATCGTGTAGTAATTTCGAATTCACGTCCAATTCTAGTATCTTATCAGACAGATAATCCAGAATCGTTTTAAAATAATGTACATATACAAATCGGATTAATGATGATTCTTTTTCTATATCATAATCATATCACGAAAATATTATCTTATAAGACGAATTTGTGTATTTCATATTCGCTGGGAAAGGCGTATGATATATGGTAAACATCTATATAGTCGGTATGTTTTGAGAATTTACTCAGAGCAAGTTCACACGCACTCACACAGATATGGATAAAACTCACCTCCGAGCAGAGTGAAATGATACTGAAACGACTCCCAATTTGCATGTGAATGTATAAGAATGAAATTTTCAGTTATGTGGCGCCTCATAACATTGCATTCAACCAAATCCTTTGTTTGCGTAGTTTTTTTAGTGACGTTATATCTACGAACAATGAATGATATGATAATTTAATTTAAGTTTTGAACTGAAAAGGATTTTTGAAAAAATATGCAAAATATTTTTAACCTCATAGCAAAAAGACAATATTGTGAGACATGTTCTCATTTTTCGATCAAAGTGTAAATTTAGGTGAGGCTGTCTATATAGAGCAAACCTGCAAATAAGAAAGTATTTGATTGTAAATAGACGGAAAATGCACCATTTTATATTCCAATAATTGTATTTTCTCCTATATAACCAGTACCAATTTTCAATTAGGTGTACTTCTAATATTATAGGACTAATTAAGGTTCACGCGAACCTTATTTCTCCAAGAAGGTGTTCAACTTCAAGCGACGGGGAAACTATCAAAAACGTGACACGCTTACAAATGCTTCTTTAATCTCATAATTCTTTACCGGAAATCTAACAAATGCTCTAATAATATCATGACATATTTTTGACAAATTATTTTTTCAAATTTTGTGTTTAAACAGTAACAAACGTGCGCTCTGTTTTATTCGTGTTCCAAGGTTCGATTATATATATATATATCTTCAAAATTGACGTTAATACGCGTTCCCAACGAAATTAAGTAAATTTACTGAACACCCATAGTTAATACATTCTGGATATTGATAACAGACAAATAAAAAATCTATATTTTTACCTCTTTATTAAATCTAAAATCAGTCATCCGAAAACTACAATTTCGGTCAGTTGGCAAATATAAACCAAGTGTGATTATCTAGATTAATTTTTAGATAAATATATGGTTAAAAGCAATCTTCATGAAAGGTGTAAATGGGATGTAAATTATTTTTCGTGTGAAAGTCAGTTCTAAACTCAAAGGTTGGGAAGTTCTTTTAATAGTATTGACAAGTTAAAATAAATTTACCATCAGGCGGGCGTTCTAAAGGCGCAGGCAAGCCTGTAAATACCCACAAAAGGTACAATGGGACATAACAGACCTATGTGCGTCAATGAATTAAAATGAACAAAGGTTTAGATTAGACTGGAGTTAAATGGAACCGTATATTAAATTGACGGTTAGGCCTCGCCAATTGACATGGCGGGCGATTGGGACTGCTTCTCGTGGGAAACCAAGCTAGTTTTTTAGCGCCTGATACTTTCCCATATTCAAAGTCAGTAATGAACGCTTAGCACCTGATTGTGCGTAATTTGATTTGATTTAATTTCAATTAAATGTATTCCTTAAAGCGAATTGCGCATCACGAAAAACCTAACGTAAAACTTAGTATTGTTATATAAATTTAAGTCTATACTGCATAGCGTGTGTGTTTTTCTTTATACATTTGAACACGTCCAATAGGTTACAATGCGTAGACATCAAAAGTACAATATGTATTCGACTTTCACCTTCACGATTACAATTTGTAAATATTTTAAAGCGTTGGTTTAATTATTTAAATATACATTTTTGATTTTCAGTCCACAACGGTTTGGCATATAGCTTGCGTTGTACTTTCAGCAGTGAATAATAAATGCACATGCAGTAAACGAGAAATCCGCGACGGACTTTCGCAAAATCCACCATTTTGTATATAATTAAGAAAAGCATAACTTGAACGTCTTGGTTATCTATAGAGGGAATTAAAGATTTTTATATACTAATTAAAAAATAATAACTTTCAGAAAAAATCATTTCCCATGTACATGGTGTGAAATGCGCTGTTTGTGCAGATGATATCTCGAATAAAACGTAAAAAGAATGATAAGACATATTTTTAGCTTTTTGTTGCAGCAACTTTGTTTGTAAGAGTGTTCTGTCTGATAGTTTTAACTTCGAGTTTCTAACGATTCGTTCTGCGATGGAGCATTTGACGATTTTTGATTTTTCATTTCTGAAGGTGATATCTCCGTACAATTTGAACACCTAAGTGACGCTAAATCATTCTCATTCTCTCTCTATATCTCATCCCAATCATCTCTCCTTTGCCTCTTTCCCCTAATTTGGCACAAATCTCTAATCTCATTACCAATTATAATATACAATTGAACGATCGAAGTTTATTAATATGAAAATTAGTTTAAAATGCATTAATATGCAACAGTACGTTCATGTTTTTCACTGTCAAAACACCTTTAATTCGATAATCCCTTGTCTGAATTCAGAAAGAATATTCACGCATATGTGAACTAGAATTGCGCTAATTCGTTTGAAATCAATTCTATCATCACCAAGATATATACATATATTATCCACGGTCCATAAATAAAGAGCAGTTGTTTTCAGTAAGATTACGTTTTTGGAAGATTTTTTCTCTCTTTCTTTTTTTTTCTTTTAAATTTATTTTGAAGACAGGTTATGATCTTTTAAAACAGACAAAGAAAGATAATAGAGAATTTTTTTCTTAGAGACGATGAAAGCTATATATAATATGAATTTATGGACTTATCCCTCATACAGAAATATTATCAAGGTAGTCGAAGACGCAGAAGGTTTTATTACGTGAAAAGGATGAGAAAAATAAAAATTGTTTGAAAATGCTGAGAAGTCAATTTTGTTATTTAGACATAATTAAACTTATAAGAGTAGTTTGGTGTTCGTTTGACGTTCATAATAAATTATAATATCTTTAAATAGATGTGAAGATCCTAGTTGTATCTTATAGCGAATACTCGATAAATTTATAGAAGGTCTTTATGAAACAAAATTTTTAGTTTTTATTTATTTTTTCAATATTTGTGTCAACACTAGTTGTTTAATGGTTGGATCATAGTATTAGTGACCAACAATATAACGTGATATCACAGAGAGTCGATATTACATGGGGTTAAACTAATTTTATCCCCATTTTGCCGTACCCTATAATCATTAAATATTATATTATCGGACTCCCCATTCTTCTAATTTTTAGAAACAAAATGATTTTACAAAATATGATAAGTGTAACGTTCAAATTGTAAACCAAGGTAAAAACACTGAAGCAATGTAATACATTTAATTTTCAAAGCTTTGGGTTATTAGTACAATCTGTACCAACCATATTTGTTAGTCATACAGTACAAAATATTGAGACGAATTCAATCGGAAAAAACTCAAATTTGAATTACTATACAATTCTAGAAAAATTATCATAACATTTTTACAATTTAGCAAATTTTGTTTTCACAAACTAATTTTCTGGTTATTAAATCTAAACAAAAACAAGAGTAAATACCCCGGACAATTTACGGCTCAAAATGTGTAAGGCAGTTCCATAAAATTGTGAGTTAGGAGTATGAAATAAAATTGTTACGCGGCGTACTTAACCTAATGATTTATTTTGTCAATTTTTAGTGAATAGATTTTGTTCAAATTTTTTTTCCATAAATAGCAAAAGAATGCATCCAAGCGACCATAAAACCTCAGATATTATAGGAAGTTCTTCGCCTCTCAATAGTGAAAATATCACCAATATCTCAATCAAATCTGATGAGTCTAAAGAAGACACACAAGAAAGTGCAGAAATAAAAGGTGAATATAAAACCGAAATTAATCGGAAAAGAGAATCTTCCTCGTCTTGTGAAAAAAGTGTGGAAGAAGAAATGTCTCCGAATCGTCAAAAAGCGCGAAAATTTGACGGATTTTCGATTGAAAGTATATTGCAAGCTCATGTTCTTAACGAAAAACCACAAAGCCAAAAATATTCCGTTGATTCCGTTTTAACCCAAAGCCGAGAGGACAGGGTAAGAGAATGGGCTTTGCAAGCGGCGAGACATGCATACGACAAGCAAATCGCCGCGATTTTGCTCTCAAGGTACGGCGCATTGGCATCGGCCAGCAAAGACCATGAAACTCCGATGCTATGGGAACACCGAAATATCAAAAATACCTACACTCCGAAGAGTTTTTCGTTCGCAGCCAAGGCATCTAGTCACGAATCAATTCCTACATCCGAAGCAACAGAAAGTATTGCTGCTAGTTGCTCTGCTATTAAATCGCCACCAATACCACCAATTACTTCAACGCCAACAAGCCAACCAAATCCATTTTCAGCTATTGATGAATATCGAGAAGTCTGTCAGAGAAACTTAACCACGGGGAATCTTCGACCTCCATTTCAGACCCTTGGAAGCTCAAAAGGTTAGCTTTCTGGCAACAAATATAAACGTCCTAAAGTCTTAGAATTTAAAGCTATTTAAATATATTATATGTATATATTTCAACATATCTATCTCAAACCAATTGTAACTTTCCAGAGGTGCTTCCTTTTGTTAAATCATCCAGTCTAGAGTGTATTTATTTTGATGCGTTTTTTATTTATATATATATGTTCTCATTTTCATTAGGGATTTATTCATCTCATACATCTCCAAACAACAACTTATGGAAGCCAACCCCAATATCACCGAACAATCAGCTTGCAGAAATGTTGCATTTATCCGCTTTAATTTCTGGAAAAAATAAAGGACTGATGCATAATGGAGACGCTTCCCTAGAACGAAGGGCCTCTGCATTCGCTTCATGTGGAAACGATTTACAAGGTAAATATAGACAACAGGAATTTGTTTTTTTTTTAATTTTAGATTTAACGGTACGCGGTTGTTTAAAAAAAGATTTTCTTCTGTTCAGATTCCGCGAGAAATAAGTTTCAACCATTTGTTCGCAAAACTCAAGTTACTGAAGAAAATAGTTCAGATTGTGACTCAAAAATGTATGACTATTTCATGAAAAACAACAATAAAGGAGAAAGTTGCTCTGAAGATGAAAGAAAATCTTCTTATCACAACGAAAGAAATAGAGCACCTTACTACTCGTCAGCGCAGTCGAAAACTAAGAAGCCTCGTAAAGCTAGAACAGCTTTCACCGATGATCAACTTACGCAGTTGGAGAAGAGTTTTGAGAGACACAAGTAAGATCTTTTTTATGATGCTCTATTCTATATTGTATTCGAGGTTGTAAATTTTTTCTGAAAACTAATAGACAATATAGGGTTGTCATCATTATCCCCAACGTGAGGAAGGCCGATAAGGCGACTTAATTATATATCAGACCACTGCCTCTCGTCCGGTTACCAGTTCGGGTGTAGGACTAGTCAAATTGTTAACGTTTCAGTCGCATTGACTCGTTAAAGAGATTTGCAGTCGAAAATGTCTGCGTGAACCATCCGGCGACGACGAAGATTTCAATAAATTCTTTCCCTCATAATTATTCCGTTTTGAACCCGTAAATATACAAGGCAATCAGAAAAGCGATGCTAATGAACCGCCGAGAAAGGATGCCCTTAGAAATGCGTGACATTTATCAAGTGAAATTTTTCAAAAGTCTATCCGCCTTATATACCTTCTTATTTTAAGATTGCGATAACATAAATTACTAATGGAATTTTGTCAAGTGATCTCGTTGGTTAAATGATTTTATTTATTAAATTAATGTACTATCTGATGTAATTTTATCTGGAACTTTTCCTAGTATAACTAAACTACGCCATATAAATAGATGTCTAACAATGAAAATATTTTAAAGGTATCTCTCGGTGCAAGATAGGATGGAATTGGCACAGCGGCTGTCTCTAACAGACACTCAAGTGAAAACATGGTATCAAAACAGAAGGTGTGTATTTTTATTATATATACCGTTTTCGTGTGGGCAAATTGTTACACATAAGAGTTATTCTAGCTTTCCACTTTTTATTATCGCCTCATTTTCTCTCTAATATGCTCATTATGATTTGTCACGAGTCGCACCTGTTAGTAATTCCCAGAGGTTTGTTCAATAATTATAATAAAGTCTTTAAAAACCCCAAACGTGACCATTATATCACTTAAAGAAATTAAGCGCTCTAATTGGATGCTTGGACTGATTCGCTGGTCAATATCATCACTCGTTCTTGTCTTCGAATCAATAAATTGTTGCATATTGCTTACCTGCATTGGTTAGCGAAAGTTTGTCTTTATCATAGATGATTTAATATAGGTCCACACAAGATGAATTTTAGGGGTAAATGACATGCTTATTCGCTTCGCTGCTAATGGAATTAATAGAAAGCTTCTGACTCGCTGCTCCAGATTACTTCAATTTCAGTCGATCGATGTCCAATTAAAAATTTGTTAGGAGAATAAATTAGCATTCATTACCTCGATTAAGCTTATTTGAATATTGTATTTATATTGTCCGTCCACATATCCTTGCTATTTATGGAAGGTTCTTTCAGGTGCTTCCGTGTTCGTTTTAATTACTAAATTTAATGTACACGTATCGAACTCAAGCTTTCCTACTTTCTACAGAAGGGAAGTGTTAATTAGCTGCTGAAAATATACGAAAGTATCCCTTTACTATATCTTATTCTTTAAATTTTATGTTCAGAACAAAATGGAAACGTCAAACAGCCGTTGGTTTAGAATTGTTGGCAGAAACGGGAAATTACGCTGCGTTGGAACGCATTTTTCCACATCCCCATTTGCTGCTACAACAAGGTGTTCCGAATCTACCAAATGCGATTCCTGCTTTTCCATATTCATACCAAGGTTGGTTATTTTTTGTTCAATATTGTTTGTGCCATTTAAAATATTACATGAATATATAATTGTAAACAGTACATCAGTGTTCGGGAATGGATAATGTAACGTAAATGTGTATTTGTACATAATTCTGTGCTATTTGCCTGAATTTAGAATAAACAATGGTTTTGTTTTTTCTGGTTGATTGCCTGATATGTATTTCAATAGATATGTATTTTTAAAGCATGTCCGAAAATGATTCATGTCTTGTTCTCCATTTTAATGCTATCATAATAATAGTCAGATGCCATCACAAAGTTTAAGATTCAACCAAAACAAATCATGGGTTTTTGATGTTATATTTCAATATAACTTCTGTTTTTCTATAGCTTTGAATGGTGCACCGAATCCCGCAATGTTACCTCTGTTGTGCCAGTTATATGGTATGCAAGGCAGTAGCACAAATCCTTCAAAATCACCAATATCTCCTATTCATCCTTCTGCAACAATGAACCACAGCTCAAACCAAAAAAATCAGTTTTTATCTGAAGTATCACCAGAAGTGAACTGAGGTAGATGAAATTAATTTAATTTAGAAACAAAACTGTTCATTTTATGTCATATTTTTACGATTATGTATGAGAATATTGAAATTATACATTTGAGAATATGTTGAAACAATCGAAGAAGTGCGTTACGTAAATTTTCTGTTGAGATTATTGTTGATTGATTTTTGAATGCCGCGTATAAGAGCTTCCTTTTATTAATTTTGTGCATGGAACTAGTTTTTTTTACAAAACTTGATATAGCGCTGTCATTTTTATACATCTATTTTATTATTTATTTGTAGGACTCGTCGCGAACAGTCTACAGCCATCATGCTCAATTTTAACAGAAAAGCGTTCTGCAAGAAAATAAAGATTTTTTCCATTTCAAGTTCAATCAGATATATTGATGGCATGCATACTTTAAAATAGACATTTCTGTCCCAATATCAATGTAGTATAACATTTAATTTCTACCATGGTCTCTGACACTTAATGTAGTTTCAACCGTAGTTATGCAAACAACCTGTCATATTATTCCATATGGTTTTGCTTATTGCAAATTTTAATTTATTCGGCAAAACACTGAAAAACTTTCGCCAAGTTACTGATTTTGTAGATCGAGATCACCATCGAGTCGAAATTTTTGATATTGAGCTATTAATAAAAACCATACTATCACCTTTTTTATCATTCATAAACATTACTCTGAGAGATTCAAATGTTTAAAACCTTTTACTAAATAATTTAGTTCAGAATCGTATCTTATTCGATTGTCATCAACTGCTTAACATTTTAAGTTTGTAAATAAAATGAAGTTTGATGAATTTTGCTTTTGTCGGGTGTCGAAACAAGCTTTTAGTTTCGGTAATCTGCAACGTGCGAGCAATTTCAATCTCATTGTGTCGCGAAATATCAATACCCGAGTGCCACTGTCATATCACTGGAACTAGCTACTGTAGCTAGCAAGATTTTGTTGAAAAATACACAATGTTATAAAAGCTTGTCTCTTTCTCACTGAATTCGTTTGAAGTCGGTATGACACTAATCTTAAATAGCAGTTTTCTTCAGAAATGCTTGCGTTTAAACTCAACATTTCTGGCAGGACCTCGAACAATGCTGTAAGATCAATAACAAAATAAAAATTGTGCTTGCATCTACAATAGAAACCTACGAAAAGCTCTGGAAAGGAAAAATCCAACTCAAGAAATTCTTATCGTAAAAATATTACTTCGATTACCCGATTTTAATTAGCGCCGATTTGAAGTGCTTATTACACGTCGAGGATGTTTTAGATTAAAAATAATTTAAATTATTATCGTATATTTCAATTTTGTCGAGATAGTTTGTGTGTCCTCGACAATAAATCTAAAAGCAAATTGTGTTCTAATTAATTGTTTTCATCCATTCATTTCGATAGTCACCGAACATGAGGACAAAGTTTTTCATTTCTTGCAATTTAGAGCGCATAAAATAGCTCTTAAATATTATTTAGTATCTATCGCGTCGTCGCTGATAATATCGTTAAGTTTAAATTGACGGTATTAATTTATATTCAAAAATAAAATCATAACAGCCGACAGGATATATTTGAATCAGCGCCGACTCGCAAAATTAAAGAAGATTTCCGGTCTTAATTCTCTTTTATTGGCAGATGAGGATTTGGGAATCAGGTTCACTCATTTGATAATGACGATGATCGCGTAATTACATTTGCGTTTTTTTGAATCAAGAAAATTAAAGTCCGTAGTAGTTGCCCTGCCACACGCCAATCAAATATGTTCCATTCTATTGACCCGTTTGTTTTCCGCGCGTACGTAAAATAAGTCCCACTCAGTTTTAGTTGAAAAGACGGATGATACGCTACGGGTTTTTTGGTGCGGCCCGCGGCTTCACCCAGTTACTTGTATTTGGCCCACCTGTAAAAAAAAAGGTTGTACGCCCCTGCTCTAGAGCCCAAAAAAATGTTGGAATGAATAAACGTAATAGCATTTCAGCAAATCTCTAATCACTAAATATTTTATAGCAATTGGTCCGGTATCTAAAGAGGAAGGCGATTTTTTCAGGACAACAACATAATAACAAAACGATCCATAGGTCCACTTTGTGTCCAATAATATGTAAGATCTGACAGAGTGCAAGTGTATTAACATTCTTCACCACAATGAGATCAGCCTACGACAATGAGCCGCGATTAACAAATGTACAGCTCATTATAAAGACGTTAACTTGTAACGTTATTCTTAATCTGTAAAATTATGCATTTATCAATCGCTAATTAGTTATTGAGAACAAAATCAAATAAAAAGAGAAGACAAGTATTTTGGTATTTTTTCAATTCAGCTTTTCGAATACATTAGAAAAAAATCAATTGAAATTGGAGAAGTTGTGCCTTCCCAAAGTTCGTTGGTTGTTCTGGATTTTATCTTGGACAGGAATATTTAAATTTGGTAATTAACTTTTGTGGGTTATTTTTTTTAGCCCATCGGAAATTGTCCAACTGTTACAAGCAAAACTGTAGAATATGTTAATCAAATTTATTTTGCAGTACCTTAAGTTGAAAAACGATAATGACCCCATCCATATACACAGCCACAAGTACATCTGAGGAAAGCAGGCACGCGAACATACTAGCAATTATTGAGATATCGGCCTAAATGAGATCGTGATTACCTTTCGTTGCAGCTATCTATGTTGATTCCTCATATATGTGATTATGAATTACGACGCAAATGGACTCTATCAATTAATTTTCAATGAAATTACACTATAAACTCTCAGAATACCTTGGGTAGCATATTACCAATTAGGCATAAGTGGTATTCTTATCTAATTGTTCACGTGGAGAGGTACTTGTGATGCATCATCCATTTCTATACGTCTAATTGTATAAATCAATATTTAGGGCGCCGAAACAACTATATTGAAAACAGTTAGTTAGGCAGTTATTAGTTGATCGTAGGATATAAAACGAGATAATAAAAAACATAGTGACCTGAATTTAAATGGTTAGTCAGTCTAAGAGACTTCAACTCTGTATTAAAATATTTAAATGGCGATTTTTTTCCTATTCTAGTCCATGTCAGCGAGATATCAACGGTAAAGAGAGTGGAAACCACGAAATCCTTATAAATTATGCCGAATGTATTCATTCGCAATACGCACAATCAGCAATGATGCGATAATTACAAGCTGTTTCAAAGCTTCGGCAACATTAACTAATTAATATTGATTATTAATATGTTGCACCATTCCAGACCACCTCCCTGATGTACGGAAAGCCGGGGATGTTCAGAAGCGGCCCAAAACAGTTGTTCTTAATCTGTATTTGCGTGTGTTCCTCTGTGCTCTTTTATTTTTTGTGTCGAACAATAGATAAAAAGAATCCTGCGTTAGATATAAATGAAATGGTAAGCTATCTGAAGTGATGAGTAATATACAGGCTAATTGAATACATATTTCTACACTACAAGACAACGATATGATTGTATCCAAAATTGTAGAATCCATAGATTTGCCTCGAATATGTACAAGTGACCAATCTAAAGTACCCAGTCTGCATAACATAAAAAAAAATGGAAAATAGAAATATACAACGAATATGAACAAAGCATATTGATATGCCACGGATAAAAGCATTTGTGTGGCGAAGGTATTAGTTTAAATTATTCTTAATATCATCAGTAAACTCGTTGTTCTGGGGCAATACCGACCCGTACGCAATGCTTGCAATGCGCAAATCTTTGTGCCCATATAGATTGGTCCCTTGTTTTAACGATCATGAGTTCCATATGGGTTCGCATTTCAGCGAGATTCGGGCCCCAAGTCGAAACTATGAAATAAATTTAGACTGCCACAAACAATATAGACTAAATAAATCTGTTATTCGAACACAGATAGATCTTGGAAATTAACTGTGAAGGTTCTCTTAACGAATGTTTATATAGCAATTGATTCTTTAGATAAAAGACAGAAGAAACATTGACCTAGTGTTTATAGGAGGAAGTACGCACAGTGGTACAAGTTTGATTAGAGCAATGTTGGATTCTCACCAAGAAATTTATTGTGGATACGAAACATGGCTGATGAGAACTATCTTAGGCGGATTGGAAAGGTGGAGAGAGTGAGCGTCGTTATTTACTCTATGTGTCTGCGTATCTGATCACAAATTTACCTGTATCACTTGTTATTTTCAGATTTAATCAGAAGCACTTCTTGGTGAACGCTGGAGTCTACCCAGAGGCACTAGATGACGCAATTGCGCAATTCATGTTGGAAGTAATTCTCGGTCACTGTCCGACATCTAAACTATGTTGCTACAAGGACACGTATATCTTAACCTACGCAGAGTACGTATAAGTTTTATGCCTGTAAAGTGAGGAGCAACTGGGGGCCCGTGGTCCCCAAGAGAAACGCGGAGAAGTTGGAGGGTGGCCACAATACTGGGAAAAGCAAAATTGATTTAATGCAATTTTGTTTGCATATTTTTCTTTCATAAGAATATTCCCCGTTTCCCTAGTTTGATTACCTGATGAGATTATTTTGCAGGATGTTTTCATTTTATGGTATGAATTATTTGATCATAATGGGTTTTGAAATCAACAAATCAAAATAACATTATGAAACCTTTTTGCTTCAGAAATTTCAACATTTTTAGCTGGTTGGCAGACCCTCTGATCTGCAGATAACGGTCGAACCTAGTCAACTTGTAACTAGTGAACGCCGAAAAATACATTAAAATTTCTAAAACACGTGAATGAGACACCATTTACCTTTGGGTTTGACTTTCTCAAGTAAATCCAGATGGCCTAGATGCCCTAGCTGGAATGTACGCAATGCGTGCATTGCTCCCATTTTTGCTAAAAGCCTTTGGAAGGGGGCCACGAGCCATAAAAGGTTGGGAATCACTGGTGTGCGGTCTAAAAAATATTATGGTTTGTATGCATTAGGAAAACTTTCAATATTCTTTTCGGGCAAGAGAAAAGTTTCAATCATTTCAACCAAGCTATTTATTGATTCATAAATATTTTATGTTTAGGTATATCCACAGATTGTTCAAAAATGCTAAATTCATTCACATGGTCAGAGATCCAAGAGCGGTCGTTTATTCAGAACTATCACAGAAAGATCCAAACAATGTCAACAATGTCACAAGTTATTGGTATGTACATACGCATCAAAAGAAAAAACGAGAATATCGGTCAGAGACCGAAGACTTATCGATCGAAAATTAGGCGATCCCCCAAAACTGCGCTCCATAGTGACACCTTGTGTCCCATCACTAATTAATTAATAACTCGCTAATTATACGACATAATTCATCTAAAATCAAAAGTCGTGAGATATCGCGTACATCAAAATAATACACAAAAGTAGAAAACCTGCGATTTTAATTTTGGTCAAAGGGCTGGAGAGAAAACAAAAAGCACTGTCTTTCACATCTTGTCAAATGAATTGGTGAATATGCTCCAATTACTGTTAAATGTAGAATCCTTAATATCACGCGATGATTTGACTTCAAAGTCAATATTAAGCAAAATACCTATGTTTTGTCAGGATCTGGTGTTAGCATTACGATGTGGGCAAACTTATGAAAATATTTTCCTGGTTGTTCTCTACAATATATATATATATATAAATAATAAAATGCTTACTCAAGGAATGCAATCCTGGGATGAGCAAATTCAAGCAAAACATAGGGTACGACCTATATGAAACACTTTTTGTTTTGCGTATGTGAAAGTATGTGCAAAACTAAATAAGTAAAACAATTTCATGCATAATTACATATTATATTTATTTTTTCTTTATTATTTTCTTGATTTAATGATATTATTTTAACTCATCTTAACTTGCAGGATGAATTTTCAAAAATGGGATGAGGATAATTTAATAATATTGGACAAATGTGCGGATTTAGGGAAAAAATATTGTTTGTTAGTCAAATATGAACAATTGATATTGAAACCCGTGGCGCAAACAAAACGAATATTCGAATTTCTTGGAATTCCATGGAGCGACGAAGTTTTACATCACGAAAGACATATCAACAAATCTTTAATATTAAGGTAAAAACTAGTTTTTTGTTCGGCTAAAACAGTCATTTTAATCTCGCGTTGAGGTAAGTACGGTGAATATTTTCCTTGAATTGAATTTAGTAAATCCAGCGCAATGCAACAATAGATCTTATCTAAATTCATACCTTTACGACGTTAATCCCTATTCAATACACACTGTCTAATAGGATTGCCAGTGGTGGAACGGGTTCTCGTTTGCATCGAATTACCTAACAACGGGTTCCCTTATATCAGAAGATATATATATATATGTGATTACTTATGCTAAATTAACAAGACACGATTTAAATAAATCTAATACATGACTTTCGAAACGCCAAATATAACGTCGGTCGTCAGCTTCGGTGCACGTTGCTCAGTTGCTGCAGTCGCCGAACGTCTAAAAAAGAACGGGTTCGCAGATAGTTCGCACAAACCCTCTGATCGCCATCATTGAAAAAATTTAATTTAGGTACGCCCTGTCATCTTATTAATACTTTTTTTATCATGAACAAAGGCATCGAAAAGGTCATACCTTTATTGAATTGTTTTAAATTTTTTTCCCTTAAGCAGGTTTCTTAGAAGAGGTATAATCGGCACTGGTCATAAATCACATTCATTGTTTATACAATTGATTGTTGTAAAGAATTAAATAACTTAATGGGCATGCTATTCTAGATCAGAAGAATATGTGAGTGAAGATTTATTCAAACCTCTACATTTGAATGGACTAAAGAGTTGGTTTGGGAATCTCCCAAAAGAAATTGAAGAGAATCTCGGACAGAATGGAATTGGTCAATTGGTGTATTTTGACTATGATCGAAAAGAGCATACTCCGAATTATGGCCGGCCTGATGAATTTATGATGAAAAGGATAAATAAATAGGAATTATAGAAAAAACGATATTAAATGATTGCTTCCATCGCAAGTATTGATGAGTTTTTTTCGGAATTAGTCGAATTCTTTTGTGGGAATTGTCCAATTTCGTTGCATTTCTTGGTGAAAATTGTAAATGGCACCAAACCAACTAAAAAAAATTTCCATTATTGTACATCATTGCTAAAATTACTAAACGAATAAAAGTTAATATTATAATATTTAATTTTCATTGGTTGATAAATGATACATTTTGGTACAAGTGAATCAACGAACAATAAATATCGATAATTGAATTATTTTCGTATATTTCCGAACGATTGATTATTCATCTAGCAAAATGTTGAGTTCGATAGAGGCAAGGAAAGGGTTAATTTCCAATATATATTCTCTATATTACATAAAAAACGATATTTGTTTGTTCAGCCATCAAATGGTACTCAGTACGATATTAGAGGGTAATTTTTGTCAGGATGAGAAATAAAATATGTAAGACTCAACAGCAGACAAGTATTTGAGAACGACGCATGTATTTTTGTTTGACATTTTTTATGTATTTGTCACAGTAATGCAATAATTTAGAATTTTTTGTTATTGAAATAAATATTGGCTACTCAGAAACCATACCCATGTAATCGACATAGAAAGTCTTTGTCTATTCAAGCTTATTTGTAGCATGCATGTATGTTTCAATGAAATCAGAATACCTGAGATAGCGTAGTACCAAATAAGCATAAGTGGACTTCATACGTGGAGAGATACTTGTGCTGCACCGTTTATTTTCATCCATCTGAATGTGCAAATTAATATTTAGGGCGCTAAAACAACTATATTGAAAGCAGTTAGTAAGACAGTTGTTGGTTGATTGTAAGATATGAAAAAATAACATAAAAAACAGATTATCAAAAATTTAGCGACCTGAATTTAAATGATCTACGGACTGTCAGTCTAGGAGGAGTCAGTCTAGGAGGCTTCACCGCTGTGTTTCAAAATATTTGAATGGCGATTTTTTCTATTCCAGTCTATGTGAGCGAGATATCAACAGAAATGAGAGTGGAAACCACGAAATCCCGATAAATTATGCCGAGTGTATCTGTTCGCAATAAACACAATAATATGCAATAATTACAAGCAGTTTTCAGTTATGACCGAAAATCTAGAGAACGAATATTATGTTGCCTGAATTAGAAATATATTATTATATAATTCTTATTTATCTTACCAAAGAAGGTAACTTTCTCTCTAACAAGAAAAAAAATATATAATATAGCTATCAATTTAATCACAAAAATATCACGATTAAAAAAATTTGTCTCCATTTTGTAAAAATACTTCTAGCGTTTCAAACTGTTGGCGTCAGGAAGTTTATTCTGTTATTATTTCAAATTCTGAAGGTACAGTTAGAGTTTAGATATATGTGTTATATATATACAACAATACTTTTTCTGTCGCAATAACTAAATATTTCTAAGCATTTCAGGGCTTCGGCAACAATAATAATGATTAATATAGATTATTAATATGGTGCATTTCAGATCACTACTCTGTACGGAAAGCTGGGGATGTTCAGAAGCGACCTAAAACAGTTATTCTTAATTTGTTTATGCGTGTGCTCCTCTGTGCTCATTTATTATTTGTGTCGAACAATAAGTAAAAAGGATCCAGCGTTAGATATAAACGAAAGGGTAAGGTATTTGAAAAGTAATATATAATGTACAGGCTAATTGAATATTTCTACACTAGAAGACGACAGTATCCAAACATTGTAGAATTTATAGTTTTGCCACGAATCTGTACAAGTACCCAGTCTACATAACATTAAACAAGATGCCAAATGAAAAGAAATGTACGACGAATATGAACTAAGCAATTTGAAATGTCACGGATAAAAGCATTTGTTTGGCGAAGCCATTAGATTGAATAATTTTTAATCTCATTAGTAAACTCGTTGCTCCCAGGCCTTACCGACCCATACGCGATGCGCTACCTTTGTATAGAATGTATGCATTGCTCTCTTGTTCTAACGATCGTGAATTCCATTCCATCGAGATTCAGGATTAAAAATTGAAACTATTCCATTGGGCTTATGAAATAAATTCAGACTGGCACAAACAATATATATAAATGAAATGAAACTGTTATTCGAACACAGATAGATCTTAAAAATTACCTGTGAGGGTTCTCTTAACGAATGTTTATATAGCAATTAATTCTTTAGATAAAAGACAGAAGAAACATTGACCTGGTATTCATAGGAGGAAGTACGCACAGTGGTACAAGTTTGATTAGAGCAATGTTGGATTCTCACCAAGAAATTTATTGTGGATACGAAACATGGCTGATGAGAAATATCCTAGGCGGATTGAAAAATTGGAGAAAGTGAGCGTCGTTATTTTCTCTATGTGTCTGCATATCTAATCACGCATTCAACTATATCACTTGCTGTTTTCAGATTTAATCGAAAGCAATTCTTGGTGAACGCTGGTGTGTACCCAGAAGCACTAGATGACGCAATTGCGCAATTCATGTTGGAAGTAATTCTCGGTCACTGTCCAACTTCTAAACTATGTTGCTACAAGGACAAGTATATCTTAACCCACGCAGAGTACGTATAAATTTTATAACTGTGAATAGTGTGGAGCAACCGGGGACCATGGTCATCAAAGAAAACCACAGAGCAGTTGGAAAATGGCCACACGACTATTGATTTTAATGCAATTTCGTTTGCATATTCTTTCTTTATAAGAAGATGCCATGCCCTGCCACGAGACGACAATACCTTTGGATCTACCCAAGTAAATCCAGATGCCCTAGAATGCGGCCAGTGCGTGCATTGCACCCCTCTTTTGAATGATTGACAGAGGAATCATGGATGCTAAATGTATTCGGAAGGGTGCCACGACGAGTCATAAAAGTTGGAACCACTGGTGTGGAGTCTAAAATATATTATGACTTGGATACATTGAATACACTTTCAATGATATTAATATTCAGTTTGCTTGATTTTCGAGCAAGAGAAGGGTTTTAATCATTTCAAGCAAGCTATTTATTGATTTATATATTGAGTTCAGGTATATCCACAAATTGTTCAAAAATGCCAAATTCATTCACATGGTCAGAGATCCAAGAGCGGTCGTTTATTCAAGTCTATCACAGAATGATTCAAACAATGCCGCAAGCTATTGGTATGTACATACACATGTATCAAAAATTGGCGCTTCCGTAGTATGTGTACCAAGATGGCGCACAACCTGATAACCCCAGCCTGGTACCTATACTATGTTCAGGTTGTACGCCATCGTGGTACACATACTACGGGGAGCACCCAAAAAATCTACATAAAAGCAGGAAACCTGCTATTTTCGTTTTGATCAAAGAGCTGGAAAGGGCTGAAAAATAAGTAGAAATTATCATGCATAACTACATATAATATTTTTATGTTCTCTTTTATTTTCTTGATTTTATGATATTATTTTAACTTATCTTAACTTGCAGGATGAATTTTCGAAAATGGGATGAAGATAATATAATAATATTGAACAAATGTGAGGAATTAGGAAAAAAATATTGTTTGTTAGTTAAATATGAACAATTGATATTAAAACCCGTGACGCAAACAAAACGAATATTCAAATTTCTTGGAATTCCATGGAACGACGAAGTTTTGCATCACGAAAGACATATTAACAAATCTTTAATATTAAGGTAAGAAAGTGAAAATACTAATTAAAACTTTTTGTTTGGTAAAACTGTCAATTCAATCTCACTGGTGAATATTCAACTTGAATTGAATTCAGTTAACCAGGCAACAATGAATCGGGTTCTTGTTCCAATGGAACTATGCTAAAATAACAAGACATACCGTATTTGCTCCTTTTGTAGCCCGGGCCCTTTTTTTTTTCAACCAACTCGCTAACCGGGCCCTTATTCAAACCGGCCCCTATTCAAGCACGGGCGCTTGTTATTTTCGATCGTTACAATAATTAATATATTGTTATTTCCAGTTCTCAAGTATGATTTAAACTAGAATACCGAAAATTTTGACGCGACGCCCAGTTTGAGAACCATGGTGTTACGTAATCAACGCTATCTGTTATGTACTTGGACGCCTAAGGCGTGAGTGTTATCTACCGGCGCTTAAAATTCAACAGCGTTGTGACAAAAGCGCTTCTTATTTCCTATTGTTCTATACCAATGAAAAATCAGCTTTTACATCGGGCGGGTATTCAAGCACCGGCCCCCTATTTATTTTTATGTTCTGTTTACACGGGCGGCTATTCATGCGGGCCCCTAATGAAGATCGGGCGGTAAAACGAGCATATACGGTAAATATAATAGCTAACTTTTGAAACGCCAATCACCAGCTGCGGTGCACGTTTCTCAATAGCTGCAGTCGCCAAACGTCTAAAAATGAAACCAGTTTGCTGATTAATACGACATTGCAACGGGGTTGCGTAACCCTCTTAATCCAACCACTGAAAATATTTGAATTCGAATACGCCCTGTTATCTTGTTAATGCCATTTTTATCATAAACAAAGGCATTTAAAAGTTTATATATTTATTGCAATGTTTTAAATTTTTTCCCTGAGCGGGTGTCTTAGAAGTAATTGGTATCAGCACAGGCCAAATGTATAAATATCACTCACTTTATGCAGTTGCCCTTAATACAGAATTTGGATGGGCATAATATTTTAGATCAGAAGAATATGTGAGTGAAGATTTATTCAAACCTCTACATTTAAATGGACTAAAGAGTTGGTTCGGAAATCTCCCAAAAGAAATTGAAGAAAATCTCGGACACAATGGAATTGGTCAATTGATGTATTTTGACTATAATCCAGAAGAGCATACCCCGATTTATGGCCGGCCTGATGAATTTATGATGAAAATGATAAATAAGTAAATAGGAATTGTAGAAATTATAGATAATTACCGTCCCCAACGTTAGTATTGATGATTTTTTTTTTCGAAGTTAGTCGACTTCTTTTTGTGGGTAATATACACCAAATTATCGCAATCTGGTTTGTCAATTTGTGAGCTGTAGCTCAATGTCGCCGAATATATCATATTAGGAGAATATATTCTGACGTAAAGATTAGCGCCTCGCGCAGGCACGCATAAAATACTTCTATTTACGGTAGACGTAAAGGTTTGTTTATATAGAGTGGGAAAGTAATGCTCATTTTATATATAATAATCATATAAGAAAAAAGACTTTTCGTTGACTTGAGTCTTCTGATACGAGCTAACATGATTTAATTCACGTAAAAAGAAGTATTAAACAAGCCCAGGAAAATTCCTATTTTTACATGAAATTGACTAGTTTCGTTGTATTTCGTAATGAAATTTGTAAATTGCACCAAACCACCTAAAATAATTTTTCATTATATTACGTTATTGCTAAAATTACTAAACGAATAAAAGTTCTATAATATTAAATTTTTATTGGATGATAAGTGATCAATTTTGTTACATGTGAATCAACGAACAATAAATATGAATAGTTGAATTGTTTCCATATATATTTGCGAACGATTATTCCTCTAGCAAAATGAAGGGAAAGAAGATAAGGGAGAATAACTATAACAAACTCATGTGGTTCCCCATAGTTCCCCCTCGATTGCATCGTGAAACACTTCGTTTTGGTGCAATTTTAAGCATATCTTTTTCTACGTCTTCCGGAATATTACCGAACCATTGTACGAGTCCAGTAAATACACAGGGGTTTTGATACTCGCTTTGTGGATACTTCGGTTCTGTCAAGTTAGAGTAGGTTGAAATCATAAGTTTGAATAGGCAAACACTTTTGGGTTGATTACACTGCCATGATTTCAGAGTGGGGCCGAAGTTATTTCGATAACAATAAAACTATTGCAATATTGTGACGAAAACATGAAGATTGTCGAACAGAAAATAGCCCCAAATATCATATTGTATCCTTTGATGGCTGGACCTACAAGTGAAATCTGTTCGTTGCTCATTACAGAGCTCAAATATTACGAATTAAACCTCTCCTTGCCCCCATATAAATCTTTTATCAGTGGTGGGATTTAGTGTGTTAACATGGGTTCTACGCAGTTCTACAGATTAAGAGAGAAAAAAAATAAAGAATGGATTCTTATTAATATTATATATTTAGTTATATCTGAATATCAGAAGGATGCAATAAATAATGAGAATATCGCATTTACGATATATTCCGCAATATAACTTAATTATGCTTTCTTAGGTTCTAAAAAGTGTTCAAATCGATAGCGATGCCCAATAAAAAAGGGGTATTGCAGACAGTGGGAGAATCAAAATTTTAGAAACAGTTTCATTTTTGTATCGAACTTACCAACAACAGGTTCCCGTCATTTCGAAAAATGTATGTATGTCACTGAGTAAGCTGCATTAACATGCCACGCCTTATATAACTTTCGAAACGCCAAATATAACCTTAGGGTAGGGTACGCGGACCCCTGGGGGTGCGCGACGATATGAAATGAGTCTGATCGATCTTTATTGATAAATTTCAAATCATTGCATCTTCTTGATGGAGCGTTGCGGACGCAAATTTAATTCTGTCAGAAAGGGAAAATCTACATGTGTGAGGCAGCATTTCAGCTCTTACCAATTTGATGACAATATAAAGGTCGCGACTTGCCGTAGAGTCGGACCGTGCGAGTTTGCTTGTCACAAATTGCTAAGACAATTATTAAATTGTGCAGTCATTCGGTCAATTGTGCAGTTGCGTACAATCATCGCCACGTTTGTATCTTCACCAAAATCATAAGCTTTTACCCGGAATGTTTAGCCGAGATATCAGAGAGATGTTTTGAGTGAGAAAAATTGACATATTGACATTTTCCACATAAAATGACGGCATTATTACGGTAAATACTGTTCGGGTAAATTATGCTTAGCATACTTTGTTTTTGAGGTTGAAGTGATAGAGTTTTTCAAAGTTATACAAACACATTTATTCGATCGCATTATTAATTTTCGCAAGGTGGTTTCATCGCAGCAGGGTCGTTCACGTAATGGCTTATCGGTTGCGTCCTACTGCGCCAACTACTGAACTACAGCTTGAGAAGGTGTGTATGAGCCTCTATCTATATTTGTGGAGTTTTGAAAGATTTATTGCAATTAAGAAGCGCTTGGAAAGTTTTTACATCCATTTTCCTTCAACCTATTTAATACAAAAAAATCAAATAGTACAGCCATTTTAAACAAAACAGGCAAAAAAAACTTGATTCAAAACAATCGTTTTAAAACAATTCTTTTTGAACAAATCCCTAACCACATTCAAAAAACGTATCCGCGCGAATTGGGTTAATTCCAAATATTTATACTGTGCTAAGAGCAACTTCACTTGATGTACGAAAAAATCGATGTTTGTTTGTACAGCCATCAAATGGTACTCAGTACTATATTTGGGGCAATTTTCTGGATGAGAAATCAAAGGTCAGCAGGCAGGGATTTGAAAACGCCGCATGTATTTCTGTTCGAATTTTACGTGTATTCATCACAGTAATATTGAGGTTTGGAACTTTTTGTTAATAAAATACTCTTGATTATACTCAGAAACCATCCCACTGGAATCGTCCTAGACATATTTGCCAATTCAAGTTTACAATTTTCATGTATGAATGTTCATTACTAAAGTGCTAGTAGAATCAAAATGATGCTAGCAAGAGGAAGGCGCAGATTCAAAAGTGTCGTTATTTTTGTAAAAAAGAAAAATAGTTTCAAGATAAATGGTGGTGCAGAGACCTAATCGGAGCAGCAATATGAGACTGGGATAGGTGCGTGTCCTCTACTCGCTTATCTCCAAGCTTCCCACCCCAAAACTGATTGCTTAGCAATCTCAACGATTATGATTACCTTGATCACTGTAACTAACTGAACCGGAAAGACGTACCTCTTGAGTCGATTCCGATTGATATAAGCACGAAATGCGGCCATCAGCCAAACTTTTGCGTATTTGTCACCCTGAAAATTTTCTATGTTTTTATAATCTGATCACGACAACCATTATGTCATATATGCGTGCCTCGGAATCGTGCCTATTATCATTGTTGGCGCATTGTCAGAACTTTGTAAACCACCTTACAATACGAATTTTGCAGGTTGGTTTGAATCTATTATTCTTTGCACTATTTTCCAGTAAAAGTGATATTTTATTTACGTTTTCGCATATGACAAATGCAGTATGGTATATTAACGCCTCTCTCACAAGATAAAATATTAGATATCAATCTAGATTACGGTTTTCCAGCTCTGAACTTCAAAAATACGAAAAAATCATAACCTGACTCAAAGTGCTGAAATGCCACTATGATCAACATTAAATCAGTTATTATCTAAAAAAAACGACAGAATTGGCGCAATCGTCGTCACTAAGTTAGCGGCAATCTGTAATTGAACTAAAATAAAAATTGAATAACGGGGCATGATTCGAACAGTTATCACTATTATAAGTAATTACAAAATTGTAACAATTATTAGTACATACCACTGAATAGGTTTTGTTCTGTTACAGTGGATTTCAATGCAGAATAAAAAGGAATGCTTCCTTTTTATAACAAATTTATCATCCAACCATTGCTGATTCTATTCCAACATTGGTATTCACACTCGTTATGTACTATTGAGTTAATATTTGAGATTGTATTCTCTCATATAAATTTGTAACGTGACTAGACTAGGCTAAACTTAGTTCCGAATCCTTGAATCCTAGTTCGAACTATGAAAATTTTTCTTTTTTCAGTAATTACCAAAGTTTTCGACTTCACTTCATAACTGTAAGTTTTGCGAAATTTGTAAGATACAATTTTCAATGTATTTTTTAACAGTTGTAAAAACTATCATTGAAATGCATAATACACTAACTAGTCATTTATTACCAATTTGTGTTTGTTCGTTTGTGTTTCCTTTTCTTCTCTTGAAAATAATGGACTATAATCCCGATACCGAACAATGGACACCATATTCAAGTGTTGATGTAAGTATACTGAATCAATAGTAACTCAATGCCCAACATGAGTGATCGTAGTAGAAGTAGATCATAAATAGACGACATATTTTCATAATTTCTTCCAAAAGGCAAGAGCGGAATAAAATTACTTGGAAAACAAACGTTTTTAGACCAAATCTTGTTCCGTTTTAATCTACGAAAGTGCTTAACTTTTTACAAAAAAAACGCATGACGTTTGCACATTTTTTTTCTTACTCACATTCAACCATATCCCATATTTAACAGTAATAAACACCATTCCTTAGTCGATGGATATTTCAATAATAAGGAAACAAGTGATAAGTTAGTGATGTTGAGAGTTCTAAACGGTGCACCCAATCACCCTTTTTTCAACTTTTTTCGAGAGTTCCATTTTCGCTAGGATAGTTCAACTGAAATCAATAGTCATCAATATATAATCATGGAATTACGAGTCGGTGATTTTATTAAAGCTTTTTTTTCAGTCTCAAAATCGAAGGAAAATGGAAATAATATTTATTGGAGGAATACATCGGAGTGGCACAACGTTACTAAGGACAATGCTTGATGCCCATGCTGATATTAGATGCGGCCCTGAGACTGTAGTAATCTGCGACGTACTGGGGGCGAGAGAGGCAATGGCAAAGTAAATAGTTGTTTAAGGGTTATAGCAATAGGGCAAAATAAACCCCTGGAAACGTGTGAATATTATATAAACAAAGTAATATTATTTAATTTTGTTGACGTCACCCCACACAAAACGTTAAATTCAAAAACGAATTCCCCCGAGCCCACAGAAAGTTTTGAGGAAATAAATAAAAGTAGCTTTCTAGCGACAACAACAATCATTAACCACTGACGATTTAAAAACAATTGAAAATTAACATTTTTTTTGTTGAGAAAAGCCATCTTGTCACAACAACAAGAAACAATACAAAATGATCCATAAGTCCACATCGTGTGCTTCGATATATATAGTTGATAAGTAGATAATGGCAAGCGCAACAAATTCAGTTTAATTGTAAAAATAATGCTATTACGAAAGAACGGATGGGGAAAGAATACAACATCTAATTGTGAAATATCTCCTTTTCCACAGGACACCTATAACTGTTTCGTACCTCTCCAAAATGGACCTATATCCTGAAATAACTGATAATGCTGTAGCACAATTTATTCTGGAAATAATAATTCGTCATGCGCCACCAGCTATTCATTATTGCAACAAGGACCCTCTACAAATGTTGCATTCAAAGTGAGAATCTTATAACGGTTAAATTACGAAAAAAAAATATATATATATATCGAAGCCAGATCAGAACTTCCCGAAATTTTGCAGTTAGTAAAAGAAGTTGATATTTTTCAACGGAAAATTTTTTTCATTTCATAAAATGAATAATTAAGCATATTTGAATTAATGTTATCGCTCAAATTAGAGTAATCTAAATTCTAAAATATAGTGTTATGCATAATTAATATGCGCTCATTGCATTCGAATTATTATATCCTATTGATTTATAGTCTTCTATAACCGTTTTAGATATCTTCATTTTCTGTTTCCGAATGCAAAATTTGTTTTAATGATACGAGATGGAAGAGCAATGACCCATTCTATTATATCAAGGAAATTGAAATTATCTACATATAATATTGAGAGTTATAGGTATGCGAAATTGGTACGATAATGCTGATAACAAATCAGTTAGAGTGTAGAAATAAAAGGATTAAAACTGCTTCTGAATGGGTAAAAATAACCTAAATATTGGAAAGATTTAAGCATTTCTAGCTAAGTGAAAACCAGATTGCGATCCAGAAATCCCTCCGTAAATATAAATTTAAATGAAATAGTTCATTTAGAGAAATCAGTTATAATTTCCAAGATCATCGTAGGTCTAGTTTAATCTTGCTTGTGATACCACATTATTTATCAGAGTTTTACGGATTCTTTGTATATTTGATCCTAGGGAAACGTTGTCGACGTGGAACAAAAATATAGAGAGAATGTATACCCAATGTATAGAACTTGGAGAGACGATATGTCATTTGGTATATTACGAGCAATTAGTATTGCAGCCGGTGTCAACTACCAAGAACTTGTTTAAGTTTTTGGAAATACCTTGGAGTATCGCAGTTCTGCATCATGAAAAATATACAAACGAAAGTGATTTCTCAAAGTAAGTAAAATTAGAAAACAATATTAAGTACTAGTTTGAAATTAAATTAAATGCTTAGTGATCGTTTCTGATTGTTCGTGTAATAGAGAAATCAACTGTATTATTTGTTATAAAAACAATAACGCTAGGAGTACTATGGTTTATTTTAATTTAAAACTATAAAAAAGTAAAACAAAATACTCTATTTTGATAGAACCGAAGTATCCACCGATCAAGTGTCAAAACCTCTGTATTTGGCTGGACTCACGCAATGGTTTGGTAACATTCCAGAAGACGTAGAAAGAGATATGATCAAAATTGCACCGATGCTAAGTGTTTTAGGATATAATCCAGAAGACAAGACTCCTAACTATGGAGAACCAGATGAGTTTGTCAAAGAAAAGGTTATAGTTATTATCTTCTTCCTCGTCACCATTCTCTTCCTTATCTTTCCTTCTTTTTATTAAATATCATTCTCAGTAATTTATTTTTAATAAATAAGCAAATAACTTCAAATATCAAGGAAAATGGAAGACTAACATAACAAGATAAGGTCTGAATAATAAATGTTCTATTGTCAATTACGTTTGATAATAATTAGGTCACTTAAAATCTTTACTTCTCGCCTGCTTTCCATTTTTCTCATTTTCTAAACTGCTTTGTCAGTAATAAATTAGTGATAACTGAATATATAACTTTACAGATTAAGAAAGAAAAGAAGAATACCATCACAAGTTGACGTTGTTATAATAGGCGGCACATTACTAACAAACCTACATGTCAGTTATGAGAAGGAATCGGGCAAACCCCTTGTAATGATAAATCTTTTATGGCGTGTTCAAAAGTTTTTTTTACGCAAAATAATTCATGTTTATTGTTCTGGGAAGATCAATTCAAAGAACAGTCTTTTTTCTTGTAAGGATAATACATAAAAAAGAAACCTTTTGGCCGGGCGAAAAGAAAATCCGAGTAGGCCTTCAAAATTAAATATCAAATTAAATTTTATTATCGGAGGTTCGATTGACAGACATTAAGAATTCTACCTATAGGTGTATGGTGCCAGTACATCACATACAATTGATTGATCAGTTTATTTTGTTATTATTCTTGTTTTTAATTCTGATTTACCTATTTTATAATAAAAGCTATCATATACAGCAAATAAATTATTAAAGAGATATTCGAATGATCATATGGTTGTCATATAAATGTAAGAAGCACTCATAGCTGAGTATGCTAAACTAATCATTAACGTATTTCATCACAATTAAGTTCAGCTCTGAGGAGTTTAGTAAAATTTGGGTATTTAGTCAACGGCAACAAATTTGTTACACACTTATTAGTGTTACCATGTCTATTCCTCTGTTCATTAATGAACAGAGCCAAAATGGCTCAGTCTTGCTTCTATTTCAAGAAATTCAACTAATTGATGCTCTGTGGTAAAGAAAATAAATTCTCTTTTGTGAATATTGAAACTATTGCTTACTTAGATTTATGAATGAGGCATGTTTGATATAGGGGAGGGAAAAGAAATCTCAAATTTTAATTTCACAATATGACAATGCTGTTGCGAATATTCAACTAGTTTAAGTAAATTTACGTTACTACCAACATTTTCAAGACATGTTTCAGGATGAATGCCTGTCACTTGCTCATCGAATCGTAGACTTATTCACCGTCATTGATTTGTCAGAGTGCACAAGCTTAATAATGTTGGCAAAGCAATTAGGTATTTGATTAAATTTCCAAAAATATACAGTACATATAAATAATGATATATATAGACTTTTGTGCATAAATGGAAACTTGCAGAACCCTGGACTGTACTGGCGAATTCTTAGGTTACCGTGTAGAGCCAATTGAAAATCACTGTTTCATACAAACAAATAGCTGCTAACCTAAAAAAATGAAAAACATAATAAAAAAATAGAAAGGATCAAATTGATGATCAGTTTTCCAGTCATAGTATTCCCCCATGGCAGTCAGAAATTTGGTTTGCAGATTCAATCCTTTGAAGACGATAATTCAAGATGAACGCCTTCTATTTAGGCATGAATACACCTGCTTCAAATCAACGCTGTATGTTTAATGACTATTTGTAATTTATATGCTGCATGTGCACTTCCTTGGGCGCCGATTAGTTTTTGTGAATTTATTTTTCATTTATTCCGGTACCTGCTGCTCTGTTTTATGCATAAATACCTAATATTTTAGATATTCTGTACAAGCTGAGACTAAACTACCGTTGTCAGGTAGCGGTAGCGAACAAATGTCTTCATTTTCTAATTGTATAAATGTACAGTGTCAACTAGTTACTTTTCCTTGATTTTTTTTCGTCACTGTGCATCGTCACTACTCCACATTGTGACCGCGTGGGGGGCTAGGTCACCTATGAAATTCCACAAACTCTGACTACTATCCAGGATCAGGGCTGCCACTTTTGTCTGAATAAATACACCTAGATTGACTTCATAAAACATCTAAAAATATCTAGATTGAAAAACAAAACATCCAAAAAATATATCTGAATATGAAGTTACTAAGTTTAATAAAAATAAACATAACAAGAGAGTACAAATAGTTCATTATATGACATCATAGTAGATTTTGAAAATCATTCGAAGTTGATGTTGTTGTTACAGTTGCTTCAGAGGGATTTTTATGGATTTCTTCTGTATATATATACATGTTTTTTTGAAACAGAAACAGGTTCGTTTCTTGAATGGCGTGCAACATTATTTATTTGGGATTGGGTTAAATTTATTGATAACTAGTATTGCATTCTGTCTTCTTAGTTTGTTTTTTCACAGTTTATTACACTAAATTTTTTTCAACATCAGCATTTAAATGACGTAGTGGCGTAGCTGGCTTACATTGCTGTTGCCGTGTTATTACTTATCGATTTTAATCGGTAAGTATGTTGATGATATTTGTCTGTCTGTATGACTGTTTGTTTGTCTATTAGATGCACGCGATATCTCACGAAAGCGAGATTGAATCTGCTCCAGATTGTGCATGTGCATTCATCTTATATTGGACCAGAAGCCTATTGATTTTGGGCGAATTGTCGTATAATTAGCGAGTTATCAATTAATGAGTGATGGGACACAAGGTGTCACTATGGAGTAAGAGCGCTGTTTTGGGGGATCCCCTAACTTTCGATTAATAAGTCTTCGGTCTCTGACCGATATTCTCGTTGTTCCACTTTGTGGCTTACAAGATGTAGATGTTTGTAGCTGACTTTCTGCCCTGTCGATAATGTTTTTGGGATAGGTATGTTTTATGACAGCTGACAGAATGTATGTCGTATGTTGCTAACAGAAAACAAAGACACGATTTTCAAAACAGCCAAATTTGCAAGTAGTCTCTGTTTCAGCTGTTTATGTGAGATACTGAAAATAAAAAAAACTTTGGCATATACTTTATACAGTTATCAGGTTATATTGCTCTCTCCAGTTTTGTGATTAAAATCTCTTAGATTTAATATTAGGCATATGGGTGCTCCCGAAGTATGCGAATCAAGCTGGCGGACATCGCAACGTAACATGGGTAACAGGTTAGGGTTAGGCGATAATTTTTTTCCCTATTTTCCTTATTTTAGTCCTATTATCAGTTCGAAGACTAGCCAAGAGCCTCCCATAGTATTCATACCTAAAATTATGGCCTAACCCTAACCTAGTACACATGTTACATTCCGATGTCCGCCATCTTGGTTCGCATACTTCGGGAGCCCCGGCATATGATTACTTATCGATCTCGATCGGTAATTATGTTATTAGGTATATTTGTCTGTTGGACACTTTTGTATGTTGCGCGATATCTCACGTAAGCGAGGTTGAATCTGCTCCAAATTTTGCATGTGCATTCATCATATCTCGGACCAGGAGCCCAATGATTTTGAATGAATGATGTCGTATAATTAGCAAGTTATCAATTAATTAGTGATGGGACACGCGGTGTCGCTATTGAATAGGCACGAATGAATCGAAACCACAGTTTCTGTTTTGAAGAATCCCCTATCTTTCGTCGCTGCGAACGATCGTTAAGTCGGCGGTCTCCGATCGTTATCTAGTTTAAGTTTTATCAACTTTACATCCAATTCTAAATACTGTTCGTTTAACAATAATACACATCGCTTTTTTTATTTTCAACTGAATAATATTTAGAACGTTGAAAAAAAATATCTAGATTTCATAGCAAACATCTAGACTCCGAATTTCACATCTAAATCTTAAACAAAACATCTGAAGTGGCAGCCCTGTTCAGGATACGCAACAAAGCACGTTTGTTCCGAGTAACCCAGTTGAAACGGCAAATCACCCGTTCGTCTGGGTGTCAGTGCTCGATAATCGGATTTGATTCCCCGTGACTTCCCTTCCACAGTAAAATTGTACGATTTCAGGGTTTAGAAAGTATATATTTTGACTCCTTGTCAGTTGGTTGTATGATCGACGACAGCTTATCGTCTGTCGTTAAACGGCGACGAATAGCAACGATAGAGCCTCTATCCGACCCCTCAGCACTTCAGACTCTTCAACGAGACCAACAATGTCTTTATTATCCAACGTACGATATAATACTTTACAATACAATATGATCGCAGTGGAATACGATTCTACACGATAGAAGAATACCTTATTAATCAGTACCTTATCATACCTTATCAATCAATCAGATAATTAATCAGTGAATATTGAATTGCTTATACACTAATTACCAATGCATGAAAATGTTCTAATCTAGCGTGGAACTGTGGAACTGTTCTCCATAGTTAGCAGTCTTTTTTGCTGAATTGCATCGTGAAACACTTAGCATTGATGCAATTTTCAACAGATCTTTTACTACATATTCCGGAATATTACCGAATAATTACATTAGCCCAGTAAATACAAGAGGGTTCGATACTCGCTTTGTGGATACTTCGGTCCTTTCAAGATAGAGTAGGATAAAATCATAGGTTTGGATAGGGAAACTCGATTACATTGGCATGATTTTTGAGTGGCCTAAGATATTCCAATAACAAAAAAATCAAATTATGGCATTACTGTAACAAAATCATGAAGAATGCCGAACAGAAATACATGCGTCGTTATCAAATACGTGTCTGCTGAAAAGTCTTACATCTTCCCATCCTGAAATTTGCCCCCCAATTTGCAATATCGTTCATACCATTTGATGGCTGAACATACAAATATCGATTTTTTTTGTACAATAAGTGAAATTTGTTCGTTGCTCTCAACAGATTATATATATTGGAAATTAACCCTCTCCTTCATCTATACTTTATCTAGAGAGAAACGTTGAAATCACAAAAATAAAGAAACGTTTGATATTACCAATATACATTCAGTTGAATCTGAATACTATTTCATGCAATACATAGGTAAAATCAGGGTATTCACGATATATTTTGCAGTATAACTTAATTATTCTTTCTTAGGTTCCTAAAAACCTTTGAATCGATGCCCAATGGAAAACAAGTGGGACTGCAGACAGTGGTGGAATCCAATATTTAAGAAACACGTTTTCTTTCTCTATTTGATTCGAGAGTCTTGCCGCATAAAAACACAAATATATTCATGTAACCAAGGTCAGACTTCCTCAGATATGCACAGTTCTACTTAGTAGAATCTACTATAACAAGAAAGCAGCTGTATGTGTATTCAAACTGAGTGTAAAACTATGGGAGTTTTTCGCTGTTTATGACATACCTGGCCGTCCAATAAATAATTTAAACAATTAATGAAAGGTTTTCTATTGCTCTAAACTTCCTTAATATTCATTCTTTGTGACTCATGTGCCATGGAGATGAATGAAATGTGATTCCTTGAGACTTAGTCCACTTTAACATGCCGAACCGCCAAATATTACGCTGGTCGTTAACTGCGCCGCACGTTATATAACCATGTGCCGCAGTTGCCTAACGTCTAAAACAAAACACAAAACGGATTCGCTGAATGCCCGATAACCGATTCGCGCGAACCCTCTGAATGCAGACTCGTTAGGTTTGGAATTTAATAGCGGCAAGGAGAGGGTTAATTTTCAATATTTACTCTCTGTAAAGAGCAACTTCACTTAATGTACAAAAAAAAATCGATATTTGTTTTTTTTCAGTCATCAAATGGTACTCAGTACGATATTTGGGGTAATTTCCAGGATGCGAAATCAAAGATGTTAGACTACAGACAGGTATTTGAGAAAGCCGCATCATGTATTTCTGTTCGACATTTTTCCTTTATTCGTCACAGTAATGCAATAGTTTGGAATTTTTTTGTTATTGTAATACCTTCGGCTACTCAGGTAACCACGCCGGTGTAATCGACCTAGCATACTTTCCTATTCAAGCTTATGAATGTCATGTATGAATGCCCAATACGAGTATGCTAGTAGAGTCAACAACGCTCAGATTGAATAGTGTTGTATTTTGTAAGAAAAGGAAAATGGCTTTACGATAAATGGTGAGGCAGAAACCTAATTGAAGCACCAATATTGGACTGCGATAGGTACGTTTTGTCTACTCGCTTATCTCCAATATTTCTACCCATGAAATCTAATTCTGATCGTGTGCGGTCGCTTAGTAACTTTAACAATTTTGATTACGATCATTGTTGACCAATGTAACTAACTAACCGAAGGCAAGCTGCAGTTTATTTATCCGCTAAACCGAGTTTAGCGAACATGAGTGATTTTAAGTATCTCAAAGAAAAATCAGGCAGAGATGAGGAAGAAGAGTTGATATTGCCTTTATTCTTTAGGTCTGAATGTTTTCAAACATTCATAAAAAGACATAAAGTACACATTAACAATCGCAAAATAGATTTTTTTTTTGAAGGCAGCAATTTTCGTGTGCGTGTGCCGTATGTTTTTTTCCTGATTACTTGGCGCGCCACACGATCAAAATGTTTGGGAACCGCTGCGTTAGAGTGTGCATTGCTTTTCCTTCACATTATCCACATTTTTAGCGCCATTTATCTGCTTTAACAATCTCATCACTTCAACCAAATATATCATGAATAGGTGCCCATTATCATTGCACGCTCATTGTCGCGTATAAAAGGGCCTAAGAATTGAATAATAAGCCCAATCCGATTTTCGAATTCGCATAATAATAATCACTAGAAAAAAAAACTAATACCTTTGATACAGAATATATAAACTTTGAATATTAGAAAATTATTAATGATTTTATTTTTTGAATAACCTGACTTAAAAGGCTGAAACGCTACTAAGATCAACACAAAATAGGTCATCAATTGAAAAAAGTATGACACCTGACAAAATTAGCGCACTCGTCGTCACTAAGTTAGTGACGATCTGCAATTAAACTAAAAAAAATTGATAAAAGGGGCATGATTTGAGCAGTTATCACTATTATAAATAGTAATAATAAAAATACCTTAGCGACAATTCTTAGCACTTACCATTGAAGAGATTTTGTTCTGTTACAATGGATTTCAATGCAGAATTCTAAGAGGAATGCATTTTTCTGTACAACCAATTTATAATCCAACCATTGCATATTCTATTCCCCCTTCGCGGTATTCACACTCGTTGATTAATATACGAGATTGTATTTACTCGGGTAAATTCGTAAAGTGGATAGAACAGGCTAAATTTAGTTTCGAAGCCTTGAATAGTTTAAACTATGAAAATTTTCCTCGTTTCAGTATTTTCAACGTTCTGGATTTTGCCGTAATCGAAGTAATTGCAAAATACAATTTTGAAAGAATTTTTCAACAGTTTTAAAAAATTATCATTGAAATGCGTAATGCACCAACTAGTCGTTTATTACTAATTTGTTTTTGTTCGTTTGTGCTTCCTTTTCTTCTTTTGCAAATATTGGATTATAATTCCGAGACCGAACAATGGACATTATATTCAAGTGTTGATGTGAGTAAACTGAATTAGTAGTAACTCTGTTTTTTTCTCGTAAATCGGGGGTCGGCAACCTTTTGTCGCTCGCGGGTCAAAATTACGGGTTGCAAGTCTTGAAGTGCCAGATGTTGAAATTAAAAAGACTGCGACAACTCGTGAACTCATCTTTTTTGTCTTACTAAATGAATTTATTGTGACACTTTTTGTTGCATCACGCTTGATAATAGCTTTTTTACATCAGGCGGCATGTTGGATGAAACAAGATTTGAAAAATTTCTAAATTGGCATCACTGATCCTGAGTTTGTAATGTTCATTTCAAAAATAATTGTTCGCACACACATTTACTTCCAAACTTTGATGGGAATTTTTTCGCATGGTTTGTCAAATTTGCAAAGAGTTTTCCTTCAAGAAGATACTTTTTATAGAGATCAATCAGTGATACATCTCTCGAATAGAACATGGATTTTATTTCCACATTGCATTTATTTTTTTCTGCACCATTAAACCCACTGCACTCAGCATCAAATTTTCTGCGTTCTGTTGCCATTTGTCTAATTATAATGACACTGTACGCTCATTAAACGAGTTCACTAAATTGATAGGTTATAATATAATCGTGAAAACAACCGTTTTGTCGCTATAATTTAGTGAAGTCTCACGGGCCGGATTATATTACTCCGCGGGCCGCAGGTTGCCGACCCCCGTCGTAAATGTTTGTAACTGATCTTATTTTTTCGCCAACGATGATAGCTGTCTACCTATGTTGAAATTTCTGTCTACGGTGAAGTATATGCTCTTTTCAATTATTACAAAAAATGCCCAACAGAGGAGATCAAAGTAGATCATGTATAGACGACAAATCTTCGTAATTCCTTCCAATAAAATTGAGTAAAAACGGAATGAAATTCTTTGAAAAAAAACGTGTTTGGGTAAAATCTTGTTCCAATCTACCAAAGTGCCTACCCCTTCCACCAGAAACCGCACGTCGTTCGCACATTTTTTGGTCAACTCTTTTTATAATGATTTTATTTTTATTACATGTAAGCACGCGCCATATTTAGCATTATTAAGCACCATTCCTTAGTTGATGGATATTTCAATATTAAGGGCACAGTACAAAATATAGTATACAAAATACCTTAGTTGATGGATATTTCAATAATAAGGGCACGATACAAAAAATAGTACAAAAACGAACGCATCCTATTTTAATTGACGTATTGTCTGTCAGTTTGTGAAGATTGCGAGTATTTAACGGTGTACTCAATCACACTTTTTATCAAGATCTTTGAGAGGGTTGCAATTTCAGTGAGATAGAGCACTAAAAGTCATTAATATGCAATCATTGAATAACGACGAGTCGGTGATTTTAATAATTCTTTTCTTGCAGCTTCGAAATCGAAGGCAAATGGAAATAATATTCATTGGAGGAATGCATCGCAGTGGCACAACATTGCTAAGAACAATGCTTGATGCCCATGCTGATATTAGATGTGGCCCTGAGACTGCAGTGATCTGCGACGTACTGGGGGTGAGAGAGGCAATGGCAAAGTAAATAGTTGTTTACAACTAATAGTAATTAGGCAAAATAAAACACTGAAAACGTGTGAATATCATATGAACAAGTGATTTTTTTTAATTTTGTTGACGTCACCACAAAAAACGTGGAAAAACGAATCCCACAGAGCCCGTAGGAAGTAGCAAAAGTAATAGTCTTCTAGCGACAACAACAGTCTTTAACCGCTGAAGTTTCAAATCAATTGGTCCGGTAGTTAATGAGAAAACAATCTATAGGTCCACTTCGTGTTCAAAAATTGATATAATTTTGATTGGCAAGGAACAACAAAATCAGTTTCTTCATAAAAATAATGCTATTACGAAAGAAAGAATGTGAAAAGAATAAGACATGCGATTGTGCAATATCTCTTTTACCACAGGGATCCAATGATAGTTTCACGCCTTTCAAAGACGGACCTATATCCTGGAATTACTGATAATGCTGTTGCACAATTTATTCTGGAAATAATAATTCGTCATGCGCCACCAGCTATTCATTATTGCAACAAAGACCCTCTACAAATGTTGTTTTCAAAGTGAGATTGTATCTTATAACGGTTAAATTATGAAAAAAAAAACATATTGAAGCAAGATCGAAACTAAATGAGGTTATTATTTTTTCAACAAAAAAGCTTTCTCATTTTATGAAATTAATAATCAGGCCTATTTGGATAACTGTTATCGTTTAAATTAGAGTAATCCGAAATATAGTGATATGCATAATCATTATGCTCTTATTACATTCGCATTGTTATATTTTATTTATTTATAGACTTCTCTAACAATTCTAGATATCTACACCTTTTGTTTCCAAACGCAAAATTTGTTTTAATGATACGAGATGGAAGAGCAATGGCCCATTCTATCATATCGAGGAAATTACAAATATATACATATAGCATTGAGAGTTATAGGTATGTGAAATTGATACGCTTATGACAGTAACAAATCAGTTGGAATTAAAACGGCTTCTGATTGGTTGTGATATAAAGGCTTACTTAAATACTGGTACGAGTTTAAGCATTTCAAGCTAAAGTGAAAACCTGATCGCGATAGAAATTCCTTCCCTACATATAACTCCAAATCAAATAGTTTATTTTGAGAATTTATTTTAATTTCCCAGATCATTGTAGGTCTAGTTTAATCTTGCCTGTGATACCACATTATTTATCAGTGTTTTACGGATTCTTTGTATATTTGATTCTAGAGAAACGTTATCGACGTGGAACAAAAATATAGAGAGAATGTATACGCAATGTATAGAACTTGGAGAGACGATATGTCATTTGGTATATTACGAGCAATTAGTATTGCAGCCGGTGTCAACTACCAAGAACTTGTTTAAGTTTTTGGAAATACCTTGGAGTATCGCAGTTCTGCATCATGAAAAATATACAAACGAAAGTGATTTCTCAAAGCAAGTAAAATTAGAAAACAATATTAAGTACTAATCTGTAAAATTAATTCTGATGCCTATTGATCGTTTCTGGCTTAACAGAGCAATCAACTATATTATTGGTTACAAAAACAATGACTCTATAAAAGTACTTATAGTTTATTCTAATTTAAAACAATAAAAAAGTTGAAAAATAAACACTCTATTACTCTTACTCTATTTTGACAGAGCCGAGGCATCCACCGATCAAGTATCAAAACCTCTGTATTTGGCTGGACTCACACAATGGTTTGGTAACATTCCAAAAGATGTAGAAAGAGATATGATCAAAATTGCACCGATGCTAAGTGTTTTAGGATATAATCCAGAAGACAAGACTCCTAACTATGGAGAACCAGATGAGTTTGTCAAAGAAAAGGTTATAGTTATTATCTTCCTCCTTCCTCGTCACCATTCTCTTCCTTATCTTTCCTTCTTTTTATTTAATATCATTCTCAGGAATTTATTTCTAATGAATGAGCAAATAAGTTCACATATATATCAAGGAATATGGAAGACCAACATTACAAGCTAAGATCTGAATAATAAATGGGTTGCACATGTTCTATTATCAAATACGTTTGATAATAATTTTGTCACTTAAAATCTTTAGTTCTGTTCTCACCTGCCTTCCTTTCTTTTCATTTAACTTATTTTTCAGTAACAAATTATTGATAACAAAATGAATAACTTTACAGATTGAGAAAGAAAAGAAGAATAACATCACAAGTTAACGTTGTTACAATGGGTTGCACATTAGTAATCACAGTACTTTGTCGTTACTTCATGTCAGTGTGATGAAATATCTTGATATCTTTGCAATATGTTAAAACCTAAATGTTACCTATAAAATATAATTATCTTTGGTCGAAAGAAGATTATAATTACCAATATTGTTTCATATCAATATATTCGTGTTTCCCATTTTGCTAGAGGTATATATAATCGCTCGGAAAATATACGGAAATTATTTAACATTTAGTATTTATTGTTCGTTTACTTCAAACGTAACAAAATTTATCGCATATTAACCAATATTAAATAAATAGTATAATAGTTGCCATATATATAAGTCAGAAATTGAAAATGCTAATTCTGAGTAGTTTATTCTCGCCGTGAGTATGATGTCTTGTCCGCCCACTTCCGTGGACTGCGAGCGACTTTTCGGTAACATCCCCTTTACGGAACAGGCTTGTTCCAGGAAATGTAGGAATTCTTACATTTTTGTACGTTAATCTGAACAAATTACAGTTCGAATACTGACATTGCATATATCATACATTTGGTGCAAACGTTTTTGTGGGATGTATCACTCTGCTGATTTGTACCATTCTGTTTTGTGATGTGATTTCATTGAGAATATAAGCCGTCTGAATAAATAGTCGACAAGTTTTTATCTCCTGAAATGTCTTACCAAGCAAGCAAGACAGGCGATGAAGTTTCTTCGCTGCGTAGATAGTTGGATAAAAGAGAGAAATAGAGAGAGAAAATCGACTGGAAATTCTCGTGGCAAAACAGAACGAAAAAGTTGAATTTCTCGTCGAATGCGCTATCAGTCTGCGATTGACTACCGCGTGACGTATAATCTCCTTCACTCGGGTAAAATCATCGGAGGCTCGAGCCGAATCCGCGTATCAAATTACGAGAGATTCGGCCACGAATGCGAGCACGATCCCGAATCTTGTCGCATCCCTATTTGCTATTTCGTACATGAATGGAAACTTGAGGAACCCTGGACTGCACTGGCGAATTCCTTGCGTGCCGCGTAATGCCAAATAAAAACCACTGTTTCATACAAACAAATAGTTGCTAACCTAAAGAAAACATATTAAAAAGTTAGGAAGGATGATTATGATGATTCGTATTCCAGTCATATCATTCCTCCACTGACAATCAGAAATTTAGGTTTGCAGATTCAATCCTTCGAACACGATAATTCAGAATGAACGCCTTCTATTTAGGCATGAATACACCTGCTTCGAATCAACGCAGTATGTTTATGACTATTTATATGCCGTCCACCACATTGGGCGCCGATCAATTTAATGTGAATTTATTTTCTATTCATTCTGGTACCTGCTACACTGTTTTATGCATAAATACCGAATAGTTTAGATATTCTGTACAAGCTGATACCAGGCTTCCGTTTTGATGTACCTGTAGCGAACAATTGTCTTCATTTCCTAATTGTACAGTCTCAACTGAATTACTTTACCTGGTTTTCTTTATCACTCGTTACAACTTTATATATGGTGGAATACACCGCATCCCTAGATACAGTATTGAGAGATCATCTTGATGCCGCAACTGTTTCGAAAGGGACATCTAAAGATATCCAAAATGATTTGCTCGACTCAATGTATAAAATTTATTTACAACATTTGGCTCTGGAAATTGAGAATTGCCAGTTCCTTTCGATTCAGTCTGACGAGACAACTGACATCACGTGCGTTTCCCAACTGGCTGTGATTTTTTGGTTTGTGAAAGATGGTAAACCTACCGAGAGATTTCACAGCTTTGTACCAATCGTTGATAGCACGACTTGCGGGATATCGGCTGTACTGAAAGAAGTGTTATAGCCTTACAACGCGAAGTGAGAATTGATAGCTCAAACTTATGACGGCGCGGCAGTCATGAGTGGGTCGAAACATGGTGTTCAAGTTTATATAAAAGAAGATTTTCCTCATGCACATTTTTTACATTGTTTTGCACACCAATTTAACCTCGTTATTAAAAATATGTCTTGATAACCCTCCCGTCCGTATATTTTTTGCAAATGTTTCGGGGTTTTCTTCATTTTTTTCCGTTTCGCCGAAGCGCTCTGACCTCCTTCGCCAGATATGTAGCCGCCGTCTCCCAGCTTGTGCACCAACACGTTGGAACTTTCAATCACGCGTGGTGCAGGGCGTGTCCGAAATTAGGTCTGAGCTCATTGAGTGTTTCAATGGCATTCAGAGCTCTCCGGTTTGGGACGAACGCTCTGTGAGGGAGGCGGCAGGTCTAAAGCGTCTGCTAGAAGATGGTGAGTTTTCATTTTTTCTCGCTTTTTTCTCCACAATATTCTATCACGTGGATGTTATTATACGGCGCATTGCAGTCAAGGCTAATGGATGGAGCGTCTGTGCATTCGTGTATTTCAGACTTCTGCGATGCTGTATCTCGTATCCGGGAAACAATAAAATACGACGACACATGGAGTGCTTCTTTACGCCGCGGGCAAACAACGCAGCGTTTGATTTTGTCTGCAAAGGAATGCTGTGACATTCTGGTGAATCAAATAGGCGATCGTCTGCGCACTGAACACCTTGCCGCGTTCTCTTTGATGAACCCCAAAAAATTTTCAAAATTTGCAGGTCAATTTCCCATCCATTTGTTGGCTACTGTCTCCAAATTTTACCCCATGATAAACGTGGGTAAATTGAAAAATGAATTGCGATGTACATACACCAATCAAACTTTTTTGAACATCACATCAACTTGCGCGCTCTATGGGTTCCTCATAGATAACGCTCTAGTAACTACCTTTGCGGCGTCTGCAAAATTTCTGGACATCATTTTAACGACGCCTATTTCTTCCGCCGACGCAGAGCGAACATTCAGCACGCTGAAGCGTATTAAAACGTATCTCAGAAACACAATGAAGCAAGATAGATTAAATTCCTTGGCTGTTTTATCCATTCACAGAGACGTTATTTCTGGGGTGCATGACTTTAATCAGCGCGTTATTGAGCATTTTGCTTCCAAGAAACCGGGGCATGTTGCATATATGTTCAAGCAGTAGAAGTCTAGCAGCATATATATCTATGAGTGAGCGACGCATGGTCTTATCTTTGCATTACCTTTCCTTTCTTCATAGTAACGTTTTAAACCTTATTTTAGGTTTTGTCTTCTTTCCCGAAGTTTCTGTTGATATGTCATTGTATTTATCTGGGTAAATATTGCCTTTCCTTTTGAAAGAGGTTTCAAAATAAACTATGTTTATATTTATTAATCCCTTGACTTGGACCGGTTTTAAAGACACTTTCTTATCGTTAAAAATTGTCGCTTTTGCCGATTGGTTGTTACCGATGGAATGGTTTTTATACTCATAAAATGATGGGAGAACTTACAGCGCTCATCCTGTCCCCGTAGATGGGGGTGACTTGGTCCCGCAGTAGCCTGCCCCGGTTGTCAAAATGACCACGCGTCGCCACTGCTTTACATCATAGTTGGTGATAGCACCGTTTATTACCTTCATTACTCATTATACTCTTTAAGGTCGTCTTAGCATAACTTAACTAATAATAATTAGAAAAGACGATAGAAAGACTACCCAACGCAAGAGCGGGCAGTACAAACAAACTGAGATTCATCCGCCTACAGCTGATAAAATATTAATTGTTACGTCATGCAAGTCTGCGTTCATTAACTAATGTTGCCGGACTAACAGAGAATAAAGGACAGATGGTAGCACATGTTTCTTGTAGTAAAAGCGTTTTTTTCCGTAAAACGTGCAATTTTTGGAAATGGGAACAAGATAATATTACTAAATTTCTAAGAATTATTTTAAAATTATTTCCTACTAGTTCCCTTATGTGCGTTACGAAACAGTAAAATTGTATGATTATCTCTTTTTGAATACTGTAGGTAATTGTTTTATACCGGTTGAATAAAATCAACTTGACTTGACATTAGGGCTGGGCATTTTGGGAATACCTTGTGATTTCAGAATCAAATCGAATAATTTTTTCGAATCGAATCTCGAATACTTGGAAATATATAATTGTAGACGACTTTTTATAGTAATTAGTCCTCTTAAAAATGAATTACTGAAGACATAGAATACATCACTCAGATAGATTACTGAGCGTTCACACACAATAAAAAACACGTTTTATCAATAACTCACTACAGAAAAAAGTCAGAATTGCGTTGAAAAAAGATGACTTCAATGAAAAAAAAATTGGGGAGTTCACCTCGACCATTGGCGAAAAGAAGAAAACAAGATGGCGGCGATTCGAAATTAGCTCTGAACCGATTCGAATAATTTACTATTCGATTCGAAATGCCCAGCCCTACTTGACATATGGTTCTCCATAATTAGCAGTCTTGTCTACTGAATTGCACCGTGAAACAATTAGCATTGGTGCAATTTTTCATCAGATTTCAATTTACAGATGCGATTTTTCATCATCTTTTTTTTACATCTTTCGGAATATTACCGGAATATAACCGCGTAAGTCGAGTAAATACAAGGGTTTTGATTCTCGTTTTGTGGATATTTCGGTCCTCTCAAGAAAGAATAAGATAAAATCATAGGTTTGAATAGGCAAACACTTCTATGTCGATTACACTGGCGTGGTTTCTGTGTGGCAAAAGTTATTCCAATAACAGTAAAGTCAAGTTATTGCGTAATTGTGACAAAAAGAAGAAGAATGTTTAACAGAATTACAGGCGTCGTTCGCAAATACGTGTCTGCTGGTAAGTATTACATCTTCGATCTCTCATCCTGAAAACTGCCCCAAATATCATATGATATCATTTGACGGCTGAACATACAGAATATATCGATTTTTTATTGTATATACATTAAGTGGAATCTGTTCGTTGCTCTTAACCGAGTATATATACAGGAAATTAACTCTCTCCCTGTCGCTATTGAATTCAAAACCCATTTTTGTTTTGTGTTTTAGACGTTTGCCTGTAATTGGTAATGTACACCGCAGCTGTACCGCAAACTTTATTTGGATAAAACAGATGGAATTATAATAATGAAATGAAACAAAATCTGAACAATACATGCAATACATAATGAAAACGTATAATATAACTTGATTATTCTTCTTGGGTTCCAAAAAAATGTTTAAGTCGAAGCTGATTCTGTAAAAGTGAGGGTTGCGGACAGAGGTGAAATTCAAAATTTTAAAAACCGGTTCATTTTTGTATCGAACTCGCCAACAACACGTTCTCTCATTTCGAAAAATGTATATATGTCACTGCGTAAGCTCCATTAACATGCCACGCCTCATATAACTTTTGAAACGCCAAATATAACCTTAGGCGTCAAATGCTGACCACGTTACCCAATCGCAATGTGCTGCAGTCGCCTAAAATCTAAAACAAACGAGAACGAGTTCGCTGACCAACACCACATTTAGAAACGGATACGCGCGAACTGGGTTAATTCCCAATATTTATACTCTGTTAAGAGCACCTTCACTTAATGTACAAGGAAAAAATCGATGTTTGTTTGTTGAGCTATCAAATGGTACTCAGTACGATATTTGAGGCAATTTTCTGGATGAGAAATCAAAGTTCAGCAGACGGGATTCGAGAACGCTGCATGTATTTCTGTATTACATGTATTCGTCACGGTAACGCAAAAGTTTGGAATTTTGTTGTAATTGAATAACTTTGAACATACTCAGAAACCATGCCGGTGTAATCGACCTAAAAGTCTTTGCTTTTTCTAGCTTATGATTCTCATGTATCATTATGTATGTATGCCCTGTACGAAAGTGCTAGCAAAGTTAATGGAATGACGCTAGAGGAAAGCGCAGATTCAATAATGCCGTTATTTTGTCAGAAAAGAAAAATAGCTTTGAGCGGCAGAAACCTGATTAAAGAAGAATATATTGGACTGAGATAGGTACGTTTTCTCCACTCGCTCAAAATTCTCCAAACTTTCTATTCCCAGAAATATAATATATATATATATATATGAATGCGTGCGGTCGCTTGGCAATATCAATATTTGTGTTTCCGTTTATTATTGACAACTAGCTAACCAACTCAAACCGAAAAGTTTCTCAAGTCGACTTCCACTGATATCTGCGCGAAAATGTGACTATCGGCAACAGTTTCCCATTATTCGCAACTTTAACATTTTTGTATTTCTGGTGATGCATAGAGTATTAAATATGCAATGACATTTGTAGAATATTTTCCCTCAGAATTGCTTAATCTTATCACAATTAAACGCTTCGTGAGACTCCCCTATGGACAACGAATGCAAAGAAAATTCAGTGAAAAGTTGCTCAGTGTTGTTTCAGTGCTCGGTATTTCGGTTGGTTTGTTAGCAATCTATACTTTGTATCCTTGGATTAAACTTTGAACCGACTAAGATTACGATGGATGCGGAGACTTTTCAAACCATTTGTTCGCTAGAGCGTACATTGCTTTGCTCTCACATTCTCTGTGCTTCCACATTCTCATCACGACATTCATTAATTATTTGATACTTGAGTGCCTCGGAATCGTGCCTATTATCATTGATGGCGCATTTTCAGAACGTTGTAAACCATCTTACAATAGGAATTTTGCAAATTGGTTTAAATCTACTAAATTTTGAACTCTTTTCCAGTAATACTGATATTTTATTTACGTTTTCGCATATGACGGCAGTCTCTTACAAAATAAAATTTTAGATATCGATCCAGATTCCGATTTTCCAACTTACTACATAATTACTACGAAGATAAAAACCAATAGGTACCTTTGAATTTGATACACTATATTAAATCTTTGGATATTCAAAAACCATTACTGATTTTAAAATGCTGAAAAATATGATATAAACCAAGTTAGTGGCTATCTGCAATTAAACTAAAATAAAAATGTGCATGAATATCATCATTGAAAATATTAATAAAAATATTTTAGCCACAATTAATTGTAGTTGAGAGGGTTTCGTTTCATTACAATGTTTTTCAATACATAATTTTGGGAGGAATGCCCTTTTCTCTACAACAAAATATAATATAACCACAACTGATTCTATTCCCTCTTTGGTACTCACATTCGTTCATATGGTATTCAGTTAATATACGAGTTGTATTCAATCAGGTATCTTCGTAACGTGGATAGACCATGCTAGATTTAGTTTCGAATCCGTCGAATAGTTTGAACTACTTAAACTATGAAAAATTTTCTCTTTTCAGTAATTTTCGATTTCGCTCCATAGTTGTAAGATTTTCAAAATCGGCAAGATACAATTTCCCAACATCTGTAATTCATTGAGATGCGTAATATACCAACTGGTCGTTTATTACTAATTTGTTTTTGTTCATTTGTGTTTCCTTTGCTGCTGTTGCAAATAATGGATTATAATTCTAAGACCGATCAATGGACATTATATTCAAGTGTTGATGTAAGTATACTAAATTAGTAGTAACTCTGTTTTTCTCGTTAATGTTTGGAACGGATCTTGTTTCCTCACCAGCAATGATAGCTGTCTGCCTATGTTGAAATTTTTGTCTACGGTGAAGTATATGCTCATCTCGGTTGATAAAAAAAATGCCCAACAAAGGAGTTCAAAATAAAAGACTCATCTTCAATTTTTCTTCCAATAAAATTTAGCAAGAACGGAATGAAATTACTTAAAAACACGTGTCTGGGCAAAATCTCATTCCGTTTTAATCTACCAAAAGCTTCACCCTCTCACCAGAAACCGTATGTCGTTCGCACATTTTATCCAACTATTTTTAGTAGGAATTTCATTTCTTTATTACAGTCAAGCATATGTCATATTTATCGTTAATAAGCAGCAATCTTTCGTTGATAAATTATTCAATAAAATAAGGGAACAACAAAAAAATTAGTATATGAAAAAGGAACGAAACCTATAATTACTTGTCGATTTTAATCGGTAAGTATGTTGATAGGTACTTGTCTGTATGTATGTTTGTCTGTTAGATGCACGCAATATCTCACGAAAGCGAGATTGAATCTGCTCCAGATTTTGCATCTCGGGCCAGAAGCCTATTGATTTTGGCGAATTATGTCGTATAATTAGCGAGTTATTAATTAATTAGTGATGGGACACAAGGTGTCACTATGGAGTAAGAGCGCTGTTTTGGGGATCCCCTAACTTTCGGTCGATAAGTCTTTGGTCTCTGACCGATATTCTCGTTTAATTGTTTGTCAGTTTGTGAAGGTTGCGAGTATTTAACGGTGTACCCAATCGCACTTTTTATCAAGATCTTTGAGAGGTTGCGATTTCAGTGAGATAGAGGAACTGAAATAGATAGTCATTAATATACAACCATAAAATTACGAGTCGGCGATTTCAATAATCCTTTTCTTCCAGCCTCGAAATCGAAGGCAAATGGAAATAATATTTATTGGAGGAATGCATCGCAGTGGCACAACGTTGCTAAGGACAATGCTTGATGCCCATGCTGATATTAGATGCGGCCCTGAGACTGTAGTAATACTCAACGTACTGGGGGTGAGAGAGGCAATGGCAAAGTAAATAGTTGTTTATGAGTAATAGTATTTAAGCAAAATAAACCACTGAAAACGTGTGAATAATATATAAACAAGTATTTTTTATTTTGTTGACGTCACCACACAAAGCGTTAAATAGAAAAATGAGCCACACAGCGCACAGGAAGTAATAGCCTTCTAGCGACAACAACTATCTTTAACAACCGACATTTTCTAAGTAATTGGTCCAGTAGTTAATGAGAAAACAATCCACATGTCGACATCGTGTTCAAACATTGATATAATTTTGATTGGCAAGGAACAACAAATTCAGTTTGGGTAAAATCAATGCTATTACGGAAGGATGTGGGAGGAATACAACTTTAATGGTGAAATATCTCTTTTTCCACAGTGATCCAATGATAGTTTCACACCTTTCCAAGACGGAACTATATCCTGAAGTTACTGATAATGCTGTTGCACAATTTATTCTGGAAATAATAATTCGTCATGCGCCACCAGCTACTCATTATTGCAACAAGGACCCTCTACAAATGTTGTTTTCAAAGTGAGATTGTATCTTATAACGGTTAAATTATGAAAAAAAAAATATCAAAGCAAGATCGAAACTAAATGAGGTTATTATTTTTTCAACAGAAGCTCTTTTTCATTTTATAAAATGAATGATTAGGCATATATATTTGGGTAACTGTTATCGTTTAAATTAGAGTAATCCGAAGTATAGTGATATGCATAACCAATATGCTCTTATTACATTCGCATTGTTATATTTTATTTATTTATAGACTTCTCTAACAATTCTAGATATCTACACTTTTTGTTTCCGAACGCAAAATTTGTTTTAATGATACGAGATGGCAGAGCAATGGCCCATTCTATCATATCAAGGAAATTGGAATTATATACATATGATATTGAGAGTTATAGGTATGTGGAATTGATATGATTATGCTGATAACAAATCAGTTAGAGTGTAATAATAACAGAATTAAAACTGCTTCTGGATGAATGTGATATAAAGGTGTACTTCAATATTGATATGATTTCTAACTTCCGTGAAAACTTGATCGCGATCCAGAAATTCCAATTGTACATACAACTCCAAGTCGGATAGTCTATTTTGAGAATTCATTAAAATTTCAAAGATAATTGTAAGTCCAGTTTATTTTTCCTGCGATACCACATTAACTATCCATGTTATACCGATCCTTCGCATATTTGGTTCTAGAGGAACGTTGTCGACGTGGAACAAAAATATAGAAAGAATGCATAAACAATGTATAGAACTTGGAGAGAAGATATGTCAGTTGGTATATTACGAACAATTAGTATTGCAACCGGTTTCAACTACCAAGAACTTGTTTAAATTTTTGGAAATACCTTGGAGTATCGCAGTTCTGCACCATGAAAAATATACAAATCAAAGTGATTTCTCAAAGCAAGTAAAATTAGAAAACAATATTGAGTATTTATCTGTGAAATTAATTATAATGCTTATTGAGCGTGACTGGGTGTATTGTTTAACAGGGCAATCAACTGTTTTATTAGTAACAAATAACAATGAGCTAAGAGTACTTTTGGTCTATATTAATTTAAAACGATAAAAAAGTAAAAAAAATACTCTATCTTATTTTATTTCGACAGAGCCGAGGCATCCACCGATCAGGTATCAAAACCTCTGTATTTGGATGGACTCACGCAATGGTTTGGTAACATTCCAGAAGATGTTGAAAAAGATATGTTGAAAATTGCACCGATGTTAAATGTTTTAGGATATAATCCAAAAGACAGGACTCCTAACTACGGAGAACCAGATGAGTTTGTTAAAGAAAAGGTTATAGTTATTCCTTATCTCATTTTTTCCTCGTTACCATTAGTGTAACTTTCAAATCTCGATTCTCTGATTAATTTCCTTTTCTTTTATTTAATATAATTTTTAATAATTTATTTCTAATAAATGAGCAAATTATTCCACATATCAAGAGAAAAGGGAAGACATTGAAAGCTGAGAACTAAGTAATAAATTGGTTGTAGACTGTAGACTTATGTTAAATCTTTACTTCGCACCTGTCTTTCTTTTCATTTCACTTCGTTGCCAGTAATGAATTAATGATAACAAAATACATAACTTTACAGATTGAGAAAGAAAAGCACAATAACATCACAAGTTAATGTTGTTACAATGGGCTGCACAATATTAATCACAGCCCTTGTCATTTCTCTATGTCAGTGTGATGAGAAATTCAAATATGTAATCCAATATGTTGAAACCTATACATGTAAATTATGTAAAATAATTATCTTTAGTCAGAAATATAATAAAATAAAATATTGTTTTATATTGTTATATTATTGTTGTCAAATTTTTTTTTAAGAATAATTGTTCAGAAATATATGGAAATAATTTTACAATTGGTGTTTATTATTCGTTAACTTCACTTGTAACAAAATTTATCGCATATTGACCAGTATAAATTAAATATATAACTAACTTAAATTAACGCCGTAATTTTAGTAATGACGTAATATAATGAAAAATTTCTTCTCATGGCTTGGTGCAATTTACAATTTTCACCACGAAATGCAACGGAACTGGTCAATCCTACTGTAAGGATAAACCTTTTATGGCTAATTCAGAAGGTTTTTATGTAAATTAAACCACGTTTGTTGTTCTGAATACTCAATTCAAAGAACATCCTTCGTTCTTGTAAGAGTAATGAAAAAGAGAAAGACGTTTGTCCGTGCCAACAGAAAATCCGAGTAGGCCTGCAAATTTAAATAATCGAAACACAAGTTATTAGCTGAGGTTCAATCGCCAGATATCAAGAATCCTAACTAGATGTGGTACAACAAAAAGTTTTGATCCATTTGATTGTGTTATTATTCGTTATTTTAATTCTGATTAACTCATTTTATAATAAAAGTTATCATATAGAGCAAATAAATTATTGGACACGTCAGTATACATAACGATCGTTTCAATATTATGTTGTTGTTGTTATTATTCTTCTCTTTCGTCATGATGAAATCGCTTTTCTGTTCGAATACTGGACCAATTGCTTTGAAATTTTCAGTGGTTTTGCCAGAAGGCTATTACTTTTACTTTCTTCAAAAATTTCTGTGGACTTCAAGAGATTTGATTTTTATGTGTCAGAATAAAAAATAGCGACACCTTGTGACGTGTCCATATATTTGAGCACAGCTCACTTGATAAAGAGATAATGATTTTATAATTGTCAGATAAAATGAGATCGAAACATGCTAAAATATTCAGCAACCTTTCCTTAAGTTCAGATCTAAGGAGTTTAGTACAATAGATAACCTTACCATACGCCCCCTTTTAGGCGGACAATCCCACTTTTCAACGTCTTGTCCCGGCGTCCAGACCGGTCAGGCAAAAGTCCCACTTTGGCGTTAAGCCAGTCAGCATAATACACGATCATTACCAATTAACATGTTCTCGATACTGTCGTTGCTGTGTGGCGTACCGGTAGCCTACTTACTTTACTGAAGGTGGATGCGTGGTTTTGTTTTCGTTCTGTTTTTCGAACTAAATCAGATATTTAGACAGACAGCGCATGAACTCTCGATAACAATGAAGACAGTCGTGATGGCTTTAAATGTAGGCCCCCAATGTAAAATCGGTAAATTCAAAATTGAAAACAGCTAGGGTCTTTGGAGGTGTTCCTCTATGTGATCACAAAAATATGGTAACCCTATCATTAAATTATTTGGTTAACTTAGTGATCTGCAACAGATTTGTTACTCACTCATCAGTATATTTCTGTCCACCCTTTGTTTTCATTCACAAACGGAGACAAAAAGACTTATATCGTTCATATATATAATTATAAATTTGAAATTCGCTTTGATGAAACAAATTCAACTATTTGACGCTCTGTGGAACAAAAAAGAAAATCCTCTCTGGAATTATTAAAATCATTGCTTACTCAGGTTGTTGACTGAGGCATGTGTGATATAAGAGCAAGACAAAAAAAATTCTCTCTCACCACAAAAGCCATTCTGTCGGAAGTTGTGTTGTGTTGGTGAATTACCGCTATATGTTGATCGAGAGCTATGACGTCATTGTCGAGCACGTTGCGGACATTCTTGAGGGACATTCTGATAGTGAAGCTGGTCGCGCTAACATTTCGTTCGTGGGATCTACTCTAACAGACTTTTCAGTTAACTTGTATAATTTGCGTGCTTGCTTTATTTATTCGTTATAAATAAACGCTACGAGTTGCTCACCACGAAACATGACACAAGTCCTTATCATAGTCATTTTGATCTTCAGCACATGATACCAGTTACCAACAGGAATCTTTGTTCATGGCAAAAACAAAAAATAGTGTGAGCAGTGTGCAGAACAGCCACTAGGGAATGTGCATAAAACACATAGACGCACAGAAAAAGGAACTCTGGGTCAGTCTGATCTGTTCATGATATGGGAGTTTAATGCAACTATGTTGGCGATGCAGATTTGTGTTCAGCAGTCACTTGGATATTTTGAAACGTATAGTTACGTATGGGTAGATTCTTAGTTGTCCAAAGTTTTGTTCAGGAGATATGCAATATGGCAGCAACAACCCATCTACAAAAATTAGCCCAAAACGAATGTAATTTTCCAACCTTTCTTGAGTTCCAATAAACTTTCACAAAATTATCAAAATTACTTTTATTTATTTCAAAACTTTCTGTGGGCTCTCTGGGATTCGTTTCTCACATTGAAGTTTTGTGTAATGACGTCATCACAATGAAAAACTAGCGCTTCGTGTGGTGGTTCGCAATATCATTTCAGCGATCGGGTGCTTGGCGAAATCGGAAGTTTTACTGTAAACTTGACTGTAAACGATTTGATACTCCATTTGTGACTTGAAATCTTTGGTATTTCGATCCATGTTTAGACTGGAAGCATGATCATCATCGTCACATCACCAGGGACGCTGGAGCAGTGCGGGTTGCGGCAGCTGTTCCACAGTTCCAGCCTTAATCAGGATATGATTTTGGAATGAATTGTTCTTGTTTTTTCTTCATATCCATATATTTGAGCATTGTTCTCCTGTTTCATAAAAAGACCTACGCTAAAATGAACATAGGCAGTATTACTATATAATTATTCACATGAAGAGGTACTTGGCGCGGCATCGGTATATATTGTATGAATCAATATTCCGAGTGCTCACGCCAAATTATATCCGTTACATAAAAAGTCAGTAGGCAGTTATCAGTTAGTTGGCAAATAAATTTTAAAATAGCTAATATTTTACCAGATAGGCAAAATTGCTTTCAGTATTTATTCAGCTCAGGTTTATGGGTTTTATTTGGATAATAAAATTCGAGGTCTGAAATGTACATGAAAAAACTCATTTTCTCCGAGGGTCAAATATGTTATACAAAGTTGTTATTTTTATGAAGTGATCCATAGGTTCAAACATAATATCGTCATGCTAATAACCGAATAACAAAAGTCATTTTTGGCGATTTTGAGTTTTTTATAAAATAGGTATTTATGTAATACTGCGCACCTGTCTGTTAACTCAGATTTTATTTTAAGAATTCCAAAACCCATAAAAATGGAGATTTAGTATGACATGCACATTTGTGCAATTGTTTCGTCATAATCAATTATCATGGTTACTGCAGGACTATTGTGACGTCACAAAGGCAAAATAACCTCAGCGAAGTATTTTCGAGTTTTTGCATCTCGGATTCTAGCATAGCGCGTATTAATTTGAATTTATACTACAGTAGTATAGGAAGGCGTGCACTGTCCGAGTCCAATTCACCTTGGTTGGCTTTTATATTGGGTGCATTGCTGTTTTATTCTTTATATTTAATCTTAGTCTTATTTCGGTGGGTGTGCAGAACGTGTTATATTATTGAAATATATATTTTTAAACATAAAAAATAATGTAATTGAAACTGATTAGCTATTTCGGGAATTAGACATTGTAGATACTGAAAATGACATTCGTTTTTGGAATGTTTAGTTTTCAGGACTGGTGCATATAGTAAAGTTGCAAAACTGCGTATGTCCCCAAGTCATAGACATATTTCTGCCTAAGTCACAGTGCGCCATCATGACGTCACTTAACTGCGTCATACAAATTAACTTAAATCCGGCTACGATTAAAAAATAGAACCAGGGCAAATTATTGACTCTCAATGGCATAACAATATCATTAGGAAGTTTTTTACGTTTTTCTCAAAACTGCTAAAAATGACTTACGCAATTCGGTTATTAGCGTGACGATATGTGCTTTTTGTGATTAAATTTGTTGAGAAACTGTGAATTTTATGAATCGAAACCGTGGTCCTTGTCGGAAATCAGATATCCAGGAATAACAACAAACAGTGTTTAGCGTTCTTACTAAGTAATATTGTTAGGGATGTTGTAAATATTTTTCTTGTGATTGGATTAACATAGCAAAATACGTTTTTAATTCAAATTACAATATATTTATACCTCATTTGAAGAAGCTAATAGTAATGTATCGATAAATTCCGAAACGTTAGTGCAATTCGTAATGCAGTTCACCTATCTATAATACCTTTATTTCCGGGCTATCTAGCTAAATTCTCTACAGACCATCGACGGAATATAATTTTGTGACAACTTCGTTTTTTCAGCTAATTAGAAAGACAAATAATAAAAACAATACTTATCAATGTTTTCAATTATTGATACGTTTCACAGTGATCATTTCAGGCCAGAACTGTGATGTGCCGAAAGTTGGAAATGTTAAAGAGCAGCCCAAAACAGTTGTATCTAATCTGTACATGTATGTGTTTCTCTGTGATGTTTCATTATTTGTGTCAAACGATGAATAAAAGGGAACCTTATTTAGATATAAACAAAACGGTAAGCAATGAGCATCGTGAAAAGTGTCGTCAAATGCAGCGGTATTGTAGGGTTATCTCAAATTCTATATATACTTCACTTTTGGCCTCTTAGGTTACTGTATTACCTCTGTCAATCTGATTGTCGTATCAGCTGTTTTATGTATTTATTGTTCTATTTTTGTGCCAATGCTAAATATCCTACTTGTTTGGTCAATCTCACAGATATGTTACCCAGCGTAATTAGCATCGAAACCATTTAAGTAATGAATCATTGGAGTGAACATATTTTTACAGTTATATTATGACATTGGACACCTGCCTCAATAAAGCAGCTTATAACCCAATTGTTCCATCGGCACATGTTATAATAATGTATAACAGGGTTACACGATTTAAAAATGATTGTTGATAGTCCTTACTCTGATTGAATTTCAGTTATACTCCTGATAGAAAGTTACACCGTGCAGGCGCGTAAAATGTACCTAATTATCACTCATAGGCTTTCTCGTACATTCGTAATATCCCATTTGGGCACAATCATGCCCTAATTATTATACATACTTATAGCTTTAATCACTAGTTAAATTCTTTCATATGGCCATTACTAAGATTATTCAGTAATCCATTTGTTATGATACTCTAGAATTCTGTAACTAAATCCATTTGTTAGTTTCCTTCTACCGATTGCGATTAACACAATACAACAACAGCTTCCCAAAAACGAAACTTGTCAATGTTTTCCCAAGTAATTGAATTTCATGTATTGGTGTTTCATAAAGATCTTAATATGTTTTCCAGTTACAAGACAAAAAAAATATTAATTTGGTGTTTATCGGAGGAAGTAATCACAGCGGCGCAAGTTTGACAAGGGCAATACTGGATTCCCATCAAGATATACATTGTAGGTGCGAAACATGGCTGATGGAATATATGCTAAGCGCAATGTCAAGGTGGACAAGGTAAAAGTTTATTTGTCTTTAGTTCTATCTATCCATTTATTAGATCACCGATCTAGGAGACTATCATTCTCAGTCGTTCTGTCTGTGTTTAAGCTGTAGTGTCTAAACGGCAGGACCGATCGAGATGAAATTCCCATGTGGGTTATCCTGTCACCCTAGTAACGAGCGTTTCATAGAACGTCCGGATTGAATTTCGTTTCCATGACAACATCGAAAAAACTCGTCAACCAAGTCGAAATTGAAATTCCAAAAATGCTACCCAAAACGCAGAAGAAAATACTCTTTCAGATACGCCGATAGTTCATAAACTAGGAATTTTAGTGAACATAATAGTACAGCATTGTAATAGTTACAGCATGTCTACAATTGACGCGGTTCAATTGTCGGTCAGAAACCTGAAATAACGCGAGCCTTAAGCATCGGCGGAGATCCATACTGGGTGCCTACCAGCTTGTTTAATCAAGCATTTCTTTATACTAGGTTTTTTTCAGATTTGAACAAAAGTTTTTCTTAGTGAACGCTGGAGTCTACCCAGAAGCGTTGGATGAAGCAATGGCCCAATTTATGTTGGAAATAATTCTTAGCTTTTGCTCAAATTCTAAACTATGTTGCTATAAAAGCACATTTATATTATCCTGGGCTAAGTAAGTATATTCTTCATGTTCAACTAGAATATACTTGTCGAAGTGTATATATGAAATACACATTATTCCGTTTTAGGTATGTTCACAAGTTGTTTCCAAATGCCAAATTTATTTATATGGTCAGAGATCCAAGAGCAACCGTTCATTCTGAAATGTCACAAAGGAATTCAAACAACGTAACACACTATTGGTATGTATGTAAGATCAATTAACTACAAGACTATGCTACAACGAAAAACTTTTCGAACAAGTACAGCACTTAGGCGTACTAAGATATTATGGTCGACACAAACGAAATTTAAAACGTACTATCTGTAGTTCTCTGTTTGATAAAATCATACGTTTTACCTTCATCAGACTCCACAATATAAATTCTAGGACAAAAACGATAGTTGAGGTATGTCCCATTCTCAATGATCTCTCTATGATCCGTGTTTTTATACCTTTTTCTTGTTGTGCTGGAAACAATGATATGCCGTCTGAAGAGTTTGTAAATGCGCTACATTTAGGTTAACTATTAGGCATATCAGCAGGATCATAGTAAATACTTGTGACTTTCAAAACACATTGAAAACACGCAGTAAAAAATATTTATATTCCTCATATACAAAAGAAAAGCTTCAATTGATGATCTCAACGACGCAAATTTAGAAATAATTATTATTTTGTCTTCATTATTTACTTGCTGACTTTACTCGTCTTAATTTTTAGGACGACTTTAAAAAAATGGAATGACAATAATTTATATTTCTACGATGAATGCGCGGATTTAGGAAAAGAAATTTGTTTGATAGTTAAATACGAACAATTGGTATTAAAACCAGTTATGCAAACAAAACGAATATTCAAATTTCTTGGAATTCCCTGGAACGACGAAGTTTTGCACCACGAAAGACATATCAATAAGTCTTTAATATTAAGGTAAAAAATTCAAAAAATACTATTTAAAATAAGTGATACTTCATTTTTATTGTGCTTTGACCAACCCTCTCCATTCAGTATCATTTTTAATTCAGTAATTTTATTTCTAGTTATGTCTGGCAAACCCAGCGCAATGCTGCAATAGATCAGTTCTAAGCTTATGCTTTAATGCTTAAATAATTTTAGATCAGAACCAGATGCGAGTGAAGAATTATTCAAACCTTTGAACTTGGATGGACTAACAAAATGGTTTGGGAATCTCCCGAAAGAAATCGAAGAAAATTTGAAAATTTATAATGAAATGAAGCTTTTTGGGTATGACCCAGAAAAGACTACTCCGAAGTATGACCAACCCGATGATTTTATGATGAAAATGATGGCTGAACAAAAATTATAATCTTCGAATTACACGGGATCCTAGTTCGTTGTTGAAATACATAACATATTGTTCGACTTTAAGTAATATATGACTCGCATCGAGTCGCATGAAAACGATGGCAAGTTGGCACATTATGTTACAATATTATCAGGCCCCGCCTCTTATCAAGGAAAAGTTCTTATTTGTGAAACGTCAAGAGTACTTTCGAACAGGATGCTGCTTTTATTAAGTGAAAAACGACAGAAAGGCAAACAGTTGAAAGTATACTTAGAAAACTCTCGACATGTTTCTGTCATTTATATAAGAACAAATTTGCCAGGCTATGAAATCATACTCGAAGGCGACTAAAAACATATGTGCTTTATGTATAGCTTGTATTGTGAGCTGGCGTATCACATTTCACCTAATATAACAGCTGTTAGGAAAGTAGGATAATCTCAAACAGTGAGGGTATTCAACTGTACACGTATATTCTAAAATCCAAAGTAATGCATTTCGCAACACTCATTATAATAATCTATTCTAAACCACGTTACACAATCACTTGCAATATGTAAGAAATATGATATCTTATATCATGCACACAGATGTTTCCGGGGTACCTCGGTGTTTAGAAATAACGGGCGCCTATGTGAATAATTTTAAAAGTCTGATATATATATATATATATTAACTCTATAAATTGAAATATCGTCATGTAATATTAAAACACTCGTGTATAAATATCTCATCTCTCAAATTAAGAACTAAATTCCATATCTAGTACAGACTTGGAAATTTTTTCATGCGAGTGCATCCGGACAGATACAAAGAAACACCCGCCCACTGTTCGCCCATTTCTTTTATGAAATTCGTTATCTTCAGAATGGTTTCAGCCGAGGGATGTGGATCATGGGAAAAATTAAATATGTAATGGTCATCTGTCAATGAAGAATAAAAGAACATCAAAAACAAATTAATTGAAAAGAAAATGGAAATATAAAGACAAATGTCCAGCTTTATAACAGAATCACCAATGCGATAGTGTGACTATAATTTTTACGGAAACCGTTTGTTTTAATTTCTGAGTAATCGTGATACATGGGAATTCTATTAAAAAGAGTTTAAAATGGGATTCTATGATATGAATTCTCTTACAATTTCAATGTCACCAATAAAATGAGTCCCTCACCTTCTTCTCCACATAGTGGTATAATAATGAAAGACTGTAATCAGAGTAGTATCTTTCCGGGTGTTCGTAATGAGAATCAACTTCTGTAAAAATCAAACTAAATAATTATTGTCGATGTAAACAACGGAAAAAGATGTTTGTTTGCCTTACACATCAAGCAGGCAATACTTTTAGTTAGAGGTACAAATTAATCTGAATGGGAAATGTTGGCAGGAATTGCATTAAAAAGTCTTCGGAATTACATCGAAATAAATTAGGCAAGATCAACCGAATATGCGGAAATAATTCCAAGTATAAGGACGTTCCAATAAAAATCAAATTAATTAATTCTTATCAATTGGGTTTCTACAAGACTAACTACCGTCTTCTATGCTTTCACGTCGGTGGATCCGTATATGCATATAATGCAAGGTGACTGTAGCAGAAGTGGAGATAACTATCCTAAGTGATTCAATAGTCTTACTGCACACTAACACATATATATTCATACTTCAACTATGTATTTCTGAGGAAGTCTGACCTCACCGAGGTCTGACGAAACGTAACCAAAATAATTTGTGTTAATGTGCAGCAAGACTATTGAATCACTTAGGATAATTAATTTTTAAAATAGGTATTAATTTTTTTTGAAAACACATAAATAAAATGGAACGTATCTATATTTACTGTTAGTTTAATTGCTCTATTCATTACACATTACAGTATATTTACGGTACCGACCTTTCTTGGCTTCTTGAGAGTTTTGTAAGTGGTGATTTTCCAATTCTATGTCCATTTCACGCAAGAAAACCTTGTCTGAAACGAATGAAATATGACTGGTTGATATGACTTTGAAAAAGCAACACTTTGTTAGATTCAATACAAACGAGATTACTAAGAAGAAACGTTATGAACAACAATTGGTACATTATTGGTTCCATAATCTTTGCACCCGTAAATGGCACCCAAGATATTTACACCTGTATACATTTGCACCCACGGACATTTGCACTCATGTACAATTGCACTCGTACATATGCTCTTGCAGATTTTAGCACCAAGTTACAGATTGCATTCATGGACATTTGCACCCACGGATATTTGCACCTATAGACATTTTCACCCATGGATTTTCGCACCCACTAACTTTGCAACCACGGACCTTTGCATACATACATTTCAACTCATAGATTTTAGGACCTGCATATAGACTGCACCCGTGGGTGTATGCACATGGGTACAAATGGACGTATGTGTAAATTTACATGGATGAAAATGTACGTGGGTGCAAATGTCACAACGCCGCCACCGAATTATTGAACACAAATTGAACCTTTGGATCGTTTTGTTAATATGTTGTCAGAATTTTTCTTCTAATTATTGGAAAAAAATCGATTTTCTCTTTAACTACTGGACCAACTGCATTGAAATTTTTAGTAATCAATTGTTGCTGTCGCCGGAAGGCTATTACTCTCATTTATTCCAAAATGTTATATGAATCTTATGAGATCTGATATTTCATCCAAAATTCACTGTAATATGTTTTATTCGTGGGAATACGGCAATTAATCCGCCAATCGTGACGGCTGTCTTGCGTTTTGATTTTGCAAAATCTTGCGACGTGAAAGTCAGAAGTTTCTCGATATCGGTGCACTGTAGGTATCCGATGCATATTGTAAAAGGTGAAGTACTGTTAATAATTTAATACTACAGTTGTTAGTGGAATCTTTCGGCATTTTAATTCACGCTTGCACAAGACGCATGAATGAATCAGCATTGTCACAGGGCCTGGTAAAGCTAGCAAAGTACGGTTACCGGACTAGTACGTCACGATGGTCGACAGTTTCAGCTTCGTCCAGGATATGGTGTTAGGGGAAATTGTGAGTAAAATATTTTGTTTTCGTGTCCATATATTTAAGCATTTTTCTCTTGTTAAGCGATTGAGGTTCGTTTCCGTTCAAACTGTGCTTTTAGTATACACCAAAGTAAATTAAACTCACCTTCGGCTTGATTACGGAAATATGTATTTAATCCACGATGAAAGTAGTGAAATCGCATTTCATAATATTTTGTACTCTCACTAAAATGTATAAGATTTCACGATAAACACGGTTATATTTATGTTTAATTCACTATTTTGAGGTAGATTTAACTTTTATAACCTTACCAAGAGCCATTAAGCAATTATAAATACATATCATGTGTCAATGTTTAAAATAGTAATTTTGAAAAAAAAACATGCAAATATCTTACTTTTCTCGTATCGCGAAAAAACGGAATTTTCCACCAGATTTTGTTGATTCAAATTCACTCGCTATAAAGCAGGGGACAACGCGGTCTAAAACGTCGCCAGCATTCAAAATTTGATACCAAACCCCTGATATCTGAAAAAAAGCATCAATTTAAAATATATATAATTTTTTTGTGTATTTATAGCGCTTTAGAAACATTACCTTGTCCCAATCGAAGTCATTCACAGGTTCGGGTAATCTACATTGTTTTGTTTTCACCTCAATAATAGTCAAAGTAAGCAGAAGAAATATTGAAATATTCATCATTGTAATTCACCTATTAATATATATAATTTAACTAGAAAAACCTATAAGTCGTTATGATAGAAATAGGTAATGATAACAGGGTGTTAGCACAGAAACCTGTTCCTTAACATAACATAAGTAACTAGATGCAAAAGTTTTTAACTTGCGTGAGGGTACGATCTATTGATACACAAAGGGAAAATGATGACAATGATTGTTGAGGCATCTTCCCAAGCGCAATAAATACGCTTGACAACGCCCTGTTACCCTGCGTAGATTATTAAGATTGTGGACCGATATGGATAATTATAAATTATGAACAAGAAGCTTATAATATTCCCCGGTGCTCGGCAAACCCGTTCTTGAAATGTCGTGATGATCAGAGGAGATCAGATCTTGTTTTTCAGAGCTATGAGATATACATAGTTTTCGAAAATGAGGCAACCTGTTTTTTGAAACCTATCAGCTTTCATTCCAGGCCTACACAAGCAACGGTAATTGATCAAGACTTTCACTTCTCGGATAAATATGAAAAACTTACTTTATCTGATGCTGAATGCAAACATTGTACTTACTTTATCTGATGCTGAATGCAAACATTGTACAAGTATCGTGAGTGCAGTTTTGTATACACTTTAATTTACACTCAAATTTCACTGAAGGAGAAGGAATACTAAAAATCAACATAAATCAATTACGTAAATAGGCCTACCAACATAAGCGAGTGTCTGGAACCCAATACTTTTTGAAGAAAAGTCAAATCAAGTTACAATATATAAACGAGAATATCGGTCGGAGACCGAAGACTTATCGATCGAAACTGCGGTTTCGATCCATGACTCTATAGTGACACCGCGTGTCTCATCACTAATTAATTAATAACTCGCTAATTATACGGCATAATTCCAATCCAATAATCATCCAAAACACCCGCCCACTGTTCGCCCATTTCTTTTATGAAATTCGTTATCTTCAGAATGGTTTCAGCCGAGGGATGTGGATCATGGGAAAAATTAAATATGTAATGGTCATCTGTCAATGAAGAATAAAAGAACATCAAAAACAAATTAATTGAAAAGAAAATGGAAATATAAAGACAAATGTCCAGCTTTATAACAGAATCACCAATGCGATAGTGTGACTATAATTTTTACGGAAACCGTTTGTTTTAATTTCTGAGTAATCGTGATACATGGGAATTCTATTAAAAAGAGTTTAAAATGGGATTCTATGATATGAATTCTCTTACAATTTCAATGTCACCAATAAAATGAGTCCCTCACCTTCTTCTCCACATAGTGGTATAATAATGAAAGAACTGTAATCAGAGTAGTATCTTTCCAGGTGTTCGTAATGAGAATCAACTTCTGTAAAAATCAAACTAAAATAATTATTGTCGATGTAAACAACGGAAAAAGATGTTTGTTTGCCTTACACATCAAGCAGGCAATACTTTTAGTTAGAGGTACAAATTAATCTGAATGGGAAATGTTGGCAGGAATTGCATTAAAAAGTCTTCGGAATTACATCGAAATAAATTAGGCAAGATCAACCGAATATGCGGAAATAATTCCAAGTATAAGGACGTTCCAATAAAAATCAAATTAATTAATTCTTATCAATTGGGTTTCTACAAGACTAACTACCGTCTTCTATGCTTTCACGTCGGTGGATCCGTATATGCATATAATGCAAGGTGACTGTAGCAGAAGTGGAGATAACTATCCTAAGTGATTCAATAGTCTTACTGCACACTAACACAGATATATATTCATACTTCAACTATGTATTTCTGAGGAAGTCTGACCTCACCGAGGTCTGACGAAACGTTACCAAAATAAATTTGTGTTAATGTGCAGCAAGACTATTGAATCACTTAGGATAATTAATTTTTAAAATAGGTATGTTTAATTTTTTTTGAAAACACATAAATAAAATGGAACGTATCTACATTTACTGTTAGTTTAATTGCTCTATTCATTACAGTATATTTACGGTACCGACCTTTCATGGCTTCTTGAGAGTTTTGTAAGTGGTGATTTTCCAAGTCTATGTCCATTTCACGCAAGAAAACCTTGTCTGAAACGAATGAAATATGACTGGTTGATATGACTTTGAAAAAGCAACACTTTGTTAGATTCAATACAAACGAGATTACTAAGAAGAAACGTTATGAACAACAATTGGTACATTATTGGTTCCATAATCTTTGCACCCGTAAATGGCACCCAAGATATTTACACCTGTATACATTTGCACCCACGGACATTTGCACTCATGTACAATTGCACTCGTACATATGCTCTTGCAGATTTTAGCACCAAGTTACAGATTGCATTCATGGACATTTGCACCCACGGATATTTGCACCTATAGACATTTTCACCCATGGATTTTCGCACCCACTAACTTTGCAACCACGGACCTTTGCATACATACATCTCCACCCATAGATTTTAGCACCTGCATATAGACTGCACCCGTGGGTGTAAGCACATGGGTACAAATGGACTTATGTGTAAATTTACATGGATGAAAATGTACGTGGGTGCAAATGTCACAACGCCGCCACCGAATTATTGAACACAAATTGAACCTTTGGATCGTTTTGTTAATATGTTGTCAGAATTTTTCTTCTAATTATTGGAAAAAAATCGATTTTCTCTTTAACTACTGGACCAACTGCATTGAAATTTTTAGTAATCAATTGTTGCTGTCGCCGGAAGGCTATTACTCTCATTTATTCCAAAATGTTATATGAATCTTATGAGATCTGATATTTCATCCAAAATTCACTGTAATATGTTTTATTCGTGGGAATACGGCAATTAATCCGCCAATCGTGACGGCTGTCTTGCGTTTTGATTTTGCAAAATCTTGCGACGTGAAAGTCAGAAGTTTCTCGATATCGGTGCACTGTAGGTATCCGATGCATATTGTAAAAGGTGAAGTACTGTTAATAATTTAATACTACAGTTGTTAGTGGAATCTTTCGGCATTTTAATTCACGCTTGCACAATACGCATGAATGAATCAGCATTGTCACAGGGCCTGGTAAAGCTAGCAAAGTACGGTTACCGGACGAGTACGTCACGATGGTCGACAGTTTCAGCTTCGTCCAGGATATGGTGTTAGGGGAAATTTGTGAGTAAAATATTTCGTTTTTGTTTTCGTGTCCATATATTTAAGCATTTTTCTCTTGTTAAGCGATTGAGGTTCGTTTCCGTTCAAACTGTGCTTTTAGTATACACCAAAGTAAATTAAACTCACCTTCGGTTCGATTACGGAAATATGTATTTAATCCACGATGAAAGTAGTGAAATGGCATTTCATAATATTTTGTACTCTCACTAAAATGTATAAGATTTCACGATAAACACGGTTATATTTATGTTTAATTCACTATTTTGAGGTAGATTTAACTTTTATAACCTTACCAAGAGCCATTGTGTCAATGTTTAAAATAGTAATTTTGAAAAAAAAAACATGCAAATATCTTACTTTTCTCGTATCGCGAAAAAACGGAATTTTCCACCAGATTTTGTTGATTCAAATTCACTCGCTATAAAGCAGGGGACAACGCGGTCTAAAACGTCGCCAGCATTCAAAATTTGATATCAAACCCCTGGTACCTGAAAAAAGCATCAATTTAAAATATATATAAATTTTCTGTGTAATTATAGCGCTTCAGAAACGTTACCTTGTCCCAATCAAAGTCATCCACAGGTTCGGGTAATCTGCATTGTTTTGTTCTCACCTCAATAATGGTCAATGTAAGCAAGAGAAATATTGAAATATTTATCATTGTAATTTACCTATTAATATAGTTTAACTAAAAAAACATATTAGTCGTTATGAAAGAAATAGGTAATGATAACAAGGTGTTAGCACAGAAATTTGTTCCGTTAACATAAGTAACTAGGTGCAAAAGTGTTTAACTCGCGTGAGGGTACGATCTATGGATACACAAAGGAGAAATGATGACAATGATTGTTCGAGCATCTTCCCAAGAGCAATAAACACGCTTGGCAACGCCCTGTTACCCTGCGTAGATTATTAGGATTGTGGACCGACGTGGATAATTATGAACAAGAAGCTTATAATATTCCCTGGCTTCCCAGGGTGACAATCAATGATGGGTTACAGCTAGGGTTGCCAACCGTCCGTTATTTCAAAGGACAATCCTTTATTTGAGATTTTTGTCCTTGTCCTTTTTAAGATGATAATTGTCCTTTATTTTTTCCGACGTCGTTTTGCCCGATAGTTATAGTACTGTGTTTGATATTGTTTCGTTCTTAAATCGCCTCCGTTTATGTATTTGCAAGCTTTTAATTATTCTTTCTAATTTCGCTTTGGTATGGCTCAAATAGCCAAAGAAATACCAATTTTATTTATAATTTCAAATATTTTACATTAATTTTCCGAATATGGAAAGTGGCAACACTCCAAGATTTGAGTGAATTCTAGTTCAATAACTGAAAATTCTACGTATAATTGGTCTCTAAGATTTTAGATTATTTCTCAACTCTGCGATAACGTATTTGGAAAAAAGATTTGACTTTGATGAAAATTCAACATTTGGAAAATTATCTCTTTTGGATAAACTTTCTCCAAAATATCAGACACTTGTAAAAATTGTAGAGCATTTGAAGCTAAAAGAAAATTTAATTTGAATATGTTTGACCTATTTGATGAAATTCATTCACTCATTCAAAAGCAAATTTGGCACGATTCAAAGCACTGAACTGTTCACAGACTGCAGCTTGATTGGGTCAATGTTAAATAAACAATAAAAGAAAAACACATATTTTTTAATATATCTTTTTAGCTTGTATATAATTTGTAATTCATTGTTTTATATTGTTCTTTCCTGCAAGTTACAAAATAAATGATGACGGTAATCTATGTCCTTTATTGAGACTTTTCATAGTTGGCAACCCTAGTTACAGCCAATGGTAGAATTCAAAGGGTTCGTGCGTGCTCGGCGAGCCCGATCTTGCTTTTCAGAGCTATGAAATATGCATAGTTTTCGAAAATGAGGCAACCTGTTTTTAGTAATTTCGTTACGAAAAAGAATCTGTTTCTAAAACCTATCAGCTTTCATTCCAGGCCTAGACAAGCAACAGTAATTCATCAAGACTTTCACTTCTCGGATAAATATGAAACGCTTACTTTATCTGATGCTGAATGCAAACATTGTACAAGTATCGTGTGTGCAGTTTTGTATACACTTTAATTTATTATTTCTCAATTATAATCCAAATTTTACTGAAGGAGAAGGATTACTAAAAAACAACATAAATCAATTACGTAAATAGGCCTACCAAACATTAGCGAGTGTCTGGAACCCAATACTATTTGGAGAAAAGTTAAATCAAGTTACAATATATAAACAACTAATCAAATATTATTATTCTGCAATAGCCTAAACTTTGTAATTAAATACCGCAGAAAACGCATTCTATTTGCCTTATGCATGAGTGCAAAGTGATCACCTTTCGCTAATCACTGCACACTAATGCACATATCACGATACATCTATATTCGATAAACATGATAATCTGGGCTAGTTTACGATCTAAAACACACATATATGTATGTACTATATCGTACAAGCTTGCCCTACCTTCAAACTAACAAAAATCTCATATTGTTCTCATATTTCTTTCAAGCAGTTATTTTTTCTTGTACGTATAAGGTTGAGGAATGAAGTGTCACATTTCAAATATTGATCTCCTCAAATCCTTTGCTTCAGACTTCCTCACTGTGTAACATATACATCCAGTCAACACAAAATAATCTTAGTAGGCATTTACAAAAATTTTCTCCCGCGGCCCTTTTCGATCATATGAAGTTACAGTATCTCAATGAAGTAAATAAAAATCAATGGTGTTTAATGAAAAACTCAGTAAGTCTTAGATATTATAAACCCTCTTTGTACCTGGACAAGGCAAGGTATATGATGTAAAAGGGTTACGTAGCCAATATGCTTTTATTGTAAATAATCGCTTTCGACACGAATGTACATGACTATTGATATCGGATGTGTTTATAAATAAACAAAGGATAAAATTAGGTGTAAAATATGCATAAATGTGTCAAAAATGCTGAGAACTATTTAATACAAAATACAAGATTTTGAAAAACATAAACTATAAATATTTAGCTAGAGTGATTCTGATTTCATTGATGTGTACATGATTATCACTCTCACGTATGTAGCGATGTTGGTCATCATAGATATAAAAATGTTGGTAATCAAATTAGCCGACTTTTGACTGCAACTATAGCCGAGTGTAATCGTTAAGTCAGACACTAAGTTTAAACGCAATAAACTTCCACTCAGTCATGCGTTTTTATTGCAGTCATCTTAACCGTTGTTTTAACGTCTCCAATGCAAGCGGCCGTTTCTATACGTGCTTAGGTACAACAGTTTCCTTCTCCTCTTATCGATTCCATTTTATAAAACCCGAACTGATAGCATGTAGCGTAAATTGAGGGACTACTACTGGCAAGCATGATTATTGTTGTGAGACGTATTTATATTAATTTAATTTTAATTCGCGCAGTCAGACATTTATTCACATAATGCTGTTTGTCATATTTTATGTATACTCGATGATTGTCACTACAGAAGCTTCTTTGGCCAAAACGGCTTTATGTAAACTTCCACAATCAAAAAAGGATTTCGATTGGGAGAAGGTAAGATTTGTATATAATATAAACATATGTGTGAATAGAAAATGAGCTTAAAATGCCGGTGACAAGAATGATGGTGATATAGATGATGGTGATGGTGATGATGATATATATTTAAAGGGAGAATAATGTACCCAAGAGTCTATACAGCTGGTGTAGATATTTTTGCTCGTCAACAAAATTTATACGCTGTATATTTTTCTCCAGACTTTCCAATTGGAAATTTCCAATTCCAACTCTCCTGTTCGTATAGAAATTTGCTATGTACAATTTGGTATTTATTTGCAACTATTGTGGGATTTTCGACGATAAGGCGCCAAGCCAATGTCTTGTATATAGACTACAAAATATTTTCTTTCGTTTTCTCTAAAGGTTCCGAAGGATAATTGGTATCAAATACTAAACGTTGGCGACATTCTTGATGAAGCAGTATCGTGTTTTGGCGCAAAGAATTTTCGAAAAACGGATTTTGGCGGGGTATATACTTCGCTGTGGACGTGGGGTGAGTGGATGTTGCTAATGTTTCAAAAATGGTCTAAAAAGATTATTTATTATCAAATAATATTTAAGAGGTAAAATAATTGCTGCGTAAATTGTTTTACTTTTTGTTGGAAACAAACAGAAATGCAAAACAACATACTGTTGAGTTTAAATTTCATCGTGAGGGACTGAATCGATACATCCGGTATCGTGATGAAGGTAAGATGTTTGTTTTCATAAATTGCGCTTCGTGAAAGTGATCGTATAATAAATTGACTGTGTAAATCGAATTTTCACCCAGTAGCAGCTTCTTTTTACAGAAAGCGCCTTATATTCGTTACTTTTATCGTTCAGTTTTTATTCTCATTTGGATTTTCTCAAGTGTGAAAAATTAAACTCCCGATAACGAGGATTCGTTACTAATCTAAAAAATCATTATTCGTTTTATTAAGACCAGTCATTCATTTATGATATGAAAAATGCTAGGAAACAGCATCATCTGGAAGATAAAAGCATGGATTCTGACGGTAGAGCATAGATATATTCAAATCATATTGTGTTGTGGACTTTAAATATCTACGAGGGAAAATACAGTCTGATATATATCATTGTTGGCAGGTTGCTAGTTTAGTTTTTTTTGAAACAGAATAAGTTATTCCTATTTGTCTTCCCCTGGAAGGTATTATTCTTCACATAGACAAATTATCAGGCTTGTCCATGGGACAATATTACTTTCCCATCCCATCCTATGGGATTACCATTGGAATACAGTTCTATAAAAACTATTAAATTTATGAAAATTTAGGTTTAGTGCCTGCAAAACAACAAAATCCATTGAATTTGTTAACTTTCAAATTCAGGAGTATTGTCTAACTATGACAATCAGTATCATTCAGGCACTCTTGTTCTATTTCTGACTCACTCTGCTTATTCAGCAAATTACCAATGTCCTACTCATCGACTGTTTATAATAATTCAATTAATCGGGGTAATTACTACACCATTTCCTCAATTTTTATGTAACATGCAAATCTGATGTACAGAGGTCTATAAAAAGTTCAATAAACCCCCTTTCTTCGGCCCGATGGCGAATGACGATTCTGACTCTCTGATTGTCTATAGTATATATATGAACTATGGTGTTACCACGTTACCTTACCATCATGTCAAAATCGCGCCGGAAAGGACATAATGTTAATTTTGTTGACGCATAAAACATAATCCTATATGAAATTGTCCCATTTTTGGTGTGTGTCCCATGGGAAATAGAGACGTTTGCTGTCCCATCATAGCTCGTTTCTCCTATCCTTAAAAGCCTATTGCTCAGTTATTCATGTTATTTGTAATTTCAAAAATTTCAAACTTATTTTTCAAAAACCTCCCTTTTCTTTTTTTACAGCAAATATCTACTATAAATTTCCAGAAAGTTATTACTCAGATTATAAATCTTACATCATTGTACCACAATGCGGATTTAAAGGTAACAATTATTGTATCCTGCCTGCTTCATTTTATAATATCTCAAAACGATAAATCAAGTGATCGTTTACGCACTTTGAAATTAATAATATTATTCGAAATAAAGTTTAGTGTAAATGAACTTTTCTTTGTAAAAAAGAATCTTTCAATTTTCAATTTCAATTTCAGGAAAACATTTCCTATGGGTGTTGACTAGAACACCAAGTCCATCTGCAACAGATTTGATCAAAATAACGACCGTCATCGAAAAGATGGGAAATGAGTGGGCTGAAGTACCTTTATACATGTCAGGGTGTCCGGCGTTAGATGGTAACAACTACATGGATGTGTGAAATATTTAAAACATTTTTTCTCTTGTTAATTTAAATAACACATTAATTTAAATGCATCTTATACGAATGGATCTTTGTGGACTAAATTTGAATGTTGATAAAATCGAAGATTGATTTACACTCCTGTCCAATTCCTATTCAGCTAATACAATTTATATAACGTGTACGTCTTTTATCAGAACATGTATTTGTTTGGGAAATGGGGAAAGTTATAATCTTGGCATGTGCCGGAACAGGATTCAATATCAATCTATACGTAGTGGATTTTAAAATATTATTTCTAAACGGAATACAGTGCATGAAATTTTAATTTACGGTGTTAAAGAATAAGAATACATATTATATATATGGTTATGGCCTCCTATAATTATAACTATGGTCTGTGGCATTAAGGTTATCTATTTCATTAATCGAAGTTTGTGCTGTCGAATTCACATCGCTTATTGTTGCATAATTTCCATCAATCAGGACAACCAGCACGATGAAATGATATGAATTTATGTCATATATTACGGATAAATTATAAATCAATATGACATCTCTCCTTTTTGAGTGGAATCCGGTATTGATCAATTTTTCATCAACACATGTGCAAACAAAATTGCACGTTAGGCTTAATGTACGACGGTGATAGCTTTCGAAACGAGGCTTTACAACAGCTTTCAAAATGAAGTCAGTATATATTACCCTGCTGATCTCAATTGCTGTGTCTCTTGTTAGTAGTCTGTTGCAATGTCGACTTCCAGAGAAAAAAATGTTGGTGGACTGGCAACGACTCAGTGGCGAGTGGTATGAGATTCTAAATGCTAACGTCACGGTAGATGAATTAAGCAGCAATTGCTATGGGATGAAGGAAATACAACAAACCGAGCTGGGCGGAGTGTTAAAAGAAATCGACTATCATTTAAGTGAAAAAACCTACGACGTCATTACTGTTCGATATATATTGAATCGGAATAGTGGATATTATTGGATTGGCTCAGAAGCCGATTACAAATGGACATTGGAATTTGGAGCTGATGTGTCTGGCCGTTCACGTCAGATCGGAGAAGTTGCAAAAAAGATAGCAAAAACGTTATCTAAAAATCTACATCTCCACTGATTATGATAATGTAATAATTTTTGCGAGTTGCCTCGAAGAAAGTATTGAAGGCCAAAATAGAGGAATTTGGGCATACGGAAGAAGCACAAATACTACAGCGAACGACGTATTACGTGTTGTGAACCAACTCGTTCACATGGGAGATGAATGGAGTGCAACACCCTTATTTAGGACGGGATGCGTAGGGACTGAACTGGCCGTGGATTGCAAAAATAAATGAAAAGTAATCATTACGGACTTCGAGCAACCACTGACCACCAGCACGCAACCATCGTTAGCGGTGACGAAATACGGTCGCTGCGAAGAAACCTTAATGATTTGATTTCCGCATGTCAGAATAGTAGCATCACGTTTTGAACTGGACCTATATAATACCAAACATAGCGTATATTCAGGTTATTTTTTTGAAAAATAATTGAAAGTGGTTTTGTATTTGAACTTAATTTACATTATCTTTTTACTTTTTAGATAGATAATACAGCAATATTGGACGTCTAATACATTTAAAGCAAGTATATGGGTGACGAAATGCGGTCGTTGTGTGTCAAAATGGGCGTGACGAAATAGGGTCGTCGAGTCAAGTTAGGGGTGGCGAAATACGGTCGGTGTGTGACAGATTGGGTTTGACGAAATACGGTCGTTGCGTGGTGTCAGGTTAGGGGTGACGAAATACGGTAGGGGGAGGTGTCAGATTAGAGGTGACGAAATACGGTCGAGACGTGTCAGAATGTAGATGGCAAAATATGACTGAGCGTGTCAAATCACCGTAAATCTGGCAGTAGGGTGCCGGTACGTATACCATCACATCTGTATTTAGGTTGATAGTAATTATCAGAGGCTCAATTGCTACAATAAACATATAAATAATTTTAAAATAATAATAAATTTTCATGTCCTCAAATAGTGTCAAATAAATTTTTTTTCTATATCTAACCTTTTATGTTACTTAATTATGCATAGAAATGACATGAAAAAATGTGTTTTTTGTCATCGTGCAAAGTGATTGTGATTTAATTTAAATTTGACGTACGACTGGGATCATTCTGCATAGAGAGACTAAAATTAACGAAATCTCTCTATGCAGAGTGATCGAGTCGTATGCCAAATTTTATTTAAATCAAAATCAGCTAATTTAATTTAACTAAACATTGTAAATAAAATTGTCAAATTTTTTTGATTATTAATTTGAATAAAATTTTGAATGTATAGGTATGTTTGATATATTATTACGTTTTGCTTCGCTAGTCTTGAACATCTCGAAATGGTAACAGATTTCTCATATTTTAAGTAGAGAGTTTATTTGTTTTGTCAAACAGAAAACAATAACACGACAAATATAATTGTAAGCAACAAATTCTCGGTATAGACCGTAAGGCAACTGGTATCAATACGATCATGTGGACATCGAGATCAGTTTACAGTACCACTCAATATTTATAACGTGAAAGACATTAGCTTTAGATGTGAAAAGACATCTAGGATGTGATGTTGTAGGTTTGTCCGAAACCATCAATAACTTTCAATGGAAGAATAATTTAGCTGGCAAGCGTTTGGGATGATATAAGCATTAATTAAATATACCTAGATAAAAATTCAGACAAATTACTTGCTTGATCAATGATGATATTAACGAATTTGACATTTTTGATTGATTACTAAAATAATAGGAGAAGGTTTTCAGTAGAGTGTATGGCATTGGTTACCTAAAATATGTAAATGGTGAATGGCTCAAAGTAACGTCTATATAGGGGCATATAGTCAAGTTGTTCGAGTGTTAAAGTTCGAAGCGTATGAATAAGGTCTACAAGCATCATGTAAAATATCAGAAAGGATACTCATGTTAGACTGTAATTTACACTGGATTTTCATTCTTTTAGTTCGGAACCGAATTCTATGAGGATGTCTTCAACTACGTGATAACATGATGTCGGACTCAGACTCGAATCGAAGCTCGGATGATCTCGACTTGATTCGTGGTTTGATAATTACCAAACAGTGAACTGCGCGCTATGGGTGAGATATCATACTGATTTTACCACTGAGATACTTGGCGATATGCATGTCTGTGCCGTATGTGCATAGTGACACAAGGGGTAAAGACTGCCAGAGAAATTCCAAGTGGATGTCATTTTTCGCGTCCGGAAAGAATAATTTCAATAAAAAGTGACTAAGGATCAACAAGATATTAAATGATGTTGGGTTAAAGGACATATAGGGTGTCCACAAATCATACTGGACTTTTTTTAAATTGCAGAGGGAATTTATCAATGCCATTTATAGATTTTGCCCTCACAGATGTATAAAATACTTAAACAATTACTGATTAACAAACAACAAACCTGGTTAAGATATATTAAGAACTGACTTTATAACCAAATTGAAATTGTAATTGACACCCTGTATTGTTTCAATAGTTATGAGAAAAGCAAAAAATATTGTTGCGTTTAAGTGTCAGGTCTGTATTGTGTGTACCTACTTAATTACAAACATGAAGTGAAGTTCTGTAGAGTGTACATAATGTCAACAGACGTCGCATATGATCGTATAATTACCCAAAGGAATGGAGCCCCGTAAACGTCACTAATGCCCCATTATGACTCCTAGAACATGTTTAGTCAAGATTGGGCTTATAACAAAACACAAATCGACAAACAACAAATAAACAGTTGTCTTGATAAAGTTTCCATGGAATGTGGTTTAATCAGACAATCTTCTCAGTCACATCCCAAATAAATCTACGTTCTTTATTTTCACAACAACAATCATTCATCATCATCAACAAAAAGTTTGGCAAGTTCCTGTCTATGTCTATCTCCATTACATCCCTTTAAGGCAGGGGTCGACAACCTACGGCCCGCGGAGTAATATAATCCGGCACGCAAATGGAATTCAAATGGTATTTGAATAACTTGCAACCTTTAATTTTGTCCCACGAGCGACAAAAGGTTGCCGACCACTGCATTAAGGTTATGGAATCAATTGCAATCAAATGCTGTAAATTTTTCGCCGTTATCAAATCCCAAGTGATGCTTTATAAATTCAATCCCAAGCATATGGGTGTTTTACTTGTAATTTTAATTGCAGATTATGGAATTGGCGATAGCAATTTTAGTCCAGAAATTATATTTTAATTAAGGTCATGGCGGTTTGTGAAATATTTCTTCCAACGCTGTTAAATTAGTTTTATTTATTTCAGGTGCGTACTGGACGGAAGTAAAAGATGATTAATCTCACATGAAGCAGATGTAGAATAGCAGTTTTTCTTGATATAGATAAGACTGTAGTTTTAGAATTGTACCAGTCGTATTTTCCACTTTATTTTAATCAGTTTTGTATCCGGGTTTTGGAGGAGGACAGCGCTTGCTTAGCCACCCCAAATCGTGGGTCATGATAGGTATTGATTGGGTTAGACACACTGAGATTTCTTGATGTGTACATGTGAGGGCTGCCATCATATAACTATCAGCTCATAGACTGCTATCATAGATATGAACGACATTCATTCGAATACGGTATCTTGTAAGTTGGTAAGGTTTCTGTACTTTGTCACAAATTTTGTCGTTCTATGCCTAGAATCTTTGCAATTTTTGGTATTTTAATTAACATAATTTAGGAAGTTTTATCCCTTTTTGTTAATGGATATTAATAAATAAATATAACCGATGAGAAAATATTTCCATGCTTGCTCCGAGTCTGAGATTGGTTTGTCAGGTTTTGAATAGTTGTCCGGGATAAACTAGCAATCATCGGAATGTAGAATAGGGCGTATGCGACATGCGTATGACGTCACTAGGTTATGACGTCTCACCCGAGCGAGCAGCGGTATTTTGGGGCAGGCCGGCGCTGGATCCGGGCCGAAACGACGCGATTCATTTTTTTCTGTGGCAGACGATTGACCATAGATAAATCGAGTATACTTTCCAAAATTTATTCACAATCATGCATGATTTGACTATAAATTTTTAAAATCTTCATTTTCCAAGGGTTGACCCTTCGATTTTCTTCATTTTCGTTTAATTTGGGATTTCTATCTTCTTGTAAGTCGGAGCTTCCTTCATGCTTTATATATCTGCGTAATCCAATTAATGACGACACGAAATTGATACGGGACAGTAAGTTCGCAGGATTCAAACTTTGGTCACCATGAACAAACTAAAGCATATCAACCGCCATTACCAACTAGGCCAAGAAGGAACGTGAGAGCCAAGATCTAAGTTCCAATATCTATCATTCATCTTAAAGGACTTTATAATCTTTTTTACAAGTTCTATCTATTGAAAGGGCGGCTCAAAGATCTATATAACAAAGGAGAAATTCGAGCTGTGGACCACAGTAACCCCCAAAATGAGAGAATATGAAGGAAATCTAACGGCCAGAACCTAAAAAAATATAAATTTTTGAAATTTTCATCCAGATCCAGATGTATGATCAAGCATGGTCATGTATAAATTTCATCAATTATACTCGATTTATCTACGGCCTATGATCGCCAAAAATAAAATAAATTGCATCGTTTCCGCCCGGATCCGGCGCCAGGGAGCCCAATAAAATCGCGGCTAGCCAGTGTGACGTCATAACCTGTCGACGTCCTAGTGCAAAATCCGCAGAAACCAGTCTAATTGACGCTTTGAGACACTTCTTACACCTATGCCCCAACTCCCATTTCTTATCAGTCTAACCAAACTCGGTCCCCGACAGCCAATAAGTATGGAGAACGGATATTGCTTCAATAATTTTATTATTCTTCAGCAAGACCATGAACAAAAATCTACATCTAGTCTTCGGAAAAAAAGTACGAGAAGAGGTGGATAAAGTTGAGATAATGGAAATGCAGGGACGGATTGTTTAAAAGCGAGCAACATCGAGATACCAAGCTTTTCTGCCATGATCAGACACGAAACGAAGAATTGTGAATTTCTGGGTTATACCTGGGCTCAGTGGCATACATCTAGCAAGGGGGCTACTGCTCCTGCCATGGGCGCCATTTGGATGAGGGCGTAAATGGGCGAAACCTCATTTTGATAAAAACTACCTAAATAACGTATAAAAGTATCCCAAAGCAACAACCCGTAGTTAAAAATTTCAGTGAACGATCGATCAAGAGGGCGCATTTTGAACATTTCCATAGGCGCCATTTCACGCAAATACGCCACTACTGGGGCAAGCTTTGATATCCGGCAAACTCTGGTGGAAAGATGGTTATATAAAAAATTAAAACACACTTGTTTATATAATCAAGATGGTACGACAATTCATTCTAATGTTCATTCAACGTACGTGTCCGGTTGTGGACCGTCTTATGATCTTTCCAACCAGAACGCAGCTGAAATATTAAAACAGATTCAACGTAGCACAGGACGATTGTGGAGTACATTTCACACCGAGGAAAAACAGATCCTAAAAATTTAAACACTGTCATGCACAATTCAACTCGAAAATTCATAACATTTGAAACTAAGCTTTCAACTTGATACATCACGATAGCGATGCTCAAATATATGGACACGAAAACCAAAACGAAGTAGTCGAGTATGCAATCTGTCACAGTAGACTACGCCACAGGGTGCGCAATTTTTAATTTTGATTGTTTTAGTTTAGAGAAAGGCGATTTATCACAGAAACAAGAAAAAGATTCCCAATAATAACAGTAACATAATAACAAAACGGTCTGATGACCACTTCAGGTCCAACGATTTCAGACTCCAGACCGGCAACTTGAGTAAATTCTTCTGCAAGTTTGTGTACCTAATGCCGCAAATAGCAACAGTAACTATAGTTATTTCCGTGGTGTATTGTGGAAAAAGCATCAATAAATGAGGCAAAGAAGTGCGTTTGCGCAACTGGAATATTAGCTCACCAATTATTACATTATTGATCTTGCCCGTCCTATTTTGGATATTTACATTTCTTTATTTTGGATATTTACTTTCTTTTTACGTATTTTGACATGTATTTTTAAATAAAGCATACTTTCGTTTAACTATCCGTCGTTTGTAGCTTGTTAGCAAGTTATTTTTGAGGTGGGGCGCAAAACTTGACAAATTCTAAAAAGGGGCGCGGCTTAAAATGTTTGAGAGCCACTGCTATAGAGTTTCGTTTGAGGAATATTATATGCTTGGGTAATGAGTAACTATTGATTTGTAATTCAATTTCTCTAATCCACCTTGTGAATTAGTTATGAAATAAAAACTGGGGTTCTCAGTCTATACTCTCTATTCTATAGGATAAAATTAGCCTCTGTGGGTGAACAGGGTAAATTAGCAATCAAGGAATTTTAACGCCGAAAATTCGATTCAACCCACCAAGAAAAACCAAATGAGTAGCGAAAGAAAGCAGCGCTGGCAAAGAACTTATTTTGACAATCGTATATATTTTAGTTTCATACACGCTATCATCGAGTAATTTATTTTGTGGTAAAATCTGTCACCGCGGGCATTTCCGAGCTTTAGGATTTGTGTAATAAGAGTTATTATGCTCTCACTACGGAGGTAGACCATGTTTGTCGGTTACAAACTAGCTAAGAGCTTTAATGTAAACATTGCACATTTCTACATTTAATACATTCTGCCACTTGTAGCAAGTTTACAAAATTAGGAAAAAATAGGACTGAAATAGAAAAAAAATTTTACAGCCCTTGAAATAAAGCATATATATTCAAATCTACACAATAATATGGATCACTATCCCGAATTTCGTCACGAGACTCACAAACGATAATACTCAAAATGGAGAACGCATTTGACTAAGAGCGTGCTGGTAACTGATTAGCACTATAAATATTTTTCATTATTTTATTTTTTTAGCGAAGGAAACTTCTATATGTGGATAGTACTTACTTTAAAATTTACTTATTTAGCGCTATTGTACGTGGTATTAAAGCACACAACTACTTAAACCTTGAACGCTAAAGAGCGAGTTGTGCGCAACTATCTGGTAAACCTGAAGAAAACTAAAACCAGAGTTGTTTACGCATAACAAGGAGAGGAAGTATTTGATGATTGTGGACCTCAAACTGAAGCACGCGCGCGTCTCCAGCAGGGTTTTCAACATGATAACGAGTAAGTCATCGAAATGTTTAAATGCTCTGGTATATGTTTGAATCATGTGGGGTTAAATTATGTGGAAGGGGATTGTTGGTCTCCTGGTTTCCCTCTTGGACTCCTGGAGGTGATTTACGTACAACTGTTCGTCATACCTCCGCCATTAAGTGCATGCATCCAGAACTAACACTGATCACCGTCCACGTAATCAAGCCGTCCTACGGATTTCCTCTCCACTGTGATAAATATGGATAGACAAAAATATCTACACTTACTTCAACAAACTCTCGATTCGTGAGATTCGCTTTCACCTTATTCGCTTTTCCTCGTAATCAGGACATAACCTGCATGATATAATGATACATGCATGATATAACAAGAAAAAAAAACTATCGAATCCGAAATATTCCAGCCCAATTAAAAACGTCTTTATGATTTCAGCAAGAGCGAAATGACCTCCGCCAATGTTGTTTTGCATTCATTTTTATTTCACTTTAACACGTAGATGCCTATGCCGGTACAGATAGAATGTTTCGGCTCGGAATAAATGATAGCAACTAATTTCAGTGTGAATTAAACTCAATTTATTGAAACACGGCCACTTGCAAAGAGTAAGAGTACTTTTAGAGCATTGTTCCAACCTTTATCGTTAAAACTACCATTCGCCTATTTTGGAACTTTTTTTTTATTTTCGACTTGTTCTTTGCCTGATTTGTGATGTCGTTTCAAAATCTAGTATACACCAAAACAATAAAATACGACACACAAACAGTCTATTATTTAAAAGTCAATTACATTTAACCGAATCTCCATTAATATAAAGCAATGTTTCAATGAATTAACGGTCGCCTTATTCATCTCTATTTAATTAACGCGTTTGTTGAAATGAAAAGATTTTATAATAATCTAATCAAAATTCTGCTAAACTCTTGTCACGATCTCATGTAAGCACGTGTTTGCAATGGTGACCGTACATTTGAACCCATGCGTATATCCACGGGTTCAATCTATATGCGGGTGCTATAACCCATGGGTTAGGGTTAGTATGGGTTTAACTATCCGTGAAACAAAAAAATTCCATAGGTGCAATAGCATAACAGGTGCAATTGTCATGGGTTCAAATGTACGTGGGTTCAAATGTAATGGAACAGTTTGCAATATATTGGCTTAATCTGATCGCAAGAACGTGTAAGGCGATACGATAACTAAAATTCTGTAAAATTTCAATGCAAAAGCTAACCGACAGCAGAAGCATGGAAATATATAATGTAGGCGAAGAGAAACAACACCATGATCAACAAGGTGAAATGGTAAACAGCAAATACATACATCTCTTGAGTATTGATCTGGATATTATTGCTGATTGCAATCAATTTTGCCGTGCTCATCTCTGTTTTCAAAGTCGTTTTTTAAATTATACAATTATTTCTATAGATTTTCGTAGAAAACCTAAACAACTTAGCTAACTATGTCTGTACTAATTAGAGAGTTGGACGTTAATGACTTTTGAGCACTTGCAGCGTCTAGTTGCAAACAATTATGAAGAAAAATTGATTGAGGATATTGAAAATTGCCAAGTGGTTATGGAAGAAGGCTTCAAAATGATAGGACAACTTCTTTATACAAAGAAACCAAATAGAGCTGCAATGACAACCAATGTTCCAACGAAGAATCTTGGCAAAAGATCGAATCATGGTAACATAACGGTAAATTACTACCGAATGATGTACATCAGATTTGGCACAAGAATGTCAGTCTTAATGGTAGAAGCTAAGATAGAGGCTATTGTTCTGCGATTGGAAAACGGGCTCCAAATGGGACAACATGTTACTGTGATCGATCCAACATGTCGGAGCGAATGGCGAGGTCTGCCTTCATTAAGACAATACATCCTATCCTACCTGCAACAGCTCCTCGGGTCCCAAATCTTATGAAATTGCCAGAAGGGTTACTGGAAACGACCACAATGCAATCATTCTGTTTTGAAGTGGACCACATAAGAGTGGTACACGCCAATTTTGTGGAAAGCTGCGATCACAGGTATTGTGACGGACGTTACGGAATTGAATGTCCAGGCAGTACCGTAGACAAGAAAATGAGTGTTGTAAGAATTGGGATTGACATTCCGGACTTGACGTTGAATGGGAGCCTTACAGTAGCAGAACGATAGCTCTTGCCGTTTTCGATCATTCATTCCTGAAGGTGACTCCAACTAAATTAAATTATGTTGAAATGTTGCGTTTTTCAAAGAATGCATTGCGACTACACAAAAGATTCCGTGTATTGGGTTGGTTTAGGCCAGGAAAAAGTGGGTCGGACACGCTGACAAGCAGTTTCAAATTGCACATAAGCGAGCTCAAAGTACTTGGTGGGAAATTGACACGGTTTGAAAGCGGAGACCTTGTGGTGTCGAATGGCCATAATATGCCTCCTAAAAGAGCACGAACCAATGAACAATCTAGTTCTAGTTCTTAAAAAATGTACTATATGCTTTATTTCTCATTTAAAAATTTTATTTCTCCCTGTGATTTGTGACAAATCTATGTATGCCAGCATAATACAACTTGTACAAATTTGTATTCGCATTACTTATATATAAAATAGAAGTGGTTTTATGTGCAAAATGAGTTATCGTTATTGATGTGTAATTTGTGACAGTGGACTGGTCTTTTCGTTTCGTGCTAGTGGCGTTTTAAGGTCGGGAGTGAGTAATAGTTCCATTGTGACTTTTATTAAGGTACGTCCAAGATTCAAAATAACTTGAAATGTCTGACAAGCCAGTTTGACAGCGTTTAAGCATTTCAAGCTCTCATTTTTAATAAGTCTAAAAAATTGAAAATTCGAGTCATACACTGAAAACGCATTTTATGTTTGGCCTATACAAAGTAATGGACCTTTCCCCGACCTTTGACCCCCGAAAAATTCTTTCTATACTTTACCATTGCAAAATTTTCGGCGCTATTTTGCGAGTGCTTTTGCGAGTTGGCGTCTGTAAAATGGGGTATGTGTTTTAAACCATCATTATGAATCATCGCATACAACAATCTGTTTTTTGAAAGTACCGGTAAAGAATTTTAGCCTAGTTTATCACAGCTATTTCTACACTAATTTTTTATTACTGCAATTAAATTAAAACTCCTAGGAAGACAGAGTAATCATTGAATTATCTGATTTATATTTAGGTTTCCGAAACACAACTGAAAACTAACGAATAGAGTTCAAAAACGCGAAAACGAGGTAATGTTTACGACCACGCTTGAAAATCTGTCTGAGTGAGAAAAGTGTCTGAGCGGATGCGAAAAGGGAGCATTGTTACGTCACTTTCTGCATCTTGCTAATTGGCTAATGTCACGAAGTAAACAAAGAAGTCGATGCTCGGGGAAAGGTCCATTGGAGTGAAGATCACGACAAAAAAATTTCGTCACGGTTGAGTAAACACGGACCCTGCAATTGGTAGAAATCGACATCCATGAAGAATTATCAGTTTATGATGTGTTATTTAAACTACTTAATGAACTAAAGTGGCTGGGGGCTACGCGCCGGACGAATTTCCGCCATTCAACCGGCGCAACGACCCTGGTGCTTCCATCAAACTCATAATAAAACATCCGCTTGTTTATACTCAATCTCTTCCTTACATTTCCCCTCGCGGGTATTGCAGCGACCGTCCCAGGATGGATCATGCGCACTCACACTTTTGTACAATTTAAGTGTGGTATAATTATCCATTATAGTAATATTAATAACAAAGATATACAGAATATTAGTAGCTGCATATCAGCAAATACTGAGCAAAATTCTCCTCGTTTCGGAACGTTGAGGGAAATAAATTTAAAAGAGTCTATGATAAAAAGTTAACCTACCTTGCTTATGCTTGAGACACGCCGGAAAGCCGTACCTTGCTCCACATGTTTTTCACTTACATTGGATGCTTTTAAGCACTGATTGACAATTTCTGAAGCAAAATAAAACCACTGTAAAAAGCGCCGAAAATTTTGGAAGGTTATATTAAATTTTCTTCAATTAAATTGTTTAATTCGCATTTGTTTTTATCTCAGACGCAGCGGAAATACTACATAAATTTCATAAACAGCTTTCAGCTTCCATTAAATACATTATTTAAGGACTAAATGTACACTACGATTTCGGTAACAAAAACATCGGATTCTGATTATGCCCGTTAGGAACTAATAATAACTATAGCTAACTAATCCCGATAAGCGATATGAACTGATCACCGGACGAGAAGCCGTGGTGTCCACGTAATCAAGCCGTCTTACGGATTTCCTCTCCACTGTGATAAATATGGAAAGACAAAAATATCTACACTTACTTCAACAAACTCTCGATTCGTGAGATTCGCTTTCACCTTATTCGCTTTTCCTCGTAATCAGGACATAACCTGCATGATATAATGATACATGCATGATATAACAAGTTAAAAAACTATCGAATCCGAAAATATTCCAGCCCAATTAAAAAAGGGCTTTATGATTTCAGCAAAAGCGAAATGACCTCCGCCAATGTTATTTTGCATTCATTTTTATTTCACTTTAACACATAGATGCCTATGCCGGTACAGATAGAATGTTTCGGCTCGGAATAAATGATAGCAACTAATTTCAGTGTGAATTAAACTCAATTTATGAAACACGGCCACTTGCAAAGAGTAAGAGTACTTTTAGAGCATTGTTCCAACCTTTATCGTTAAAACTACCATTCGCCTATTTTGGAACTTTTTTTTTATTTTCGACTTGTTCTTTGCTTGATTTGTGATGTCGTTTTAAAATCTAGTATACACCAAAACAATAAAATACGACACACAAACACAGTCTATTATTTAAAAGTCAATTACATTCAACCGAATCTCCATTAAATGTTTCAATGAATTAACGGTCGCCTTATTCATCTCTATTTAACGCGTTTTTTGAAATGAAAAGATTTTATAATAATCTAATCAAAATTCTGCTAAACTCTTGTCACGATCTCATGTAAGCAAGCACGTGTTTGCAATATATTGGCTTAATCTGATCGCAAGAACGTGTAAGGCGATACGATAACTAAAATTCTGTAAAATTTCAACTTGATCTGCAAAAGCTAACCGACAGCAGAAGCATGGAAATATATAATGTAGGCGAAGAGATACAACACCATGATCAACAAGGTGAAATGGTAAACAGCAAATACATACATCTCTTGAGTATTGATCTGGATATTATTGCCGATTGCACTCAATTTTGCCGCGCTCATCTCTGTTTTCAAAGTCGTTTTTTAAATTATACAATTATTTCTATAGATTTTCGTAGAAAACCTAAACAACTTAGCTAAATATGTCTGTACTAATTAGAGAGTTGGACGTTAATTACTTTGAGCACTTGCAGCGTCTAGTTGCAAACAATTATGAAGAAAAATTGATTGAGGATATTGAAAATTGCCAAGTGGTTATGGAAGAAGGCTTCAAAATGATAGGAGAACTTCTTCATACAAAGAAACCAAATAGAGCTGCAATGACAACCAATGTTCAAACGAAGAATCTTGGCAAAAGATCGAATCATGGTAACATAACGGTAAATTACTACCGAATGATGCACATCAGATTTGGCACAAGAATGTCAGTCTTAATGGTGGAAGCTAAGATGGAGGCTATTGTTCTGCGATTGGAAAACAGGCTCCAAATGGGACAACATGTTACTGTGATCGATCCAACATGTCGGAGCGAATGGCGAGGTCTGCCCGTCATTAAGACAATACATCCTATCCTACCTGCAACAGCTCCTCGGGTCCCAAATCTTATGAAACTGCCAGAAGGGTTACTGGAAACGACCACAATGCAATCATTCTGTTTTGAAGTGAACCCCATAAGAGTGGTACACGCCAATTTTGTGGAAAACTGCGATCACAGGTATTGTGACGGACGTTACGGAATTGAATGTCCAGGCAGTACCGTAGACAAGAAAATGAGTGTTGTAAGAATTAGGATTGACATTCCGGGACGTGACGTTGAATGGGAGCCTTACAGTAGCAGAACGATTGCTCTTGCCGTTTTCGATCATTCATTCCTGAAGGTGACTCCAAGTAAATTAAATTATGTTGAAATGTTGCGTTTTTCAAAGAATGCATTGCGACTACACAAAAGATTCCGTGTATTGGGTTGGTTTAGGCCAGGAAAAAGTGGGTCGGACACGCTGACAAGCAGTTTCAAATTGCACATAAGCGAGCTCAAAGTACTTGGTGGGAAATTGACACGGTTTGAAAGCGGAGACCTTGTGGTGTCGGAGGGCCATAATATGCCTTCTAAAAGAGAACGAACCAATGAACAATCTAGTTCTAGTTCTTAAAAAATGTACTATATGCTTTATTTCTCATTTAAAAATTTTATTTCTCCCTGTGATTTGTGACAAATCTATGTATGCCAGCATAATACAACTTGTACAAATTTGTATTCGCATTACTTATATATAAAATAGAAGTGGTTTTATGTGCAAAATGAGTTATCGTTATTGATGTGTAATTTGTGACAGTGGACTGGTCTTTTCGTTTCGTGCTAGTGGCGTTTTAAGGTCGTGAGTGAGTAATAGTTCCATTGTGACTTTTATTAAGGTACGTCCAAGATTCAAAATAACTTGAAATGTCTGACAAGCCAGTTTGACAGCGTTTAAGCATTTCAAGCTCTCATTTTTAATAAGTCTAAAAAATTGAAAATTCGAGTCATACACTGAAAACGCATTTTATGTTTGGCCTATACAAAGTAATGGACCTTTCCCCGACCTTTGACCCCCGAAAAATTCTTTTTATACTTTACCATTGCAAAATTTTCGGCGCTATTTTGCGACTGCTTTTGCGAGTTGGCGTCTGTAAAATGGGGTATGTGTTTTAAACCATCATTATGAATCATCGCATACAACAATCTGTTTTTTGAAAGTACCGGTAAAGAATTTTAGCCTAGTTTATCACAGCTATTTCTACACTAATTTTTTATTACTGCAATTAAATTAAAACTCTTAGGAAGACAGAGTAATCATTGAATTATCTGATTTATATTTAGGTTTCCGAAACACAACTGAAAACTAACGAATAGAGTTCAAAAACGCGAAAACGAGGTAATGTTTACGACCACGCTTGAAAATCTGTCTGAGTGAGAAAAGTGTCTGAGCGGATGCGAAAAGGGAGCATTGTTACGTCACTTTTTGCATCTTGCTAATTGGCTAATGTCACGAAGTAAACAAAGAAGTCGATGCTCGGGGAAAGGTCCATTGGAGTGAAGATCACGACAAAAATTTTCGTCACGGTTGAGTGAACACGGACCCTGCAATTGGTAGAAATCGACATCCATGAAGAATTATCAGTTTATGATGTGTTATTTAAACTACTTAATGAACTAAAGTGGCTGGGGGCTACGCGCCGGACGAATTTCCGCCATTCAACCGGCGCAACGACCCTGGTGCTTCCATCAAACTCATAATAAAACATCCGCTAGTTTATACTCAATCTCTTCCTTACATTTCCCCTCGCGGGTATCGCAGCGACCGTCCCAGGATGGATCATGCGCACTCACACTTTTGTACAATTTAAGTGTGGTATATTTATCCATTAGTAATATTAATAACAAAGATATACAGAATATTAGTAGCTGTATATCAGCAAATACTGAGCAAAATTCTCCTCGTTTCGGAACGTTGAGGGAAATAAATTTAAAAGAGTCTATGATAAAAAGTTAACTAACCTTGCTTATGCTTGAGACACGCCGGAAAGCCGTACCTTGCTCCACATGTTTTTCACTTACATTGGATGCTTTTAAGCACTGATTGACAATTTCTGAAGCAAAATAAAACCACTGTAAAAAGCGCCGAAAATTTTGGAAGGTTATATTAAATTTTCTTTAATTAAATTGTTTAATTCGCATTTGTTTTTATCTCAGACGCAGCGGATATACTACATAAATTTCATAAACAGCTTTCAGCTTCCATTAAATACATTATTTAAGGACTAAATGTACACTACGATTTCGGTAACAAAAACATCGGATTCTGATTATGCCCGTTAGGAACTAATAATAACTATAGCTAACTAATCCCGATAAGCGATATGAACTGATCACCGGACGAGAAGCCGTGGTGTCCACGTAATCAAGCCGTCTTACGGATTTCCTCTCCACTGTGATAAATATGGAAAGACAAAAATATCTACACTTACTTCAACAAACTCTCGATTCGTGAGATTCGCTTTCACCTTATTCGCTTTTCCTCGTAATCAGGACATAACCTGCATGATATAATGATACATGCATGATATAACAAGTTAAAAAACTATCGAATCCGAAAATATTCCAGCCCAATTAAAAAAGGGCTTTATGATTTCAGCAAAAGCGAAATGACCTCCGCCAATGTTATTTTGCATTCATTTTTATTTCACTTTACCACATAGATGCCTATGCCGGTACAGATAGAATGTTTCGGCTCGGAATAAATGATAGCAACTAATTTCAGTGTGAATTAAACTCAATTTATGAAACACGGCCACTTGCAAAGAGTAAGAGTACTTTTAGAGCATTGTTTCAACCTTTATCGTTAAAACTACCATTCGCCTATTTTGGAACTTTTTTTTTATTTTCGACTTGTTCTTTGCCTGATTTGTGATGTCGTTTTAAAATCTAGTATACACCAAAACAATAAAATACGACACACAAACAGTCTATTATTTAAAAGTCAATTACATTCAACCGAATCTCCATTAAATGTTTCAATGAATTAACGGTCGCCTTATTCATCTCTATTTAATTAACGCGTTTTTTGAAATAAAAAGATTTTATAATAATCTAATCAAAATTCTGCTAAACTCTTGTCACGATCTCATGTAAGCACGTGTTTGCAATATATTGGCTTAATCTGATCGCAAGAACGTGTAAGGCGATACGATAACTAAAATTCTGTAAAATTTCAACTTGATCTGCAAAAGCTAACCGACAGCAGAAGCATGGAAATATATAATGTAGGCGAAGAGATACAACACCATGATCAACAAGGTGGAATGGTAAACAGCAAATACATACATCTCTTGAGTATTGATCTGGATATTATTGCCGATTGCACTCAATTTTGCCGCGCTCATCTCTGTTTTCAAAGTCGTTTTTTAAATTATACAATTATTTCTATAGATTTTCGTAGAAAACCTAAACAACTTAGCTAAATATGTCTGTACTAATTAGAGAGTCGGACGTTAATTACTTTGAGCACTTGCAGCGTCTAGTTGCAAACAATTATGAAGTAAAATTGATTGAGGATATTGAAAATTGCCAAGTGGTTATGGAAGAAGGCTTCAAAATGATAGGAGAACTTCTTCATACAAAGAAACCAAATAGAGCTGCAATGACAACCAATGTTCAAACGAAGAATCTTGGCAAAAGATCGAATCATGGTAACATAACGGTAAATTACTACCGAATGATGCACATCAGATTTGGCACAAGAATGTCAGTCTTAATGGTGGAAGCTAAGATGGAGGCTATTGTTCTGCGATTGGAAAACAGGCTCCAAATGGGACAACATGTTACTGTGATCGATCCAACATGTCGGAGCGAATGGCGAGGTCTGCCCGTCATTAAGACAATACATCCTATCCTACCTGCAACAGCTCCTCGGGTCCCAAATCTTATGAAACTGCCAGAAGGGTTACTGGAAACGACCACAATGCAATCATTCTGTTTTGAAGTGAACCCCATAAGAGTGGTACACGCCAATTTTGTGGAAAGCTGCGATCACAGGTATTGTGACGGACGTTACGGAATTGAATGTCCAGGCAGTACCGTAGACAAGAAAATTAATGTTGTAAGAATTGGGATTGACATTCCGGTACTTGACGTTGAATGGGAGCCTTACAGAAGCAGAACGATCGCTCTTGCCGTTTTCGATCATTCATTCCTGAAGGTGACTCCAAGTAAATTAAATTATGTTGAAATGTTGCGTTTTTCAAAGAATGCATTGCGACTACACAAAAGATTCCGTGTATTGGGTTGGTTTAGGCCAGGAAAAAGTGGGTCGGACACGCTGACAAGCAGTTTCAAATTGCACATAAGCGAGCTCAAAGTACTTGGTGGGAAATTGACACGGTTTGAAAGCGGAGACCTTGTGGTGTCGGAGGGCCATAATATGCCTCCTAAAAGAGCACGAACCAATGAACAATCTAGTTCTAGTTCTTAAAAAATGTACTATATGCTTTATTTCTCATTTAAAAATTTTATTTCTCCCTGTGATTTGTGACAAATCTATGTATGCCAGCATAATACAACTTGTACAAATTTGTATTCGCATTACTTATATATAAAATAGAAGTGGTTTTATGTGCAAAATGAGTTATCGTTATTGATGTGTAATTTGTGACAGTGGACTGGTCTTTTCGTTTCGTGCTAGTGGCGTTTTAAGGTCGTGACTACTCGTGAGTGAGTAATAGTTCCATTGTGACTTTTATTAAGGTACGTCCGAGATTCAAAAGAACTTGAAATGTCTGACAAACCAGTTTGACAGCGTTTAAGCATTTCAAGCTCTCATTTTTAATAAGTCTAGAAAATTGAAAATTCGAGTCATACACTGAAAACGCATTTAATACTTCGAAAATAAAATCCAGTAATAGAATCTAAGTGTATGAAGGAATTTTCATACAATAAACAATGGAATAACTTCTATCTACAACCTGGCTATATTACCAGGCATTTCATGTTTGCAGATTATTGCGATATATATTTTATATAACATGAGTTGTGTTAATTAACAGAATTAAAATAATACGACAAGGCATTTTAAATAGTGGTATCGGTGATGGATTTGAATGCGTGCGCAACACAAAATCATCCTAGTAAAACGCCCATACTTTTAAATACCAACCATTATCCAAATTATTTGTCAAAAAGCGGGATAAAGTATGAGTTCTTTTTCAGACTTGTGACAATTTTTTCGTGAGTACAAAAATACAAATCAAAAAGTAATTATATTCGGGAACTTTACCACACATTTTAAGTCCGCAGATCGCCGTTGTATGTTTGTGTAATAATACTTTTATTATTTTATAAATACGAAAATAGGGTTCAAAAACTATTTATAATCGGGTAGTTTACCACACATTCAATGTCCACAGATCATCGTTGTATTTTGTAAATACGAAAATAGGAATCAAAAATTAATATCAATCGCGAGTTTGCCTCACAATTTATGTCCACAGAATGCCGTGATATTGTGCCCGAATATAATTAATTTTTGATTCTTATTTTCGTACTCACGAAAAAATTGTCACAAGTCGGAAAAATAATTTATACTTTATTACACATTCAAGTCCACAAATCGCCGTTGTATTTTTGAGTTATAATAGTTTTAATATTTTGTAAATACGAATCCGAAATTAATTATAATTGGGCAGTTTACCACACATTTCATGCCCGCAAATACCCGTGGTATTTGGTATTAATACTTTCATTATCGATACTTTTGACCATCATTATCAAAATTATTTGCCAGAAAGCGGGTGAGAGTATTTTTCCAATAAATCAACTTGTTTCCCAACTTGTGACAATTTATTGGATATCGTAACAATTACGGCTATAGATACCGTATTTCCCGGCTAATAAGTCTACATGGCAAATAGGACGATGTATATTTTTAGCACTCAAAAAAAGGGGTTTTTCCATATAGGCCTCCAAGAAGACGGGTAGAAAAATTGTTCCCTGTTGTTCAGTTATGCTAATATGCGCTAATAATAATGTTTAGAACCAGATCACGTTTGTTTAGTAGAATTATACTCACAGAATTAACTATTTTTAACAATAAAGCGGTAATTTTAAGTTAAAAATCACAATCATTTTGAACAATCTATAATTTTATAGGGTCAGAACAGAACCAGATCATGTTTGTTTGGTAGAACCATACTCGCGGAATTAACTATTCTCAACAACGAAGCGGTAAATTTAAATTATAAAGCGGCAATCATTTTGGACAACCTATCAACCCGAATGTTGGAATAATTTTGAAATGTGATAAGTACCACACGGTACGTCCACGGGTTATTTCACAGCTGTGTTTCATGTCCCTGTCGTTTTCTGCTGAATCGGCAAAACCAAAGGGTCATAAATCACTTACTTTATCTCGGTGGCGGTGGCCGTGTTTTCTCCATTAAGTAACGATAACCGACCTACGATTAAATATCATGATTGGCAGACCCATAAGAACCAAATATAAGGTTAACACAAATTATGCTTGAGAAGACTAATGCGAAAAATAAGCAGGCCACATAGAAATAAAATAAACATGCTTTCCCTATAAGGCGCCCCTCCCCCCAAAAAATCAAGCCAAAATTGGGTCTAGAAAAGCGACTTATTAGCCGGGAAATACGGGGATTGTCGATTTTTCGACTAATGGAAATGATTTTGTGAATTAAAAGACGAATGTCGGCAATGTCCACCAACGCAAACGTGCAAATGTGTCGCAACACTATACGACGTACATTCGCGCTGAATATAAACAATCAAAATGCCGACTCTATTTCATCGTCATTACAATACGTGAGAAAGCGTAAAAAGTCGTTTGAAGATTCCGGTAAAACGAAACACCGTGTTTACGGCGAAAAGTGACTAATATTCGTAATTATTCGGAAATGAGCCGAAAAGGTATTCGAATACTTTGATATTCGAATAATTTCGAATATTCGATTCGTTTTGGACAACCCTGTCGACATCCATGAAGAATTATCAGTTTATGATGTGTTATTTAAACTACTTAATGAACTAAAGTGGCTGGGGGCTACGCGCCGGACGAATTTCCGCCATTCGTCCGGCGCAACGATCCTGGTGCTTCCATCAAACTCATAATGAAACATCCGCTTGTTTATACTCAATCTCTTCCTTACATTTCCCCTCGCGGGTAGCGCAGCGACCGTCCCTGGATGGATCATGCGCACTCACATTTTTGTACAATTTAAGTGTGTTATAATTATCCATTATAGTAATATTAATAACAAAGATATACAGAATATTAGTAGCTGTATATCAGCAAATACTGAGCAAAATTCTCCTCGTTTCGGAACGTTGAGGGAAATAAATTTAAAAGAGTCTATGATAACAAGTTAACCTACCTTGCTTATGCTTGAGACACGCCGGAAAGCCGTACCTTGCTCCACATGTTTTTCACTTACATTGGATACTTTTAAGCACTGATTGACAATTTCTGAAGCAAAATAAAACCACTGTAGAAAACGGCGAAAATTTTGGAAGGTTATATTAAATTTTCTTTAATTAAATTGTTTAATTCACATTTGTTTTTGTCTCAGACGCAGCGGAAATACTACATAAATTTCATAAACAGTTTTCAGCTTCCATTAAATACATTAAGGACTAATTGCACACTACAATTTCGGTAACAAAAACATCGGATTCTGATTATGCCCGTTAGGTATTATCAAAAAAAAAATTTTTGAAGTTTGTTTTAAAAATAAATCATGATTTGAATTGCAAAAAAATATAATTACCTGCATACTTTCTTATATTTAAGACGTATCGGAAAGTCATTCCTCTTGCTTCCCAAATGAAAACGTTTCCTTTTTCGTTTGAAGAAATTTAATCACAGATGTCAAATTTCTGAAATATAAACAAAAAGAAGATACTAACGAATAAATGGACATGAACAAAAAAAAAACATAATAGCATAACGATATGTACAGTTCGTGTCCACTAATATTGAAACCAATAACAAGTAATTACCCCGTCTCTATCAGTCGTCACATGGGCTATATTTAATGACTGTGTTGATAAAAACTCACTTGTAGCTACCATGTCCAGCTATGCCGAAGATTCGTCTCCCATCAACTTTTGTCTGCACGTGCAAAAGAAAATTGGAAGGGTAGTCCAGTAGTGGAAAACTTCGCAATTTTAATAGCTACACGAGACAAAAAATAGGACCTGGCATACTTCATACAAAGAGTGAATTACTTATTGCGTAAGACAGATTTTTATCTGGCTTATTGCCTTCATTATTTAACAAAAACACTCGCAATGGTGGACGGAAATCTTACAAAGGGTATTGGTTTTACAAAATACGAAAGTTACAAAGAATGAAACGACTTTAACCCGGACTGCAGATGCGCAGTCATCAATATCAATCTAATACTTCATACTTAACTGGATAAATGTTCATTCAACCGCATTTCCTCCAGCAGATCCCGATGCCGACAATTCCAGAATTTGTGATCCAATTCCACCCCAGATCAATAATTTTAGGCCTAATATTAGTCTAACTGCACTAGTAAACAAATAACTGTAAAATCCTATAAATTGCCTGTGAAGAAACGTGAAAGCTGTAAATGAAGCCAAATTATTTATTAATTGCCGTTAGAATAAATGAATTTGTCAAACAGCCGAAACGACGAATAATTGGAAGACTATTCAAAATGTAAATCTGAATGCACTTACAACAAATATACGTTTCTCAGCGCAAGAGCCCAGTAGTTTAAAACCTCTATATGTAATCAGATTCATGTTAAGGGTAATATAAGAAGACAATACAATGACACTGACGGAATCCTAACACTCTGTTTGACCAAGAATGTATACTATATTCATATTGCCATGCGGTTGTGCACTTATAAATTTAAATAAATTAACAGTTACCTTATTAATCATTGATCGCCTCTCTTCAACTAAACTTCCGTGAGTGTTCGAGTCAGGTATTTGGCAACAATCATCGATTTAATGCTATATTATAGCCTAACTGTATTATTATTTAGTTTATCTTTAGCCATTAGTCCATGTATCTTTCTTTTTCATCCCACCTCGACAGTCCCACTTTGCAGACAATTGAATAGTAACAAATTTTCAATTGTTACTTTGCAAAATTTATCGAATATGCATAATTAATTTTTGATTGTGGACTTCAACCTTTGAAGGAACACAGGTATTTTTCCACCTGCAGGAACACAGGTATTTTTCCACCTGCATAAAACAGTGATCCAATGTTCCTAAAACAATGAGATCATCGACATACCCACGAAATCTATGCTATTCCAATCAATGTTCCCTCTAATTTTTTGTAGTATGTGTGCGCAGAAATTTTGGTATGTGCGCACTTTTTTGGAAATACCTAATATTTGTGCAAAAACCAATGAAGAAATTTAGGCGTTCTAACCGGGTAATAAGTGGGCCAACAACAGACTTTCTCAATCTGCCAACGGAGCACATTGTTACATTACATCGAAATACGTCTGTGCGCAGTAAATCTATGCGTGTGCGCACCCTCTGAAAGCTGTGTGCGCGCGCACACGCGCACACCTTAGAGGGAACACTGATTCCAATCTATTTTGCTATATATTTCCAATACATTTGACCTTAATTACTGCGCCGATGCTATAAATCGGAAATTATATTAATATTGCTCAACCAAAATTTCTCCTGTAAAAATCGAAACGAACTGGTTTCTGATTGGTTAAAAATAAACCTTCCCGAAAAAGTAATAAATAAAGCTATAGAATTTATACACAAAACGGAAAAATTCAAAAGTTTTTACATAACCCAACTTAACCCAAAATAGCACAGACAGAAAAGAGAAAAAAGGGGGGAAAGGTAGGAAATATAGGGGGCAACCCGCAACTATCCCATTCAAGGATTTCAAATAGAACACGCATACCTTCTGATTGATATATTGCTTTATATCGGAGTCCAGATTCTAGAAGTCTAATATATAACTAAAGTCGTAAGTAGACGACGGGATAAGTACGCATATAGAAGACCATTCATAGCAATAACACAACTTTCTACATTACAGAATCAACAATTGTAGCTTAAACCTAGATTTAACTGCATTAGTATAACTGTGAAAGACATGGAAAAAATGAACGCTACTTGGACCCACGTAAATTCTTGACATGACAAAAAAAGGTTTGGATATAAACAACAAAAGAAGTGACCGTTGAAATAATTTTAAAATATATTAATTTTAAGCAAATAATATCACCTGTACTATATCCGGAACATCCCAACACAACCCGCATCTCTGTTGAGTTTTTAATTCATCAATGATGTAGATCTTATTCATGAAATGGTCCAAACATCATTGCACAGGCATATCTTCCCAGGGGTCTTTGATTCAACCCAAGTATACTCTCAACTCAATATCAATCTAGTGCTATATTATGGCCTAACTGTAATCCATAATTTAACGAATATTTGTTTAACCGTAGTTTTTGTTCCGCTCAAGCAGTTTCCGATGTCAACATTCGCAGCTTGTTTACGTTCAGTCAGTTTGCATAAACACGATCTGAAATATGTAACATGGCTAAGATGCACTATATAGGTTGAATAAAAGCTAACACAAGATCAAAGCAATAGGGCAATTCGTACATAATATGGAATATATCAAAAGCGTAAATTTGAATACGGTTTTAGGTTTCTTACTTGTCCTAACTTGAACATTTCATTGTTCTCGATCGCCTCCATTTGTTTACGCCGTCGTCTTTGATTCAGTAATTACACACTAGAAATCATTTAGTATTACGCTATGGGCTAACTAACTGAAAGAATGAAATGATCTCTAATAACCATTGTCGTTAGATTAGCCGAACCATTAGATTATCTCACCAATTTCAGATCTTGTAATCTCAATTCCACTTTGTAGACATTTGAATCAATAATTGTAGGCCAAAGCTTAGTTTAACTGCATTAGTATAGCTATGAAAAATGGCCGAAGATACAAGCATTGGATTATGAAAAAATTAGCGTCCCAAGTATGCACTTAAACCTAAAAATTCACAAACATGAAATCAGTGCTCACCTGACGGCGTCGAATTTGAAAAGACCGCCTGAGCGCAGACAAATTTTGACGTGGCAAGAAAAAAGTTTGATCATAATAAAGAAACAAAGAAGGTGGAGGAGACCGCAAAATGAAGATGCCTTTTCATTCGTTATTAGAAATCACATGTCTAGGTGACGTAAGAAAATAGCGAAACAACAAAAAAATGATGGAACATGCTGTTTGTCGCGCTAACCTTTTACCACTACAGCCATATAATAATCTAGATAAATTGGATTCTAGAGTCTCTAGACAATTTTTAATATGCTACATTATTGGGAAAAAAAAGTAATTGACAGAAAGATATTCTACCGACGTTATGGTGTGGACAGCAGGAAAAATCACGCTGACCAAACATAAAGCGATTATAACAAAATCAGACGATTTTTCTTTCCTATGATGCTTATTCAATACTTGTCGCTTCGAACAAGACCCTATGCAAGCATCCACAGATACCCCACGAAATGCTATGAAGTTACTTTAATTTTTTGTATCTATATATCGACCCGCCACGTCCTGGTCGATTGTACATTAGAACTATTCCGTATTCGTTGAAAATATTCGATAGAAAAAATGCAACTTTTCTACCCCTAGCAAGGGCGAATCTATGGCGCCCAAAGTTTAAAATGCGCCTCCCTTGATAGTTAGTTGACAATTTATAATGACTGTTATTTAAATGAGATACATGTACGTTATTATTTGTGTAGAAATACGAGTTTCAGTTATTTCCAATTCGAAATTATTCTATTAAAACATTTTACGATTAAAACTTTCCGCTCTTTATGCGTCCCTGCCCAAACAGGGGCTATGGCACGAGTCATTCTTGCCACACCCTAGATACGCCACACACCCCTAGTTAGTTAGTTCGTATGTTAAAATATAATTGAGACGATATGTCGAGTAGCAACATTTTATCAAGGCCAAATGGAAAAGGTTTCTCTGAGGAAAATCATTTCTGTCCGCGTTGCAGATTCGATTTTTGGCCCACAAATGTTGCCACCCCCTGATTTTCACAAACTGAAAAGCTCCGAATACGTGCTCCCCAAAAATTGAATTACCAGTACCACTCAATATTTATAACGTGAAAGTCAAGGACTTTAGATGTGATATTGTAGGTTTGTCCGAGACCATCAATAACTTTCAATGGAAGAATAATTTAGTTGACAAGCGTTTGGGATGGTATAAGCATTAATTAAATATACCTAGATATAAATTCAGACAAATTACTCGCTTGATCGATTATGGTATTAACGAATTTGACATTTTTGATTGATGACTAAATAAAAAAGGAGAAATTTTTCATGTGAGTGCATGGCATTGGTTACTTAAAACATGTAAATGGTAAATGACTCAAAGTAACGTCTATATAGGGGCATTAAAACGTCACTGCAATAGCCAAGTTGTTCGAGTGTCAAAGTTCGGAGCAACAAAGTAGGTATAAAAAAGCAATCAAATCAAAATTGAGCTTAAATGTTTTCGTATGAATAAGGTCTACAAGCATCATGTAAAATATCAGGAAGAATACCCATGTTAGAATGTAATTTACACTGGTTTTTCATTCTTTTAGTTAGGAACCGAATTCTATGAGAATGTCTTTAAGAGATGAAACGCTATTCAGAAGATGTTAAGTGGCTATGCTCTAGTTTTTACTACGCCGACTGCAGATTAATGAAAATCAAACAAAACCCGCAAATCAAAATTATAGGCACAATGAAAATACGAAGATACAGTAAAGTCAAAAGTTTTTACTACACATATATATTTCAATGTCAAGTATGACACCGCTTTTATCTAATAAGTTTGTTAATATTCGGTGCGATGGAGGAGGTTGCAATGCAGAGCGAATTTCTCATTAGCGAAATTAGTGATCTCATGGGGGATTTGACATGGTTCATCTGCGAAAAAACTTGCTCGCACAAGTAAGTGCTGTCAAATATTGAGGTCATGAAAACAGCCTCTTCTATCTTCGCAGAAAAAAGACAGGAAATCAGATTGAAATACATGGCAGACGATAAAAATAAATTCAAACATCTCTCTCCAGCAATTACGCCCACAAATGGACATAAAAAAACTTTCGATAGCTGGGCGCTGCTTTTCGCGCGTTTAAACGACGAGAAATAACTTTTTATTAGAGGTTTCAATAATTGCTCAGATTTATGAAAAACATTGGGATTCGAATAATATTGCGCGGACCACTCGGAAACCTTTGGCGTGTCACATGTGACCCGCAGGCCATGGGTTGGACGACCCTGCCTTAATGCCACCCATATATATTTCATCTGATGCATCTAAGGATGTACAAAATAGAAATGAGAAAAAGTTTTTGAAAGAAATGGGTCCAGTCAAAAGATTGCTCTCGAAATGTTACGGAGAATCCTTTAAATGTTTATGTAAATATAAAATGATAATTATACGGCTATGTGCTATTTGGTGGAACTTTTTAAATTAGTCTGTTAAATTCTAGATTCGCTAAATAACATTGGATGCCACATTTGAAATATACAGGGTGTTCGCTTTAAAAACAGAAATTTGGAAGCTCAGATGAGATCAAAGATACAATGCATTCTTACTAATTTCTTGGACTAAGATACTGCTCTGCACAGACGACATTTTAGCATCCATGAATGGAATATAGCATATGCCTTTAATAATTTCATTAAAGTCATTCTTTGTAAAAAAATTAAATGTTTGATAAATTTTCTGCTTTTATAGCGACAACCCTGTGGTTCGTATAGACAAGCAACAGTGGCAATGAATAAACTGTAAAACAAGTAATATGAGAATTATTGATTACAGTTGATCTAATGACTCGTTTTTAGGCAGGTATTTCTCGATGACCTCCAATGAAGCCAACATTACGACATATTTGAAGAAAAAGAGTAACTCTATAGATTCGATTTCATTATGATGACAGAACAGCAGCATTGTTCAACATGGTCATATATACTGCCAAACATATCGCATATTCAAATAATTTGATGAAAAATATACATGTATCATAGTTTAAATAAATTATGTAAATAAATTCACTGAAAAATTGAACAAGTATCTTTTTACTTTGATACTGAACGTCTAATACATTTAAAATAAGTATCATAAAGTATAATATAAATTAAAAAAAAAACATTTTACGTAAATTCTTTCGGAATGTAGAAAAACGACAGTTTTGAATGAGCGATTTTTCGAAAACCTACTATAAAGCCAGCATTACAACATATTGGGTGAAAAAAAGAAATCTTGTAGATTCGAATTCATCATGGCAGAATAGTAGTAGCACGTTTTAACTGGCCATATATAATACCAAAATCATAGTGTATATTCCGATAATTTTATGAAAAATATATATTTATCATGGTGTAAAGTGATTTTGTATTTCAAATAATTTGAATAAATAATTGAACAATTATCTTTTTTTATCGTATCATACACCGATACGGAACGTCTAATACACTTGGAATAAGTTAGGAATGGTATAAAATAACTATAAACATTATACGGCCTCTCATGGACTTTATTTTTTATTTTGAATAATTACAGTTTTGGTTGGTCGATTTCTAGAAAACCTCCAATGAAGCCAACATGACAAAATATTAGAAAAAAGGAGAATCCTTCCAGATTCCATTTCATCATAGCAGAACAGTAGCAACACGGATTGATATTGCTGTATATAATCCCAAACACAGCGTATAATCTTCGATTTTTTAACAATTCGAAGAATATTTCAATGGGGTTTTGTGGTTCAACTCAAATTTACTAAACACTCGAATAAATATTTTTCAAAACTATTGTCTAAATTCCGTGTTCTACGTCTAACAAGTTGTTGTAATTTGCGTAAATTACAATGTAATAGTAGAACAATTTACGTCCTCTTGTGGATTCTTTAAAAAAATTTCGATAGTAAAAATAGGTCTTCTTCAAACAGCGATTTCTTGGAAATTTCAAATAGAGGCAACATTAGGACACATTGGGAGAGAAAGGAGAATCCTTCTTTATTCCATTACTTCATAGAAGAACATTACCAGCACGGTTTGACAAGGTCGCATATAATACCAACTGTAGCGTATATTCTTCGATTTTGTAGCTTAAATGTAACTACAAAACCACTCTTAACCATGATACATATATACTTTTCATAAAACTACCGGAATGTACGACTATGTTTGGTATTATATATGTCCAATTCGAAACGGGCTTCTACTATTCTGACATGCGGAAATCAAATATTTAAGGTTTCTTCGCAGCGACCGTATTTCGTCACTCCTAACCTGACCCCACGGAACGACCGTATTTCGTCACCCCCAATCTGACACGCACCGACCGTATTTCGTCAGCCCAGCTTGACTCGACGACCCCATTTCGTCACCCCCAATTTGACACGCAACGACCGCATTTCGTCAGCCCTATTTTGACACCCCTAATATGACTTCTGTGCTTCCACCCATGTAGGACGAAAACGCGGTACCGACATAAGGAGCACATTTTCTTTTTTATATTGATGACGTATTTTACTTTACGGAAAATCATGGCTGGCCATCAAGCATCTTTTAAGTTTTAATATTTAATTCAGATTTAGAAAAAAAATTCACAGATAACTGTTATTGTAAGAGCAATGAATCCACATGTAGCTAAAATAAAAAAGTGTTGCTCTTATTGTTTGGCTTAGTGTGCTCGCATATTAAATTGCGGTATCGACCGATTTTATCGTGTTAGTTCATTGTCTTTGGTGGTCGGTCAAGTGGTCTTTATGCAAAGTTATGTTCGCCTTCCAGGTAGCTCTGAATTTAGTGAGTCAGGTGAGCGAATATGGAACACCTTCTACTTTTTTAACAACACTTTTCAATCTAAAATCCGTATGTTTTAAACCTTACTTAGGTTTTTGTTTGGCGATCCTACAATAAGTTTTCTATATTTCGTTTTCATCAAATATTTTTTTATAGTCTATTATGCTGGTTATGGAGTCGAAACGAACTTGCAAGAACAGCCGAAAGAGTCTGGTACTCAGCCGAAAAACCTGGTACCCACAAGTTCATACTAAACAACGAGTGCTATGGTAGAAGAGTCCTCTGTAATTAAGAAATCTGAAGCCTGAAATAAAGACCTAAAATCCTTCATTACCACAGCCATGTTCAAGAATCGCATAATCAACATTTTATTCCTCAATTGATTCATATTCCAGTTATATAATAACAATATTAATAATAACATAAGCATAATATACAAAAACAGAGAGGAATTACAAATCCCCTGCTAGTGGGCTTCTAAGCACTGGCTGAAGACTAGAATCCAAATTGTTTTTTTCATGAGATTGATAATTACCAATAATAATCTCCAGAAAAGCAAATTTCAAAAATATGCAAGTGAAAAGACCAGCAGTTTTTGTTGTATTTTGTATCTCAACAGTTGTTAGAATCCAAATTTATACTGCTGTTCCGAAACTAAAGATGAACTCTTGGTAGAACTCAATAAAAAGCCTTACGGAATTATTACTAAAAATATATAAGATAATGTCTATACGCCAGTAAACTTGACCATCATATTTAGTCTGGGAATGTATTAACTGAAAGGTTCCAGATTTCCTCCTGGGTGTAATGAAAGCAGCTACATTTTTGTCATGTCAGGAAGCTAGTTTTTCTGAACATTGTGCATTTATAAAACACTGAAACCAATGCCGTTTATCAGTAACATCTAACTATCTGAAAATCAATTCAGATAGGCCGATATTACTCTGCAAATCAGAAAGCACTGCCAACGGATACAAACATATGAGAATAATATCTCATTCTCAAACATGATAAATTAGGCAGTTTTGAGGCATAATTACTAAAAATTAATTGACGTGAGGAGGATACAAAGATTTCGTGCCACACAAGATTTTAAAAATCTTCTTCCATCAAAAAATTCTACAATGAAGTGTCCGAAGTTTTAACACCCTAACACAATCCCAAAATTTCACGATGGTTAATAATTTCAATGATTACCTTACGAGGATAAATTTAATTATAAACAGTAAAAACTCCATAATTTCAATTGTTTAACAAATCATAAAATGCTGATTATCGCATACAATGAGAATAATAATATGACCAATTTCACTTGAGAATAGATTGAAAGAAGTTGATGTTAATAACAGATTTAATTATTTAATCTGTAGATCACAAATAATCCAGTTTTGCATCACAACTGAGATGGTCAACAATCTACATTACTGTCTTGAATTGCTTCCGATATATATATAGTTGCACAATTTCATAGAAAATGGAATAATATTAAGATACAATGCCTAGTAATAAAATCATAATATTTCTGTAAAGTAATAGGATTCTGAATCGGCTTCCATCCGAAAAGAGATAAAAGAATATCAAGGCGAGTGAAATCCCTCACTTTAAAAAATGATCAGTTGACATCACTTCTTTACACCCAATTTTTCCAACACACGTGACCCCTTTTCTAGATACTCTTGCCTGCTCATCCAGAATGAATCTTTGTCTTTCATAATATCAGCCAACACAGCTCCTCCCAGGAATACCATATGCTTTCTGCGAGGTGGATCCTCTATACGAATTTTGAATTTCTGTGAAAAACGTTTCAAATAAATTAAAAAAGAATTAGGGAACTCCATATTTTTCTTTCAAAGTTGCCATTCAAAAATGGAACTAATATTCTTAGATGGACATATTTCAAATAATTAATATATTCGTAAAACTTATAAAACTTATGTTAGTTTAGTAATTGAAAACTTTGAAGATTTTTCATCAGATCATGCTAGAAAACGTAAGAACGATAATCATAAGTGAATGTGAAACCATTCTTGTTTGTAATTTAGCTCCATAAATCGAGAATACATAACGATGATAGTGATATATAAACATTTTGTAATAATATACCAACTATCCATAAGGTGCTCTATATCTAATAAGATGATTAAGTGAATGAATTTTAGCGCATGGAAAACCAAATTTTTAATTTAAAGATACCCCAGCTAATTGCAAGATTAATCTCATTTCAGTCTTGAGTTTAAGCTGACATATGCATGATACATGCAAATATCCGCATTTCGCAAAAACTTGTTTGTAAAATGTTAGTGTCAAAAACATACAACACACAAGCTACAATCAAGGGATATCCAAAATGAATCGAATACATTCCAAAATATTTAAATTCTATTTTAAGAAATTCTTGATTTTTGGAAAAATTTAGAGAATTTCCATTTGAAGAATGTGATTCTCCACAATTAAAATCCGATTCTCAGACTAACCCTGCTTATTTACTCAATACAACTATAAAAAAAACTAATAAATACAATTTAAATTTTCTGTTTTATAAAATAAATCTCAATGGAATTACACTGATTAGGGCTAACTTCTGTAAATCAAGATCAAATTTAGAATATATCCCATGTTTCAAACATTTTAGAATGTATTCCATATACCGTAATAGATCCGTTTTTGGTTTTCCCAGCTACTACTCAACTACAGCAAATCAATTGGAACAAATTTAGTCCTAATGGCCAAGGGGATAGACGTCGAGCAATGAAAGAGAGAAATGAAAACGACCATTAACTACTATATAGTAATTATATGGTTTTAAATATATTTTCATCACTGCAAATGGTAATACTACAAAAGGCCATCGCCCTCCCTTTGATAAACAAAAAGCATATTAAAAGTACATAATCCAATAAAATATAATGACAATTCTGTGCCCTATACGTGTTCAATAGTTTTGAAGTGTTTATAAGTGTACCTATTTATTAGTAGTATTCTATACTTCAAAATGATAATGGGTAACCGATCTAGATACAACGGAAAACTAGCTTGGCTTCAGAACGAATTGGCTACAGTCAGCGGCCAAACAATTGGCCTCCGTGATGCATAATAATGAGCAATGAAATAGCTAATGTAAACCCGGTGTAACTTCACAACCTGCTCCAAATTCGTTCTCATGTATCTATGAGATCCAGGATCTTTATCTGAAGCAATGATGGGATCGATCGACCTATGTTGAAACTGACTATCAGTGCCAGCATAATCATCAATTTTAGCAATATCACTATGAAATTAGTACAGTTTCAGGAGTCAATGCTCCCACTTCCCAAGGTGGCTTTTGGGTAAAATTCAAAACCCGTACATCAAGATTGATATATAGAAAAAAATACACATTTGAACTAAAGCATTCAATACATTTTTGAAGTTACGTTAAAACAAGTTGAATTTTCGTTGATATCTGATCGGTGAAATTCAAAAAATAAACTTATGTACTTCAAACCTAGGACTAATTTAGTTGTGCAAAAAATATGAACGAGCCATCGCGTGTAGTTGATGAATAAGAAAACAGGGTTAGTAATAGTGAAGATTGAAAGTTGTTGAATAATTACAAATACTAACATCACAAACAGAACAATAAAGCCTCATGCAAAGCAACAAACGACAACACCACATGACCAAACAAAGCCACAAAAACCCAAACGAAGCCTTACCCGATTCTAGTAGTAGAGCGACGAAAATAATTGCAGTGAGAAGAACAGAAAAGTAAATAAAACAAAAATAAGGACAGTGATTAGTAACCCATCCAACATAGCATACATAAAGGTAATAGATAATGCAAATGTGCACAAGGCATTTGAACATAGGAATGGTTTAACTTAAAGAGTTCATGCAAACATATATAAAGGCACCTTTAGTTCATAGGGTTGACATTTTAGTAATACTTGCAAAGTATTTAAATAATAGACCATCAGATAGTATTATAAAAAGAAATTGAACCAATATAGCGAAACTATAGATTTTATTTACATTAGTTTTAATAACTTGGGCATCTAGTTTTTCAAGCATGAAACAAACAGTCTACTGTGTGGGAGCATGTATATGTCTGTTCATATAGTGATATAAAAAATTTGTACATTGATTGCAATAGTTTTATGAAGTACCAGAGCGTTGTTTTGTAATTTTGACAAAATAGTTATCTTACAAATCTCAGTTCAGTGCTAAAAAATATTTGTGATATGTCCGTGATATTGATTTATTCAAAATCTATGAAAAATTCAGAAACTACAAAATTATTTCTGTGCTGATATTTATCCATATTTTCAGATAATTCATTAACAAATGCTCAATGCAGCATAATCTAATTAGACTTAGCAAATTAATAGTCAATGATGGATCGATGGTACTTTGAAATTGCAATGCTTATTTTTCATGCATCAAAATGATTACTTTCAATTCTGAGAAGGTGAAAGGATAGTCTGCTATCAACAACTCTTTTCATTAACATTGTTTTGCAAAACATTTTGACAATGTTGTACTAAATTTTTTTTTCAAGGTTATTATTACACTGTCGTGTATTTTAGGATTGATATTTTTTTACATTTATGTTAGGCATAAAAACCAGACTAGGAAAAATGGGACTATTTTTCCTAAACAACAATAAACACCTTCGTAACAGTAATCAACAACAACATTGAAGCTTATGTGAGTAGAGCATAATTAACAAAAATAATCTCACCGATAATTTGGATGTATCACCCTTCAGCACTCCTTGTAAATACAATTGTTTGATTTCTCTCTCCATTCTAGATGGCAGGCCTGCAAACATGGTAGTTCCACCAGACAAGACAATATGCTTGTAGAATTCAGACCTATAATTAAGAATGTTTATTCAGATAAATTCCATTTTTATTTCAAATAAATTCACCATTATTGCACCCTATCATGATTTTGTTTTGAAAAAAAAAAATCAAATTAAAATGTTTTGAAAGTTGTAATAACATGAAGAGAGGAATTCTGGAATAAAAAAGTTACATGCCTGGTGTCAATATCTGCAGCCTGAATAGCTTTGTACAGCATTTCTCCCACGCCCACAGCATCTACATTAATGAGATGGGGTTGGAAAAGTACTTCTGCTGCTTCAAAACGTTCACCACCAACTTTGATAATCCGACCATCAGGCAGCTGTGAATTGAAATCGAAATAAATAGAATAAAATAATATTTAAATGATTAACTATAAATTTTTTAAAAGCGTTAATTAAAGAATATTGAAACAACCATTTGGGAAAGAGTAAATGAAAAGGAAATATGAGCAACTATATTTGAATATCAGGTATTAAGATCTATATAACTGTATAAAAAAACTGCAGATAAAACCTAGAATATCATATGTACATGTAGAAGAATCCATGAATATTCGGCATTTTGAGATTCACTTTTAAAGTATCAAATCCATTACATTTCAATCAGAGCTACATCACATTAAAATCAAGAATCATAAACTCAGAGGAAAACTAACATTAAGAGTATGTTAATGCTCTTTGCTCTTGAGAAGTTTAGCATTTAAATATTAATATATAACTTACCTTATATGATTCAACCAATACAGTGGTCTCTGTTGCAAGCTTTTGTTCTTGTTCAATGTCATACCTGAAATTAAGAGAGAACGATAGAAGAAATAGCTCATAATAAAAGTTTGATTTGTGATCACTTTATTCTGAAACAGAAGCAAGCGGTTAATTATCACAAGACCAAATACAAAAAATTCAACAACTTTCAAAACATGTTGCAAATTTCTACTAGTAGGCTATAAGTTAACACAAAAATAAATGACTTACGCAACATAACACAATTTTTCTTTCATCATTCGAACTGTTTCAAAATCCGCTGAATGGTTGAATGCATACCCACGTAGTAAAAGTAACTGAAAAGATGAACATTATTCAAGGATTTGAAATCATTGGATCAACTTGGATGATAATATTGTTTTCTGATATAATTACCAAAAGTCCTGGAATTTGGCATGAACTGCAACTTTTTATAACAGATATAGCATTAGCAAGTGAATACCCAATGGCAACCAAAGAGACTGAGGACAAGTCACTCATAAAAAAATTCTTTTAAAAAAAACTTCTCTAACTCCAATCCACCAGATTATTGATAGGAAACAGCGTTGGCAATTACATGTTTGGCCTACCTTGATCAAATATCTAGTAATATCCCTTCCAGCCACATCCAATCTTCTAGTTAAATGAGGAAGTGCGAATCCTTCATACACAGGACAAATGTGTGTCACACCATCCCCAGAGTCAACAACAATACCGGTTAGAAGACCTTGAAATAGAAATGATTTGGTGAGTGAAAACGTTCACGAGTTTTAAATTTCAAAACTGTGTAATATAACGTCACCACAAAATTGAAGTTTATGATACTGAAAACTCATATTTTATTCCCGAACAAAAAATCAGGGTTCAAAATAATAATATAATTCATTCACATTCACATCACATTCATTTTGGTACCTTCCTAAAAATAAGATACAGCCTCCGTTGTAAAAATAAAATTGAACAAACTAGAAAATAAAATAGAAATACCTTGTGCATATAAAGTAAGAACTGCTTGAATTGCGATATACACTCCTTGAAATTGATACTTTTCAAACATTACCTATAAAAAAATTTAATATAAGTGTAAAGCCAAGTAATCAAATAAACAATCATATCATTTCCATTCATCCATTATGCTCAACATCTGACTGTGAAGGACATATTTGTTATTCTACAAACTACATACAATCGGAATTTTCCTATTCATCATTGCATGTATTATTTTAAATATAAAAAGGAAATTGTTTCAGATCTTAGAAACCCCCGTCATTTCCTCCCCTAACGTTATTACAATTAGCCAAAACATTATGACACGACCTATGTATAAAACTTTGATACAAACCTCTAAAATTTTCTCCCTATTTTTGCTTGGATTCATCGGTGGTTCCGTAAGCAGAACTTTACAATTTCTTGAATAAAAGGTAATAAACATGTTTATGCATTACTTTATAAGACTGGCATAAGTGATTGTTGTATTACAATATTACAAAATTAAAAAAAACTATCAATTTTGCTCCTAAAAACTCTAAAAAATAATTTGAATTTTATGAAATCATGAATTCCAAAGTAATTTTTTTTAACATTGATATTATCTCTTTACAACCAAATTTATGTGAAATTAGGATTATACTTACGATGGATCAATGTCAAGTTTTTCTGGACCAAAAGTATAGTCCCACAAATGTATCATGTCTTCCCAATTCCGAACAATACCATTTTCCATTGGATAATTCACTTCTAACATGGAACGTAATAAACTTGCATCATCGCCAACCATTAAATCCTGTCAATATTATTACAAATTATGTGGTTGATTAAAATATATTGAGAAGAACATATAAATTAGATGCAAAATTGTAGATCTCAATTGGATTGATAACATAAGTAAATTTTAAATGATTCTACATTAAAATGATTGTAAATTCATATTTATGAAACAACCAAATTTAACACATAATGAGCAGTATAACAAATTAAGCTTTATGATATCTTGCCGTCAGTTGCAGGTTTAAGAATCAGTTTGCGTTTAAATGATTATACTCCGTTGCAATAGCATATTTAATAAATAAGCTGTAAGATCAAGATCAACCTAACAAGCTCGAAAGTAACCTGCAGTACATACATAATGTTCACATAACAACCAGCAACCAAATTTATCTTGGTGTGGCAGACCTTATGGGGGTCCTCATATCAATTAACAACACTGATTTTAAGTCTTGCAACTGTTTATGTTAGAATAAATCCATAGTAACATAACAATGAAATTTTCCAGCTAAACAATTTATCAATTGATTGGTGGTAAAATACTCATGTCATTTTTTATAACAACTATACACATTAACAAAAAAATAGGCAAAGTTACTGAACTTCTGAATTACCTTGACTTCGATGTCATTTACTTTAGTTGTTGAACGAATTATCGGCCTTCCTACTAAAGCAGGGAAAATATGTGCTGGGAAGTTTGAGCCTGCAAATCCACACTTGACAAACTGTTAATACAAGTATTATGAAGTTTAAACAATAATTAATTGCAATATACAGATATATGTGGACAAACAGGAATAAATAATATTCCAGATAAATTTTAATAGTATTCTGGATTCCGAGTTAGAATATTTATCAAAATCTAATATTGTTGAGAATGTTAAAGAGGTAAGGGTATGTCGTAGTGTAAAGCAACAGAAAACTATAACAGATAAAAATTCAATAACATCAGTAAGATGGATACACAATCTGACAATGGAACAGACATATCTGGCAATACTGTACAGCAGAAATACCATAATACCGTGCGGCACACTATTCAAATTCCAAGTATGTCCCATCATTTGGTTCAATAAAACAAACACTCCATGTGTATCATAAACTAATGGCATCTGGCACGACGGCGGATGCGTAATTTCGCGCAATGCTTGTCCTGATAATAATCTAAATCAATCATGGCCGTCATGTGACCAAAATTGCTGTTTTTTGCTGAAAATTCTTAAATGCCATGATAGAAAATTTTTGGGTCTCGTGTAGTTTTGTACAATTGTTTAGTGCAATTTTTTGACATGTCAATATCTAACCCCCACCTGACTATGCCCTCCAAAAATTATGTTATTACGATACCACAATCACGTCTAGAGCTTGCCAAATACACGTACAATAGCCCGAAATGGCATCGGCGCCGACGATAAATGACTGACTAACGTCAGCGATCTCTTTCTTATATAGGGATCGTTCCAACGAGAAAACAAGAGAAATAGCTGTTTGATTTTTGGGTGCTTGTCTGCGCGTCTTGGATGACAGTTTGTATAGTTTAAAGGGCTCATGTCGTAATGACGTAATTTTTGAACGGCGTAGTCACCTGGGGCCTGGGGGGTTGGGATCGAAACATGGGAAATTTGTTATGCTACGCCCACTAGAAGTATGTTAGGTACGAAACTACATGAGACCCAGACCCAATTTTTTCCTATGGTGAATCGCCCACTCTGCGGCCACCCCCTTTTTGAACCATCAACTTCATTGATTAAATTAATGCCGAAAAAATTAACGAACCGCGTTGATATTTCTCACGCATTATCCTCCACTCATCACTCGTAGTTCTGCGAAATTACACTAAAATGCGGCCACAAACAAAAACAGTATGACCGAAAACCCGACCGAAGAAATAAACGGACCATTTTTCCATGTCGCCAACTATCCATTGTCCCTTTAGAAAAGCTTGAAAATCCATACAAATATAAGAGATAAAAAAAATGAAACTTGGCAGGTAGGTAGAGTTGTGTTTCTTTTAACCATCTTTAGAGTTTCGCGTTTTTACATTTAAAGAAGTGGGAATAGGGGGGTGTGCATTTCCAATACGTCGATAATATCTTTGTCGACCAATTGGCATGGCTGCGTATGCCCTAGTCTCAACGCAGCAGAAACAATGTTCAAGGCTTGAAATCCGTGGTCGTACACTGGTCGTTCGGCCGCAAACACGTCTTCAGAGTGTCATACTCTGGTGGTTTGTATAGCTTTAACCCCTGGTCGTAGAAAGTTATTTCGAGGTTTAGCGTGTAGAATAAATACCAATGCACCACTGATGAAAAAACGATTTGGTTTTTGCTTTATAGCGGTTTGAATGAAATCGTCCGCAGACTGGCTACACCACCCTATAACATGTGTTTTATTACAGTAGCCTATAGACAGATAGAAGGGGAATGTTCAAAAATTGGTAATCAGTAACATATAATGAGTGAATGTTCAAAGGAGTCAGGCAGTGGGTGATCCGAGAGCCATCACAGCATCACATCAGACAGTCAAAACTGAGGCCTGCAGTAAAGTGATCAAGCAAACAAACATGTTTGACATAGGCTAGTCAGCTAGTATTGCTATAAGTCACGGAATGTTACCTATTAATAATGAAACTCACCCCAGTTCCGTTGTCGCAAACAACGACCTTTCGGCCTGCGGAATCCATGTTCCTTCAATAAATCCGATAATTTCCTCGCAAACTTCCTCACTCAGCAAAGAGACACAAACGTTAACACCCTACAGCTAGATGTAAATCCACTAGATGTCACAAGAACTTCCGCCGGTAAAATCAACTCAACCGTAACTACGCCGCATGATGACGTTGTAGCAATCAATTGTAGTCACTGAACTGGGAATATATTATACATAATTATATATCTTTGTGGTTGTGATCATCATAAACTTAAAGCTGAGCCCGTATATACCGTTAATACTTAACCGTTATATACTTGAAATAAATAGAAGCCCATATGCAAGAAAAAGGTCGGGCTCTAAACGCGTATCAAAGTTCAGTGATATATTTGTCCATAAAATATACATCTGAAATATGGACTATATATTAGTTTTCCATTTGCGACATTCATAGCAGCTTTTGTTATTATGACAGTTTGTCACACATGGCGCAATTTGAGTTTGTTAAATTCTTCCGTGATCATAAATTAAAATTTGTGTAAATAGGATGAAAACAAATAATAGATGTTTCCCCGACCCTTGACCCAGAAAAATGCTCCTCATACTTTACTATTGCTAAATTTTGGATGCTCATTTTGCGAGTGTTTTGGAGATTAGCAACTGACAAACTGATTTACATGTTCAAAATCATTATTTTTATATTAAAATATGAAACCAAGTGCCGATGACTGGTACTGATAGCTCATTTTAGCCTAGTCTATCGCAGCTTTCCCGGAACTAATTTTCGATCATTGATTTTACACTAAAGCTCATCAGAAAACATAAAGACAATTAAAATACTTCATTCACTAGTAATTTTTTGGAAACAAAACCGAAAACTGACAAATGACACGCAAAACCGCGAGAATAAGGCACGCTTGAAAATCTGTGTCTGAGCTAGGGCTGGGAATGGTCAACCGATTTTAGATGGTTAACGGTTACGATTTATTTTAACCGATAACTGACATCTCAGGCAGAGGCGTAGCAAGCATATTTTGCGCCCGGGGCAAACTATAAAATTGGCGCCCCGACCTCCACGTTTAATCATATTTTCTATTACATTTAATTGTATATGTAAAAACCAATTATATATGTAAATTCAAATTTATATGTATTTATATATTTTATTATTTATTCAAAAATATATGTATATGTTCAAATTTTAATGGAGCATTTTATTTAAAGAAGACGCAAAGCTATACAAAATATAGCATATGTCCATAATGTCCCACTCAGTTACTGTCAAAGATGATTTACATCTTGTTGTTTTTCATTTTTCGAATGATTGTGTCCAATTAAGCCAATGTGTAATATTGAGTTCTATTTATTTTTTTGTCTTTTTGTATGATCGTGTTAATTTATTAAGTTAATGTGTAATATTGAGTGTCCCGTTTCTTATATTTGCTGCTTAATTTCAGCTACAAGGTGTCGCTGACTAGATGACTCTATGAGTCTTTTCGCGACTCCGCGTCAACTGCAACAAGCCGATATCCATTTGACATTTTGTTACATTATATTATTTATTCATTTTTCATATCGCGCATTGTTTTTTGCATGACGAAAATAAATATCTGAATCTGAATCTGAGTCTCAAACTCGCAGCCCGCGGGATGATAGTTTGTGGCCCCCGTCTTGGTATCAAAGTTTAATGTTAGTGCGGCCCGCAAGTCACTTAGCTCATTTAGCACGATTATTGGTTTTAATATAACAACGTTTCCCAAACAGTGTTCCGCGGAACACTTATGTTTCGCGAGCATCTCCCGAGTGTTGCGTGGAACGGGAATCAAAAATACATCTAAATTGGTCGCCATGGCGATCTGAGAATCACGAAGGTTTTGCCCAACTGACCGTTTAAAATTGCGTCACCGTCGGCCTAAAGTGGACTAACTAAGTTAGGGTAGTGGCATTTGAAACATCAGCGCAACAGTTATTACAAGATGGAATTTTATAATTTTGCACATCCCTAAACGTGTCGTTGGAAGTGAAGTTTCAGTAAACAGAACGGTTTGTGATGAGCACAGACAATTCCAAAAAACTGGGAAATGCAATATTTCTTTGTTGAGCATAGGTAGGCTTACCATACGTCCCGCTTTTTCCCGCCGTCCCGATAAGTCAGCTAAATGTCCCGCTTTTGCGTTCAGCCATCCAGCATAATACACGAACATGTTCTCGTTACTGTTGTTGCTGTGTAGCGCAACGCTAACCTACTTACTGAAGGTGAATGCGTTATTTTGTTTGTTTCGTTGTTTCCCGCTAACATTGTTAACGAAGTATCACATGTAAAATCAATTCTTATTGGTCCTGTTCGGACGTTCACGTGAATGTATTAATGAGCAACGTCTTTTTGAAGGTTGTTATCTCCAGAAAAGCATGCTTGGGCGAATAAGTAAATTCTCAATGCTTGGAAACAGCAGACTATTTCATTATTCTTTATTCCGTTTGCTGTACGAAAAAAATCCAAATTCGGATCATTTGTATCGTTAGCGTCTATTCCTTTCTATTTTTCGAACTGAACCCGATATTTAGACAGAGAATATGCGCATGAACTCTCGATGACAATATGGTCAACGGAGACAGCCGGGGTGGCTTTAAATGTAGGCCTATGTAGTAATATCGGAAACTGTAAAGTTACAGGATTACAGCTATAGGGTCGTGTCTTTAAAAGGAGTCCCGCTTTGAAGTCAAAAAAATATGGTAACCCTAAGCATAGGGAGCATCCAGACATGTTTTATCTGCACAGTTGAAGTTGCAGTGCACAAGGAATACAATTTAAACGAGTTGCTAAGCTTTGATTATGAAAAACCTGATGCGGCCCGGACTCATCCAGACTCTGCCCCAGCGGCCCCCAAGTAAATTGAGTTTGAGACCTCTTTACATAGTCTACAAGAAATTTTTTATTTTATTTCACTGTCGCAAACTGGTTAACACGTCATCAAAATCTGTTTTTTTTTTTTTCAATGTTTCTCTTTCAACACTTAGAAGTGCAAGATCATTGAGACGATCCTGTCCCATTGATGCACGTGAATACGACAAAATAAGTTTCAATTTGCTGAAAGACCGTTCACAGCTTGCAATTGAAACTGATATCGTTGACAAAATTTGTACAGAAATTCGCAGATTGGGTAAAACGTCGTCTCCAAAAGACACAATAAAAACAAGAATAGCCAAAGGAGTTTCTGGTTGACCTCCAGTTCTGTTACTGAGCAGCATTCTGCAATCTTCAATTTCGGTGAAAAGTTCGTGGCCATTGATGTCCGTGTCGTAGAAATTTGCAAAATATGTGCAATCTCGTCGAATTGTCGAAAACGGCATTGGGGTCTTTTAGCACAGTATAATAAATTTTATGTAACTCTGCCGCAAAGTACGGTATTCTGACAACCACGAAATACAACCACGTATTACTCAAAACATGTATTAACATCATTCAACCAAATTCCGTTGCCATTTGTCTCCAGCGCAGAACTAATATCAACTTACATCGGAGTGCGCAGGCAAGAACTTAACGATACAGAACCATGTAATTAACCTCGTGTATTTTGTTACCTAACGTTACCAAATCAATTTTTGCTTTGTTTCCCGATCAGATTTTTTCGCCATGTAATTACGATGGAAATCTGACCGTGCGCGAGCTATGTTCCTGATGACGTCGGCAGTCGACGTAAGTGGTCTGACGGCTGACCAAGTGTGCAGTTTGCCATGTACTAAGGCTAGATGTCTGCCGCCGGTGCGATCTTGCTTGTGACTGTTTTTTTACCCTTGTGAAATTTTTGCAAGCCCCATTTTGGCGCCTCTGTACCTTGGCGCCCTGGGACATATGTACCCCATTGCCCAGGGCTACGCCTCTGATCTCAGGTACAAATCATCTTCATAATGTACAATTTCTTCAAAAATGATTACGTCGTCGTAAATTTATCTCCTGTGGCGTTTGATTCAAATGAATATCACTAACTGTATTGGTAAGGACCCAATAAATGTGAAATGTAATTGAAGTACCAAGATCGCTGATTATGAAAACTTGACAATGATAAATTCAGAATAAGTTTTCAGTCGAAATATATTGTTCACGATTTTATTGCAAAATCGTATATTCAATGTCATCCAACAAGTGCGTATTTGATGCTGTTTTTCTTTATGATATCTCAGAGTAGATTTTGCACGTCGAACACTGATGACAATGAATGAATCTTGACAATTTATCAACCAAGATACCTTTTCACATTTGAAAAAATTCTTGGCTCTTAAAAATGGCGCTTTTTGGCTCAACATATTCGTGCTAACATCTTTTTTTCTAAAATGGGTGTCATGAAACCCCTCCCGATCGTTTCTAACAGACGAAATTTTGAAAAATGGACTTCGAATTGCTAGTACTTACATTGAAGCAGCAGTTCCAGCAAATCCCCTGCAAGTAATAAAATTAATATCGCGCAATTTGTCACATTGAATATCGACACAAACCAAGAAATTTTCCAATATCTTCCTTTGCAAGGTCGATTTTGAGACTTGAATCATCGTGATGTTACAATTTAATTATAGTCATGGAGTCAGAAATTCGATTTCTTACCATGATAGTATCCCCTATTCCATTTTCCAATTCAGTGTTAGATGAATGGGCTTTGAAAAAGCTGGGACAAAGATTCCAAACGAAGTTGTTAAGGCAGTAAACGTCTGAATTATCCTCTAAGTATTCTTAAATGGGACCTCCCGAAGTATGCGCACCAAGATGGCGCACAACCTAAACATAGTAGGTGTGTTGTGTATCGGTTAAGATTCAGGCTGTGTGACATCTTGGTGCGCATACTTCTGTAGCAACTGTAAATGGGTTTAATTACCCCCAGTTAGGAAACCACTCCAATAAAGCATATATATTTGCATCTTTATCATGTTGATTCAAGACATGGTTGCAATCATTGATTACTTTGGATTTGGGCGCTGTTCCTCGTCATCATGAAAAGACATGAAAGATAAATACTAGCGACGGATAAATTTGTATGGGTGGTGGCCCCAAATGTACTCAGCTTGATGTTATGATTATTTTCTCTATGTCTTCAATATAAATTTGAAGTGAATTTTTACTAACGAAATATAGGGGTTTACGGCTGTTAAATTACCTTCACTACTAAGGTTTTTGTTTCGTTTCATTTTTTCGGGAGTGATATCGCAGACCATGTATCTGTGATAGAAACTCTCTAACCTAGAGTTCCATGCTATTCCATGTATAATTCTATCTTGCCTTTAACTATGTTGGCATCACAGATAACACATCGCAGGTTCAATCTATATGAGGGTGCTAAAATCCATGGGTTAGGATGGGTTCTTCTATACGTCACAAATTTTATAAATAAATGTCGCCAACTACGGGCCCTAATATACTGCGATGGTAAATTTATTGAACAAAGCCCTGTTTGTATGCGCAACCCAACTCAATGATGACTTGTAACTCCAAAAACGAAACAGATTTCATGAAAATTATCCAGCCAAATTGGACTTGTACCAAAACTGCACAAGACAGTTTTAAGTTCGATAAACGGAAACCCGAGCGGCTTTTAAAAGTTGAATTTTTCGAAGACTTCAGAGAAAACATATTGCAGCCATGGCTTGAAAATATCCAACAAAATCACGTTTAACAAAATGTAAAATGTACTTCTCTCTAAAAAGCCTACTGTTAGAGTTACTTCATAATTTCAAAATAAACTCCATTCCACTCTACAATAAAATGTATATATACAACTGATACAAGCAATATCGAAATGTTACGTTTTACTTTTACGCTAAAAAAAGAGTGGATAATGATATTCAGCTACCATCATGTTTTTACGTTCCAACAAATGATCGTTGGCGTAAATACGAATTGTTTCTTGTGTTTTTCACTGCTTGTCATATGTTATTCCAAGCTTTTTTCAAACATATCACTTAAACTTTTTTTCTATTTGCATAATGTATTAAACTTAAATAGCTTATATTACCGTAAATCCAAAGAACAAAATGAGCCAAATCCACTGCTGCGTTCCAAAATACACGGGGGTGATTTTAAAAGTGAGTTCAACAATCAAACTTTAAATGCCGATTAAATACAACACCAGAAGCAATTACCTTTACAAAGGTCTTGGAAATATACGAATGGGTTAATATAATATGTAACTCGACCAGTGATTCTCAGCCTTTTTTTCTTGGCTCCATATTCGATTCCCAAGAACTACGTGGCTCATACAGGAAAATTTCTTCCTGCAAAAATAGACACTTCAGCACTTCCACTTTTTTTATTCAAAATGAAAAACCACTCAGTTTTCAAAAACTGCATCATCATTCATTGTTATTTCAATCGATTCAGCAATTTTTGATATGTTTATGGCCCAACTGAAAATGTTACTGTGGGCCATGGCCCACTTGTTAAGAACCAATAAACTAGATCAGTGCTCTTCAATCGGGTATATATATGGTAAACCCAAGTGTATACCGGACCATAAGTTGTGTATACAACTGATAAAGGATATACGAAGGGTGTACAGCCTAAGTCAGGGATTCTAAACTCTAATATAATAAATTATAAAATATTCAAGCGGAGACAACAATGCAAACGCGGCGCACATGAAATATAAAATGTCATTTTCGCAAAGAACCGACGTGAGCACATTGTTACATACCAAACCATATATATAGATAATGCGGCCACGTGTCTGGGTTGGTGATTTCGGCTGCCATGCACTTCGTTTGATTTACGTTGAACATTATTTCCGTTGACGCTAAGGCCGTCAGTCAAATTTATAACTTGCGGACACTAGCCTATTAGATTGCATGATGATATTGCAGTACAATATGTGCTTAAAATTTAATGTTTATTATGCCTTAAATGAACATTGGTATTTGTAAGGTATACAAAGTTATTGAAAAATTGTGAAAAGGTTGGGGCTGGGAACGGTTAATCGGTTAACCGATGTTAGATGGTTAACGGTTAAGATTTATTTTAACCCGTAACTGACATCTCAGGTAATATCATCTTTATAATGGACAATTCTTTCAAAAATGATTACGTCATTGCAAATTCCTCTCCTGTGGCGTGTGCATTCATTATTAGCATTTACTTTTGTGTGCTTTGAAATGAATAATATGTCTCCTTTTCGATGCATATTGTAAAAAGTTATAATACGTATACAGAGGAAAATATTACATTCTTAAAAAAACAAACAGGACAACTGCAATTGTAAGGTTTAAGAAATTTGGTAGAAATTGGAATCTAAAACGTACTTTAAAAGCTTTCATAGTTATGTCAAATAGCACATATACGCGACAGAACAAAAAATAAATAGTGAGGCCATTTCAAATTACATCACACATCCAAAATGCATAATAGGCAAATCGGTCTCGAGTATTTGCACGCGTCACTTGTTTTCTTTACTTCTGTCGACAACCACCTTATACAATTATCGTTATCTTTTTTTTTTCAATATATTAGCAGAGTCAACATGTTGCCATGCGTAAGTTCTCACCAATATCACTTCAAATCCTGCTATCAATACAGTCGCGAATTGCCACGATGGCAGAAATGACAAACACTCTCTGCTGTTGTGCAGACCCCAAATTTTAATGTATTCATTGTAAATTTCGAACAAGCCCGATAGCAAGACAGCATTTTATTATTTTCCTCATTAATTTCACCTACACTTTCGATGGCATCAATATAACGCAATTACTTTTGTATAAAATCGATATGCTTTCGAAATAAAGCTATAAAAATATACTTCTTCGTGTGTTTCCTGATGCGAACACGAATTAAGTTCATTTGAGCGGGTTGTCGAGATTTGACGCTAGTGGAATTGGTAATAATAGTTTTCATATTTGTGGACTCAGTGGAAATCACATTGACACCAGACATCATGCTATGACATTTTCCCCGACACCCAAATACGAATGCAACTCGCATATACTTGAACCCTTCCACTGTAAATGAGTCAGATCTATCTGTATTATTCATTTATATTATACACCATAAAGGAGAATGTGAGATATGTCATCAAATCACTAACACCCTGTGACTATCTGCAGATTCATTGTTCGACATGGTTCACACCGCCAAGGTATTGCGTAACCTTCCACTATTAGAAAATTAGATCATGCTTGTTGGTCATCGATCGATTAAAAGAAAGTTCTGGTAAATCATGTGCTTTGTATCAAAAAAACAAATAGGACGGAGAAATAAATAATTACAGAAAGCCATTGACGAATTTCATTACGACACTCCAGAATTGCTAAAAGTTTAACTAATTCAACAACCAATCCCGTTTCTTCATTGAGAATGTATTTGTTATGACTATTCAACTACTTTATTGTTCGAAATCATATGTTACTTCTTATGTAGTCACGTACGTAAGTTTTTGTTATTTATCCCAACAGCGTTTCGTCCACGTATGCACTTAATGTAGACAGTGCGTCATCGAGCTCTCGACCTATTGAGAGCGGGTGGGCCGATTTATTATTAATCATAAAGCGGAGAGAGGTTACAACGCCTTCGTTACGCCAGTTTTGCGTAAACCAGGCATAATTTCTGATGCAATCGCCATCCTCCGGGCAAAACACGAATTAATTTCAACCAATGAAATCGCGAGGTTCGCTCGTGCGTGCAGCAGAATGACAACAAAAACATACGCCCGTACCTTTATAAAAGTTACGTCTGCAAGCCGAGATCATATAGCAAACTTTGAAGCGACTGTGTAATATTGATTCAGATATAATCAAAATGAGTGACGGTAAGACTGCTACCAACAACTTCGAGGCCGAATATTACGACCAATATGACTACTACAACATAGAAGACGACAAGCATTCAGGTGCAAGTAGTCGAAAAGGTCGTTCTAAAGCCGAATCCGCCAAACGAAGGTAGGTTTGCATACTTTGCCTACCTGTATTACCTCATTTAATTTTGATTTTCCAAACAATGTGTTATAAATCTTTTCAGTGCCTTAATTTGTCTTTCAAAAATAAGTGAAAAATTGAATGTTTCATTTACCTGAATAAAGATTTTTTATTGATATATTTTTTTTAAATATTTCTAACATCACATGAGCTTCATGCTTGAGAGATCGTGGAAAACTTTAATAATTTTTTTTAAACCATATTCAGTGACTCTTCCACCAACACATGGACGGTGTATGGTAAATTGGAAACAGAAAGCAATAACAGGGCTAAGAAACAAGCACAACAAAACCAAGGCAAATCTTGAAAGAAGATATTCTTAAACAAGGTAAGCTATTTGTGATATTACAGTTGGTCAATATATAATATATTCACAGTAAAGCAAAGCCATGGCTTGGCGTCACCATAAAATTCATGATTGAATGTGTTGTTACTTGGCATCCACAGCCTATATCCTAACTCAAAGGCAAATATATGTAGAGTAGACTCTTGAGTACATTATGCAATTTTTAAATTGTTTTTACAGGAATCGCCAGGGAATATCGGACTATGCCACTCTCACAAAGTGTCGGAACGGAAAAATCATCGAGAAAAGTTATGTGGACAAGACTTTTTTGCGCAAGATGCCCTAAATAATTATTAGCGCTAGGGATTTTATATGTGGAATTTGTGTATTGATTTTTCATAATTGTGGTGAGATGAAAATAAAGGCGCAGAGAAAAAATATCAAGTTGAAAAATACCATGGCTCCATGCGTAGTCTTAGATACAGAATCTGGCGCTCGACAGTGAATAAAGTACTGGTTCAGTAATAGCCAGTCGTTGATTGATGTACTTCGAGGAGCTGATCACTGGATAATGAATGGACCATTAAAGGGTAGACTGGGAGGGCTTTTTATGAAGTTGCGTACAACCAATAACTCGGCATCATCATCGTCTTTGCATGTCGTACTAGTATTCTTTACTGACCTTTTCAAAAAATTTTGCTTAAAACCATCCACTGCACCTTTCTATGTATCCAAGTACAACTAACTTTCAAACCCCAATATAATCCAACTTCTCGTCATAAATACTATGAATAATCACATTTCTAATATTGCGTTTAATGATGAGTAGAACAAAATGATTTGTTAGTGCAGTATTTTAAGCAAGTGCTAATGAGTGTGTAAACCAAAACAAATGTACTAATTATATATAGGTATAAAGAACATTGTATGTTTAAAGTGACGATTGGGGCCACTTGCTATACTTTCCATGGAAACCCTTCACCTGAGAAAAAGAAAATTTGAAATTAGTAGGTCAGTAGTTAGCTTGTGCCTACTCCAAATAAAAACATGGGACCGGAGAAGCTTGATGGCTGATTAATTACAAAACTTTAAGAATAGCACTTTTGTTTCTGTGTAGGTTAGATCTTAATAAGATTACATGCTGATGACTGGAAGTATAAATAAATGCCAAGATACAGCTTTGCCAATCCATATTTGTCCACATATTCATATTTTGCAAACCACCATTCTGTTTAATACATGCCAGTGTCAAAATTATTGCAATTTCAACCACAATCTCTCATTTAGGACAGGCTTTTGAATCCCGGATATTTTGTTATTTTGATTAACTCTGATGCATCACAAAAATGTTACTGAACATCAGGTTAAATTAAAAACTGTAGTTGTTTTGACAGTAAATGATTCAATCAGAAATAAACTCAGTTTTAGCAACCGATGATATACTATGACCTACTGTTGATACAAGTATGACAATTTTAGACCAACTCATTTTTTAAAGATTGCAAATATGAGCAGCAACATTATTTAAATATGAGAATAATGACAAGAAACTATGCATGAAATTTGTAAAAAATCATCACTGATTTCAATGACAGATTAGAAAAGTGAAAAATTGATTCGCTTTGCACAAAAACAAGTTTAAAAATTATACCATCTGGGTCAGTCAGAACCATCTGTCTCGCACCAGACTTAGTTTTAATCTGGTTTCCTTCAGAATCGAATAAAAGCAAACTTGGAATTCCTTTCACTCCGTATTTTCCAGCCAGTTCGTTCTAAAAATAATTATGGTAATACGACTTTATATTTATTTATAGTGAAGAAACTAATGGAAAAAAGCACTATCATGAAGTCTAAACAGAGTCTGTTAATAAGCACTGTGAATAAAATTTAAGGTGCTACGTATTGTTGTACAAAGTTATAATGAAAATATTTTGCCAGAAATTCAAAAAGCTGAAAAGCATGCCTTATCAGAAATACTTCCCCATTCATTACAGACTATACTGATATGAACAGCAATTTTATGATACCAAACATCCCATCAATACAAGCTATGATTATTCAAATATTACCCTTAAATCACTACTGAAGGGAATCGCATGCCAAGGCATGTCGTTATAATATCCATTGAACGTTTTCTCATCTCTATCCAGACTGACAAAGATCACTTCAAACTTTTTTCCTCCTCCAGCATTTACTTTGTTGTAAAATTGCGCCAGTCTGAAAAAATAAATAAGGTTTCCTCGCGATTAGCCTGATATCGGTATTAGTTATCGTATTTTATGTTGACCGAATAATACAGTAATAAAATGGTCATCTGTAATATCTGGCATTTAAACTTCTGGCTAGCCGACAGGTCTGTGAGTCAATTTCTGATGGCGAAATATGGTGAAACTAGGATTGGAAAATGTTAGACAGTCCATAAAATCGTTGCAAGCACCACAGGTCTGCAGACTGCAGGTATTGTACAGGTACATTACAATAATTTACAAACAGCATTTCATACTTGGGGGTGAATTGCTTGCATGGTGGACACCAGTGTGCACTGAAGTATAGTCCCAAAACATCTTCACCGTTGAGATTCAAATCATCTGACTTAATATTCCCACTCTTGGAAACCAACTCATCACCCAGTAAGTTACACTTCCAGCTCATTTTACAGTTCTTTCTCTTGTTGTTCGGAAACTATTCTATAATCAACCACGGTAGCGTAAATTTAACAGATCAACTGAATCAAATTCTGTACCATATATCAGTACGTACCTAGCTGTATTTAGTGACGCAGTGACTTCTGCGATGCACCATTTTGCACGATTGCTCAGTCATCGTGACTTGCTTATCATGACCGCGGCTTGTTAGTCATTATCGTGACGAAGCAGGTTTTGTGTTACTGTGTACGTGCTTGCGCATTTAGGGATGATCATATACGAACAAAAATAAATTCTATTTAAAGCGTTTTCGTGCAATTCGCACTGAAACACAAACCTGTAACTTGGGCTTCCTATCAAACTTTCCCCCAAGCGAACCAACCACAATGTTTTTTCGATCTTTCGTCTACTACAACAAAGTGACTATAAACCAAGTGGAGACACAGAGTGCATTGATGCATATCGGACGCCATTTCGTGTCCAGGGAATCGGGGGAACGCGGTAGTGCCGGTTTGTTTTAGCTTCGTCAGAAGGTCTCGTTCGTCAATTTGTTTGAAGATTTTTTACTGTTTTGCATTTTATTCGGGTAATTTCATTTTTCTTTTGCTATTTGCGTGGGATTTGCTATTTGCGTGGCGGTGTGGCTCAACGGGCTAAGCGTTAGGAATACGCTCGTCACCGCACCTCTAATTGCTCTGCGTGGGTTCGCAGGTTCGAATCCCATGCAGGGATGGTTATGTGCAAGAGGATTGCTGGACTCCTCGCCGTCGTTGGGTGGTTCACGTAACCGCTGGTCGGTTACGGCTTCCTCCACCACCAAGTCCATGCTTCCGAAAACAAACAATACAGTAAAAAACTAAATCCCATACCCGACTTGGAATGGTAACCGGACGAGAGGCCGTGGTTCGCCATATGGATAAGCCGTCTTATCGGTTTTCCTCTCCCCGGGATAAATATGTAAATCCTATCCTATCCTATTTGCCTGGTGGAATCATATTTGTATCGTGAGGTTTCGTGAAAGTTGCGATAGTTATCTTATCATGCCGTGTGAGTTATGCAACTTTGAAACCCTCATATCTCACGAACCTTATATTATATGCAGATAAGTTTTATATTGTTTGAAAGACAACCTAGGAGACTAATTATAACTATGAGATGGAGATAAAATGTTGCGATTATCATACAAAAATCTGCAAAATTGAAAAGCGTGGAATTTTTTTGAAAAGCTTTCGAATTAAATAACAAAAACTTCGATTTGTTCTTGTTTTAACCTAATATGAAATCGACACATTTTCAGAGGTTAAAGATAGCTTTCGACATTAGATAGAATTTATCGCGCACCAGTAAAATTGTATAAGTTATTTCATCCAATGTTCTCCAATTCTTGACATGTCCACTGCGCAAACTTGAGTTAAACAACAACGTTCCCTAATTACTTCGTTACGCAATTACGTAGCAACGTTCTGTATGAAAAACACATATTGCTTTCCTTCGCAAGTGTGAAACGTCATTAACCTAATCCATACGTTTACCTGTTCACACCATGCCGAAAGTTTGCGTTTTACGTTAATCATTCCAATAGCTGATGGAACGAATTTTCACGGGAAAATTTTTCTTAATTTAACAAACTGTTGCAACAGTTGCTCCAAAAATTATAGAATGTAAACGATCTCATGGCTAGCACATTGTGCGGCCTAATGAATTTCATCGAAGCATGTACATTATAAAGTACAAAATTTAAAAACCAGCCGCCGCGACTGGTGTTGCAGCTCTTAGCAACTTATTATTGGCAGGATGTTTCGATTCTTTTGCGTCGGAAAATGTAAAATATTTTTCTAGGTGATTTAGCGACGCCATCATGTCTTCTCAGTTATTGTTGATAAAACTTAATTGTAATTTTATCGATATCCAACAGTGAAAAATTAGCCATGATGTTTCCGGGGGAACCCTATGAAGACACGGGGTTCAAATTGTTTGTTTGTTTCTGGAAAGTGTCAATCCCGATGTATGCCCACAATCGTTTCTAACTCTTTTTAGGTCTTACACACACGATAAATATTTGAAAATTGATAGTTTTACCCAATATTATGCCACCCATCCAAAAAAGCAATCGTATTTTTGAGCGAAGTATAAACTATATTTTCGCATGTACCGCAAAAAATAGTGCAAGTTTCTGTAGTATAATTTGTATTGTAGTTCTGTCAGTTTGTTAAAGTAGCTTATGTGCAAGTAGCAATACTTACATCAGGAATTTTATAATAAAATGTGTATCTTTTTGTCTAATATTTTGGTCTTAGTGGGTGTTGATTTATCGAGTGAAGTTGGATGACTTTAACCTTAACGAGAAACATCTGCGGATAATTAATTGATTGATGTTGATTGATTGATAATGTTGATTCGTTTTGCCGCTGCGAAAGTTTGGTCCGAATTATTGAGCATCATAGGTTTAAATCACCTAGTTAGAGCATACAGCGATAGAACTCTGGACACAAAAAGGCTGGTGTGACGTCACACGAGCGCTTATAACGTTACCAATGCATGTCCTCACTTGGTTTATAGTCACTTTGGTCTACAACACAGAACACGAATAAAAAATAAAGATCACAGACGTGTTTGTGTGACGTCGGATGTTTCCTTGAGCATCGATTTCCTTGTATGAACAATCAGCAAAAACTAAACGATGACGTAACAAAGGAAATTTTGCAGCCGATTAGACCATTGATACCTTAAAACAATGAGCATATATACAATGAGTGGAAACTTGCAAAGATTTGCTCATTATGGCATTGTTCCCTGCAATTTTTACGTCGTCCAGCTAAATGGTTCGTTGCATATTAAGAAAACGCATTGCTCGCTGCCAAAATCCCTTGCTTCAGCCGAGTCGGGTGCGAAATTGGCCGCATTGAGGTCTTTAGTTCTTCAATACATATTTGGTTTTGGGTTTCGAATTATGGCATGCTGAAAGCGATAGGATAGGATAGGATTTACATATTTATCCCGGGGGAGAAGAAAGCCGATAAGACGGCGTATCCATATGGCGAACCACGGCCCCTCGTCCGGTTACCGTTCCAAGTCGGGTATGGGATTAGTTATATTGTTTGTTTTCGGAAGCATGGACTTGGTGGTGGAGGAAGCCGTAACCGACCAGCGGTTACGTGAACCACTCTACGGCGGCGAGGAGTCCAGCAATCCTCTCGCACATAAATATCCCTGCATGGGATTCGAACCTGCGAACCCATGCAGAGTAATTAGAGGTGGGGTGGCGAGCGTATTCCTAAGGCAGTGGTTCGCCATATATTTAGGCCCTTTTTTCGGCTTTCTTCTCCCCTTGGATAAATATGTAAATCCCATGTTATATCAATTAATAAATACATAAATAACCGCACTCCTCTCGGCGACTGGTTCATAGTCTGTTCTGTAGATACGTTTTCTGTCTAATAGATATGCATTCCCAATAAGCATATGCTCATAGTTGTATGCTTTTAGCGTACCATACTTCGAAACCCAAAATAAAATATGTATTGGAGAATTAAAGACCTCAAGTCAAGTTAATACGGCCGATTTCGCACCAGACTCGGCTGAAGCAAGGGATTTTGGCAGCGAGCAACGCGTTTTCTTAATATGCAACGAACCATTTAGCTCGACGACGTAAAAATGCAGAGAACAATGCCATAATTAGCAAATCTTTGCAAGTTTCCACTAATTGTAGCCTATATATGCTCATTGCTTAACATTAATGATTAGACACTCGGTTCGCTCAGACAGATATTCAAGCATGGTTGTAAATTTTGCCTCGTTTTCGTGGTTTTGCATGTTATTTGTCATTAGTTAGTCAGTTGATTCAACACCAGATCTATCACATTTTGATTTTTCAGCCTGAACCAGTCGGTGGCAAATTTCTAAAAGTTGAAGGAAATTGCGCTGAAATCTCTCTCTGATACCAGATGGTGGACGCATGCAATGGTAACAGCAGTAATTTTAAAAATGCTTTTTTTCAAAATTATGGAAGCATTATAATATATAAGGAAAGACCAGTCACAAAAGGGAGATGCTAGAAGAGAGGCAAATAATATTGCAGATAAAATGCAAGAGCTAGAATTCGTCTTGATGTTGTGGAATAAATTTTCACAGAGTTAGTCAAGCTCTGCAATATGAGGGTGCAGACTTACAAACATATGCAGATCCATATGCTTCATTACTAAATCAGCTGCACATTTGACGAGATAAATTTATGAAGCAGCTGCAAAGGAAATGCTACCAGGTGTGGATTACAAGGGAGCCACGACTGGGAAACATAACAGAAATAATGTACCAAATGATGGGGATGCGTCAGATTTATATTTGAGTGGCAGAAATAAACTTTGCATCACCACATTTTACGCAATTGTTGACAAACTCGTAATTGAAATGAAGAAAAGCGAGGAAATATACAAAGAAATCGCAGAGATTTTTTTTTTCATAGTGATGTACCACTACAACCAAATGTTCCTTCATCTGCTGACAAGGAAAGTTATTCGCAGTGTCTTCAAAGGCTTATTGCCAGAAGACTTCAACAGTGATTTCTCAGCTGAGCTTCAGCAGTTTCATTCCTATGTGCTACATAAATTCAGTGAACAAAAAACGTTTCATGAAATTCTTGTAGAAGATAACAATGAGTGTGCTTTCTCAAATGTAGATACTGGCTTTCGTGTATTTTTAAGATTAATGATCACAACTTGTTCAGCAGAACGTTCATTTTCTCAGCTGAAGTATATTAAAACTCCCTACAGAACAACTATGAAAAAGACAGACTATAGCTTCATCTCTGTTAAGTATAGAGGCAGATGTGTTACATAAGCTTAGTTTTGAGAATCTAATCAAAGACTACGCAGCTAAAAAAAAATCAGGAGAAAACTTTTTAAATGTTAGTGGTTTAGTATGGAAGAAGTAAAGAGAAAATTCGTCTAAAACGAATTTGAGAAGAAACAGTAAAATTTTTTCTAAAAGTTTTTTTTACCGTTGGTTGTGATTATTTTTGATGAATAATACACGCATGTGTTTCATTTTTTATTGACACATGGGAGAAAGGGTCATGATCCGCCCCTGAATATGCAGACTTTTCGGATTCTCTATACAATGACATCACAAACTTATAAGTCTTTTTGCCGTACACTTAAAAATCCAGTTGTGAAAAACTTGTCTGATTTTTCAGCCCTGATCAATCTTGTTTCTTCATGATTATAGTGATCTTCTCCCGAAGATCACCTTCGCGGATAAAAAGATAACGGTCCTTACTCGTAGCTCCGTTATGAATTCAATTTTTATTCCATGAAATACATCGAATCAGCTCCCTGTGTCCACGTCTAATACCGTGTATACATCACCATGTAGAATGGTCGTTGTTAACATTCTTGATTTAATGACAATTTCCAGTTAGGTCTTGATACTAAGGCCCGACCGATAAGGCCTTTTTGGACCTATACCGATAGTTTTCTAAAACTAGGCCGATACCGAGTCTTTCTCGCCTAAAAAGATGGCTACAAGTAACAAACAACACTAGAAATTATCAGTATAGAGCCACAGTGCGAAAGAAAATTGTGTGCATGACAAGAAAGAACACTTATTGTAAGGACAGGAAGCTTATGAATCACAAAAGCTCCAGTTCAACAGTCTCAAGTTGTAGTTGAGAAAGCAGAGTTTTTCTGCATTGGCTCCAATGTTTTTCTAGATTGGCTCCAATCACACTTGCTCTAATGTTTTGCGTTGAGATGGCTCTACAAATTACTGGTGTTTTTTTTTAAATCGGCGGAACCTTGACTTGATAATGATGCGCATATTTTACAAATTAGGTCATCACCACACTCACAAACTCGCTTACAAAGTGTAAAATCTTTTGAATAAGAGAGACATAGTTAAAATACGCTTTCTGATAAGAGAGGAATAGAAACAAGAGAGCTACGCCCAAATATATGGACACGTCTGTTTGCAGTACAGTACGGTTTACCGTAACGTCAGATCACAGTCTACAAATATATTCACGCGAAGCAGTACAGTAGGACACAAAATGGCGTCCGATGTCCGCAGAACGTTTAATGACGTCATAGCAAACAAAACATATCTCACAGAGCTAACAGAAATATTTAAAATGAATAAAAGTAATAGCCTTCTGGGGAAAAATTTTTATCTTCAACCACTGAAAATTTCAAAGCAATTGGTCCAGTATTCGAAGAGAAAAGCGTTTTTTTAATATTTCCACTAGGTGTGTTATTCTTGTCAAACAACAAGAACAACATAATATTGAAACGATCGTTATGTCCAATAAGTGTCGAAAAAGAGTATTAGACAGAACCGCTCTCAATGGACCTTTGACCCCCGGAAAATTCTCTCTATACTTTACCATTGCAAAATTTTCGGGTCCTATTTTAGGAGTGGTATTGCGAGTTGGTAATGGCTTATTTGTTTCAAACCATCATTCTGATTCATTGCATTCAACGATCTGTTTTTTTAAAAACACCGGTGCTATAACTTGTTCGTGTCTCTATTTGCCCTTCAGAAATAAATAGAAGATGAGCTTTACTTTCCACAATTGAAATGTTTTATTGACGTGAATAAACTTTTTTATTTTGTTATTTTTCAAAAAAAAATTCGACATCACATGAGATTCATGCTTGAGAGATTAGAGTCCTTGTGGAATATGCAATTGCCCAAAAAAACATTTTCTGCTGCTAATTTTTTGAACCTCATCCAGTGACTCTTCCACAAACACATGGACCGTGTATGGTACATTGGAAACAGAAAGCAATAATAGAGCTAAGAAACAAGCACAACGAAATCAAGGCAAATCTTGAAAAAAGATATTCTTAAACAAAGTATTGTGATATTATAGTTGGTCAATATGAAATATATTCACAATCAAGCAGATCCATGGCTTTGCTTGGAGTTACCTTTTTATAAAATTAATGATGTATATATAGTGTTGTATGGCACCTACGTCCTATATCCTCATTCCAGGGCATAAACATGTAGACTCCAGTGTACATTATGCAATTTTTAATAAACAGATATTTTTATAGGAATCACCAGGGAATATCGGACTATGCCACTCTCACAAAATCATTGAGAAAAGTTATGTGGACGAGACTTTTTTTGCGCAAGATGACCTGAATAATTATTAGCGCTAGGGATTTATGTGGAATTTGTATATTGATTTTTCATAATTGTGGTGAGATGAGATGAAAATAATGAAAAAAATATGAAGTTGAAAAATACCATGGCTCTACGCATAGACTTATGTACAGAAATCTGGCACACGACAATAAAAAAGGACTGGACCAGTTATATCCAGTCTTTGATTATAGCGTACTTCTTGGGGAGCTGAACACTAGAGAATGAACCATTGAAAGGTAGATTGGAAGAGTTTTTTTTGATGGCATGCAGTCACGTGCAAGTAATGACAAAAATATATATCATCCTTTCATGTCATACGAGTATTCTTCTTCACTGACCTTTTCAAAAAAAGTTTTGCTTAAAACTATCCGCTGCACCTTTCTCATTTATACAAGTACAGCTAACTTTTAAACGTGAATATAATCCAACTTCCCCTTGTTAATACTAAACAATCACATTTATAATATTGAGTATGTGAATACACAATGTATGATTAGTAAAAAAAAATTTGGTATTGAATTATATTCTAAGCAAGTGCAAATGAGTGTGTAAATATAACAATGTACTATATATATGAATGAAGAACAATATATGTCTGGAATGACGATTAGAGCCTCTTGCTATACCTTCCATGGAAACTTTTCACCTAAAAAAAAAACGAGAAAATGGAATAAGTATTCTAGGAGGAAATAGGAGCAGTTATGCAAATCGGCAATATATTCACTGTAAGTCAGTGGTGCTCATGTACCTTCTCCAAATAAAAACATTGAAAATAGATGGAGCAGAGAAGCTTGTTGGCTGATAAATTACAAAAACTTGAAGAATAGCACTTGTGTTTCTGTGTATGCGAGAACTTAACAAGATTACGTGATAACATTGATAATGACTCAAAGCTTAAAAAATGCCAACATACAGCTTTGCCACTCGAAATTTGTCCGATAGTAAGTCCATAAAAAGGTAACATATGGGGTAGTGGTAACATATTTATTTTTTGCAATCAAACATTCAGTTCTATTTAACCGGAAAAGTATTGTAATTTCAACCACATTGAGAACAAGCTTCCAATTCATTTTTAATGCTCAAAAATTTCAGATATTTTGAATTCAAGTGAAGTACTCCCAGGTTATGCCTGCTGCTTCACAAAAATGGTACAGACCATCTGAGTAAATTAAAGGCAGGTAGACAAAATGTGGTTGTTTTGACAGTAAATGATTCAGAAGTAAACTCAGATAATTCAGAAGTTTCATTTAGCAATCAATGATACATATACTATGTATACGTATGTTAGACCTGTCATTTTTTGAGTTTGCAAACACGGGTAGCAACAATAATTAAATATGGAAATATTGACAAGAAACTATGCATGAAATTTGTAAAAAGTCGTGGAAAATGGAAAAGAGACTAACAAATATTTCCAGATAATAATGATTTCGATGGCAGATTGGAGAAGCAAAATACTGATTCGCTTTACAAAAAAAAACAATTTATGGTGTAAGTTCAAAAATTATACCAGCTGGATCAATCGAGATCATCTGTCTTACACCAGATTTAGTTGTAATCAGATTTCCTCTTGAATCAAGTAAAAGCAAAGTTGGAAGTTCTCTCACATAGAATTTACCAGCCAGTTTTTCCTAAAAATAGTTGTGGTAATATGGCTTTATATTTATAGTGAAGCAACTGATGAAACGAAGCACCATTATAAAGTGCTGTAAACCGAATCTGTTATAAGCATTGTGAGTAAAATTTGAAAATCTGAATTTCAAGTGCTTCGCATTGTACAAAATTATACTGAAAATAATTCACCAGAAATTCAGAAAGTTGAAAAGCATGCCTTATTAAAAATACTTTATTAATTACAGAATATAGCGATATGACAGAAGTTTTACGATATTGGACTGTTTATTAGGATTTCTGAAATAGCTTATCGATATCAGCTATGATTATTCAAACATTACCCTTAAATCACTTTTAAAGGGAATTGCATGCCAAGGCATGTCGTTATAATATCCGTTGAACGAGTTCTCCTCTGTGTCCAGACTAACAAAGACCACTTCAAACTTTTTGCCTCCGGCATTCACATCGTTATAGAATTGCGCCAGTCTAAAAAAAAATAAGCAACTAAAGTTTCCTCCGATAGTCTACCGCGATAAGGCCTGATTAGTGGCATTAGTTACAGTACTTTATGTTGACTGAATAATAAAAGGGGCATCTATAACATTCTGAACATCTGGAATTTAGTATCGAGCCCTGGCTAGCGGAGAAGCTTGTGAGTCAATGCGTGATGGCAAAAAATAGTGAAACTATAGGAACGTAGGATGTCAGATAGTCAATAAATTTGTTCTGTGCTATAGTCTGGCAGTAACAGAAGTACCGATATATCACGATAATTTACAAACAGCATTCCATACTTGGGAGTGAATTGCCTGCATGGTGGACACCAATGTGCACCGAAGTATAGTCCCAAAACGTCTTCCCCGTAAAGATTCAAACTATCTGGTGTAATGCTTCCGCCCTTGGAAACCAACTCATCACCCAGTAACTCATATCTCCAGGGCATTTTACAGTTTTTTCTCTCGTTGTTCGGAAACTATCAGCAACGCAGCGAAAATTTAACAAATCACTGAATTAAATTCTGTAAAGTATATATATATATAGCTGTCTTCAGTCAAGCAGTGACTTCCGTGATGCACGATTTTACATGATTTCTCAGTCATCGTGACTTGCTTACCGGAATACCGAGTACCGAAATAAATGATGGATTGATTGCTTACGGTGACCGTGACTTGCTAGTCATTATTCAGACGATGCAGTTTTTGTGCAAAGGCTTTCGCATTTAGGGGTGATTGTATACGAACAAAAACAAATTTCAACTTTTGTTTTTAAAGCGTTTTTGTGTCATTTGCACTGAGCCACAAATTTGTAACTTAGTTCCCCTCCAACACTATTTTGCTGTGTGCAGTTCTCAGCTACAGCCGATGGAGAATACGGCAGATATAAATGAATGACATTAACAGATAATAATTATTGATAATTACATTACATGATGATAATCAATTTTAAATACATTTCAGATTATCACGTCACTATATTAGATACGTGGGGTGAAAACGCACGGATGATTAATAATATTGAAATATTGCAGGAAGGCTCAAGATGACAGAATGACAGAAGTGGATATTCGAAAAAAATGAAATAACCTATTGAGTAGGATGGCTAGAGTAGATATTTTATAAATGAATAATATAGTTGTCTGTGTAATGGGAATTTAGAATGTCTATATTCTTTTATATTTGAATTTGATAAAAATGCTATTATATCCATGTTTTAGGGCCAATTTACATCTGTTCAAACCACTGCGTTATTTATTAATTGTTTAAGTAAGCGTGCGTTATTGCGTTAACGCATAATTTTGCCGCACTGCGTCAACGCAACGAATTCTCGTGGATACATTCTTCGCGTTGACGCTGCGTTAACCGAGATTTGAGTTGTTCTTCAGGTGCTTTGTTCTGTGATTTGGTGATGACTTTAAGCAAACATCAACGATTAGAATTTGTTAAAAAGTTTCATTACTTTATTTTGTATATATTTGACCCGGGGTTATTTCGAGAAATGTCGGTCCTTAAACTTTTGATGAATGACCGTTCATAAACTACTTCCTTCATGACGATTTCACCATCTGTTCGTGGACAGAAATAGCATGTCGACGTAAACAAAATCTTTTATCGGCCTTTGTCTTTTTCTCTCATTCTTGTTTTTTCATTATTTCGGGTGATTGTCAGTCGGCTGTTTACAATTTATTAGACACGTAGTGGACATAACGATCGTTTCAATATTATGTTGGTCTTGTTGTTGTTGTTCTTTGACACTTTTTGGACATCTAGTGGAAAATCTAAAAAACCGCTTTTCTCTTTCATTACGGGACCGATTGCTTCGAAATTTTTACTGGTTAAAGATGAAATTTTTCTCCAGAAGGCTATTACTTTTATTTATTTCAAATATTTCTGTTAGCTCTGTGAGATTTTTTTTTTTTGCTATGACGTCACCGAACGTTCTGCGGACGCATAGCCGACACTCCTCTTCTTTTTGATCACGTGCCATCGAACGTCGATGGTTTGTAACGAAGTCCTTACGGTACTTTGCTACGATTTTTTCCTTACGCTGATCGACGGTACGGTAAACCGTACTGTACTGCGAACAGACGTGTCCATATATTTGGGCGTAGCTCTCTTGTTTTCTTTTAGGAGTTTGTCGTTAAGTAGTGTTAATTTATTTGCCGTACTGAGCGGATTGTTTACTTGTCTTGAGTTACATGATAGGGCTTCATTCATATTTCATAATTTAACTTCGCTATCGTTTGCATATTTTAGAATTTAATATGTTGTTAAATTGCATGTTGTGTTGGTCGTAAACTTCAGCAACCATCTACATTCTACAATACTGGAATCATTTGTGTCTCTACAATAATCAATCCTATTCAAAGTTGTGAGGTTGTTAACATCGCGAAACCTCGCAGGTTATAAGTCGAAGAAAGTTGATAGCGCCTCATCACTTCTTGTAGAGCCTCATAATGAGTTCTAAGCAGTGGTGAGATTCAAATTTTTTGTCAGCCGGTCCCATCACAAAAGTCATATTTTTTGGCCGGTTCTGTTATATGTTTTTTTTAGTAATGCTAACCGGTTCGCTGATCTTATAAAATTCCGCGAGACGGTTCTATAGAACCGGTGCGAACCGGCTGAATCCCACCACTGGTTCTAAGGCCAACTATAATGTACAGAATTCGTGTTGTGCTTGAGAAGAAGGAAGGATATAAAAAGAAGGAGCAAAAGAAGACGGTGGTGGGTGCATTCTTTTTTGCAGAGAAGACCTCAACTATAAGATGTTCTAAATCCATATCTCCTCAATCTGTATAAATTTTATTGTTTTGAAAAAAGAAAAAATAATAGAGTATTGATATACAACTGCATTATACACTAGCCAAAATAACTCAAATTTTCCATCTGAATAGCAGTTTGTCGTACGGTACCCACTTTCTGCTTTAACACAGTGCTTATTGAGTTGCTGATCCACAGTGAGTACCAGGGTTGTCAGATCCCAGCGATCAAAAAAAGCCAAATCGAGACATGAAAAAGCCCACAAAAAAGTCTGTAAGTACAAAAGCTCTATGATTTGAAGCCTGTGGCAGGTGGCACAATAGTGGATTTCCACAGTTTGCAATACGATGATCAATGTAGAGCCATCGGTTCATTTAGTGAGCCACAAAAATGTATTTTCCCATTAAAAAATGTATTTCCGGTTGCAATCATGGCGATTTCCACTTCAGTGGGATGAAGGGTTTAAAAGTAAAATGGATTAATTGAATGGCAGCACCCGAATCTACATTCGACACAGTACAGTCCAGCTGACATCAATATAAAAAAGTTTGAAAAATCAAAAACCAAATAAAAAGAAATATTAAGCGGACAGCAATATTTTACAATTCAATATTATGCAGGATGCCGCTTCAGTATGTGATATACCTACATGTTTCTAATTAAAACTTGCGATATACCGTAAAAATTCTCCCATTACCGCGTAGGCTACTGTACTTTATTATTAATAAAATTTTTATTTTTCAAATTTTGAAACCATCATTTTCATTAAACAAATATCTAACCACGTAACGCTTACAGGTGGTTTACCCATAGCTAATTTTAGCGTAGTTAATCAAATCGTTCGTGGGATTAAATTTTGATTACTGCAACTAATAATCACGTACCGTTTACAGGTGGTTACTAATAGCTAATTTTAGCGTAGTTAATCACGTCGTTCGTGAGACTAAATTTTGATTAATGCAACTAAACTGAAGCTCCTCGGAAGGCATGATGACAGATAAGTTATACAACTGTTGTTTGGAAACAAAACCTAGAACTAATAAATAACACGCAAAACTATGAAAACAATGTTTACAAACCTGCTTGGATATCTGTCTGAGCGGCTGCAGAAGCTGCAAGTGTTACGTCGTTGTTGACTTATATCTGATTGGTTATGGTTAAGACAGAGGCGTGCAACATACGGCCCGCGGGCCACAGCACGGCCCGCGGTACCTATTTACGTGGCCCGCTACATACTTCATAGATTATAGAATATAAATTTAAAAACTTTTTCTGAATTGTAACGGCATCATTGGCATTTTTGACTGCAGTTATAAGTCTATGGACCTTTCCCCGAGCATCGACTTCCTCGTTTACTTCGTGACATTGGCCAGACAGCAAGATGCAAAAAGTGCCCTAACTATTTTCGTATCCACTCAGACACTTTTTTCACTCAGACAGATTTTCAGATGTGGTCGTAAACATTACCTCGTTTTTGGGTTTCTGAACTATATTTGTTAGTTTCCAGTTGTGTTCCAGCAATCAGATAATTTAATGATGACTTTGTCGTCTTAAAATTAGTGTAGAAATATCGGTAATAGATTAGGCTAAAATTCTTTACCAGTACGTTTAAAAAACAGATTATTGTATGCGATGAATCACAATGATGGTTTGAAACATATAACTCACTCTTAAAATGAGCCCCGAAAATTTTTCAATAGTTAAGTATATGAGGAATTTTCCGGGGGTCAAAGGCCGGGAAAAGGTCCATAAGACTACATCACACTGTGATTTAATTCCGCCTACAGTACTGTGACGACCCCCCAATTGTTGCAGCATAATGTGCATTGTATAAAAAACCACCTTGTTCTGACAGCGGTAGGTGATCTTACTTTATGGTTGCAGGTTGTTATACGAAAAAGCTTAACAAAGTTCAAATCTCTACCAGCAAGAAACGTTGATTATCTCATTAATCACCTACCCAATGAATAAATTGATTGTACGTGCTGTTCCATTGAATAAATTATTCATAAAAAATTATGAGTTGTTCGATGGTCTGGCCCCCGGTATCACTATACTTGTAGTTTGTGGCCCATTGCCCTAAACAGATGCTCGCCCCTGGGTTAAGATAACAAACACGGGAATCGATGCTCGGAGAAATTCAAATGTTAGCTAAGCAATAGGTTATTGTTGCACACTGAATATTGTAGCCTATCTTATGTGATTTTGTCAATAGACACTAGAAGTCTAGAATAGACTTGAAAAAAATGTCAAATTTGACGTTAAAAAGTCAATATGACAACCCTGGTGAGTTCCAGTACTACTGCTCCCGACAAAATATGAACTGTTGACTCGACATGCGTTGACGGACTCCAGTGTGAACAAGTTCACCGCATTGCGTATGCGTAGAAATATAACACAACGCATTGCGTTGATGTGAATGGACCCTTATACTACCATAATGAATCTAAAATTCCAACGTGATCAACCGATAAATAGCTCCGGAATAAAAAAAATCATTCGGCATAATCCTTTAGGTCAGAGGTTCTCAACTTCCCACGTAAAAAGGCCGCATTTTGGACACAAAAGATGCGACGGGCCACAGAGTAATATTTCCATGTATTCGTACTATTCAATTAATTTATTAGTTCGATACTGATGTCTAATATGCTTCTGGTTTTTATTTTTATTCATTGTAAAACATAGTTAATTGATAGCTAAAATATAATTATCCCTAACATTAACATTGTTTTTCAATTA